CTAGGGTAAATATAGCCATCAAAAGGCTGGTTTTAAAATATTCAGTGATGCTGGTTGCTTGGTTAAAAATGTATATACACTTGCCCTACAGTCTTCTAAGAGTTGCTATTGAATATTACAAGATTAATGAGTTTAATCAGGTGTTTTCCTCTTTAAATCAAGCAATTATCTCAACAGAGGAATCTGGGGAAATAGTCTTCCCATTCCAGATATCCTGTTAATAAAGCTTTGACAGAACTTTTACTAATCTTGGCATTAAGTCTCCCAGAATAGTTAGAGCAGCTGACGGACACTTTGAGAACATGATGCTAAGAAAACTACCATACTTGTTCTGAACAGCTGTAGGAATTGGTGTAAATCTGTAGGAGGCTTATATACGCTAAGATATATTGGATTAATCTTCTCAGGGGGCTGGATCAAGACTAGGAGAGATATGTCTTTAGGGAACAGAGATAGATGCCTTTAAAACTGTGAGTACTACAGAAGAGCAGGCTGAGCCCTCTGGCTCAATCACCAGCACCTAGCCCTCCTAGGGAACAGTCTACATTTCTAAACGATATGTCCATATCAAGAAGGCTGCCTAAAACTAAAGGAAAGGCTATCTCTGTCTTGAGTCAGCAGATATATGTTGGGTGTGTTCCTAAGTGGACCCACCTGCCTATTGAGAAACTCACGGGAAAAGCAGTCGTAGGAGCACTAGTTCTTGGCATGGCACCTAAAGAGTTTACTGCCCACTTTTCCTGGCACATCAACAGTCTTACATGCTTCCCTCCCCACTGTAGTTCAAGGTTCCTTGACTCCTCTTGGCAAGATTCTTGTTGTTGTTCAGTTGTTTGAATCCTGCCCCACTCTCTTTGACCACACCTGGGATTTTCTTGGCAAAGATACTGGAGTGGTTTGTTATTTCCTTCTCCTGCTTATTTTACAGATGAGGAAACTAAGGCAAACGGGCTACTTGCCTGGGATTTGCACAACTAGTAAGTGTATGAGGTCAGATTCGAACTCAAGAAGTTGAGTCTTCCCAGTTCCGAGTCCAGTGCTCTATCCACTGTGCCACTTAGCTGCCCTTCTTAGCATAGTAGTCTCAGATATATTGATCCCTCTTGGTGTTTTGGTGGCTTCGGCCACAATAGTAGCCTCAGCATGGCCTAGACGTGGATGCCATTTTTTGTCATCTCCCTTGCTCCTCTTTGCCAGCCTGACAGCCCTTGAAAGTGGAAGTGTGAGTGTGCAAGTAGGAAACAGCCTGGGTAGTACTGCATACTGCAGAGGCTACACTAAGGCCTCTGGGAATCATAGGCCGCTAACTAAAGAGAATCTTCTCCAACAAATGAAGCTGTCTTTGGCCCCAAACCCTGTGGGAACATGGAGGGCATGCCAAGATAGTCACCTCCCCATATACACATACATGTTTGAAATATATTGTAAGGGCTCTGAGGTTCAAAGGGGAAACTAATTGCTAGCAATCGGCATAGCTGTTCACTGGAAAAGATCTTTTGAAGTGGGCTCTGAGGATCTGCCCTTTGACCTGTGCTGTTCAACATTCTTATCAGCGATGAGAAGGAAGGCACAAGATGGCATGTGTGTCAGACTTGTAGATGCCACAAAGTTCAGAGGGACCGCTAACAACAGTTAAGATTCAAAAAGATATTGATAAGCTAGGACAAAGGACAAAACCTTATAAGACCAAATTTAGTAGGGATAAAGTCCTTCTGTAAGGGAGAGAGGATTTGGTTCTCAATTGCTCTGCCTACCCCCAAAGAAAAACATAGATAACAGAGGGATAATGTAGTTTTACTACGTTGACAAGTTGTTAACATTCAGTGACCCCTTTAATAAATGTGAACCTTTCTTTAAGAATGAATTAGGTCGACTGGGCTGAAAACGATCCATGCCTCTGGGGATTTGAAGTAGTTTAGCCTAGGGGAGTCTGAGTTAGTGCAAGAAGGGAGCACTCAGTAGAGAAGACAGGTGCAACTCTACCTCACTTAAATCCAATTCACGTGCATGTCAAGACATCACCCCATGACGTCATTGGTTCTTTTCAAAAAAGGAAGTACAAATAACAATAGGAACAGTGGAGAGGAAAGGATTTCTCTTTCTCCTTCTTCCCCCACCACACCCCCACCATCAGCAGAACTATTATGTAAGAGTTATATAGAATAACTTATATAGAATAACTAATATATGTAATTATATAAGAATTATGTATAATAACTATTAAATATTACATAATAGCAGAACTATTATATAAGGGCAAAAAAACTAGTCTGGCCTGGATTGCAGAGTGAGTGACGGGGAATAATGTATAATCAGGCCAGAAATATAGGTTAGGGCCAGGTTACAAATAGCTTTAAATACTAGTTATTAATACACAAGCATTTATTAACCAGGTACTGTGTTCCAGGCACTGTGCCAGACGTGGATTAAAAAAAAAATTCAAGCAATTCCTGCCCTCAAAGAGTTTATATTCTACTGGCCTGAATCTAAAATGGATCTGAATCTAACACCAAGAACTTCCTTCTCTTTCTCCTTTCCTCTTCCCTTCTCTTTAGGAAACCAAGATACTTCTTGGTGGATTGGTGTTAAAGAAATCATAAGGGGAAGAGGTGTTGCCACCTGAACATGCAAACCCATTCATTGGACCCTTAACCTGTTCACAGGTGACCTACTCACTTCCTGAGACCATGTGAACATGATACTCTCCATATGTTTCCAGCTTCTGGAACATACAGGACATGGGACAGGCACGTCCTCAACATACTTCTACTCTCCACCAACCCCAGAAATTCCCAGGGGAAGAAAGGAGAGGATCTTGCCCTCTTCCCATGTCTTTCCCTCTTCAGAAGCGCCTTCCAAACATAGACTTATACATATACACATATATACCTCTCACACAAACACCCAGTTTCTTATACATTCACTCCTATGCTCAGTTTAGGATTTACTTACCATATTATCCTTCAACCCCCAAACTTAATCCATAGCCCCACACACCACAGGCACGTCATTCCTGCTGTCTAGCACTTCTCTCCTATTCTTTACCTCCTCCATTAATTCCAACACTAATCATCGGTTAGCTTTCTGATCCTCTCCCTAGGAAAATTAAACCCCTTCTAATTTCAGTTGAGATAATTTTTGTAATTTAACAAGAAAAAATACTATATATTATCCCCAATAGGGCTGTTAGAATCTGTAAGCTATCTTTATTTTGAAGTGAGAGAAAGCTTTGAAGGGAAAAGTTTCCAAGGGGTAAAAAAGTCAATACTTTGTCTTTAAATCCTGAATACTGTTGGAGGTTCTGTGTTATGCATATACTTAATTTGAATGATATGATTGCGGACATCATAGAAATAAATCGAAAAACAATTTAAATGGTCTGGCAGTCACTTTTTGATCAGATAACAGGGCTATTAAAAAAAAGAAGAAGAAGAGTATTGTAGGATGAAGCATACAGGTCACCCTAATCCTAACTTTGACCTAGGAGGTCAAAATTGGGAACCTGTGGCAAATAAGAAAAATCAGATAAAAAGAGTGTGTTATTCTTTAAGTCCATGGGTTGGGTCTTCCTTGTTCCTTGGAAGGTATGAGGCCATAAGTGATTAGAGGCTAACAGGCCAGTAGGCCAGTAGATACATATTCTATTATATTCAAGAAGAGCTCAGATCCTTTATTTCACAGGCACAGGAGAGGAATGTACAGGAATCAAGGGCAGCAACCAGCAGTGCTTTTGGTAGTGGTATGGAACTAGAAATAAAGTAGATGCCCATCAGTAGTGGAATGGCCAAACAAATTATGATATAAGAATATAATGGAATATTACTGTGCTGAAATAAATTGTAAATACAGAGAAACATGGGAAGGCTCATGTGAATTAATGTATGCAATGATGACAGAAATATAAATGGAAAGAATAATAGAAAGAATTGAAGCTGAATGCTTAAAAAATTGATTACTAAGCATGGCCCCAAAGAAGAGATATGAGAAGACACTTCCTACAGATTCTTTGTTCAAGTGAGGAACAGTGAGGGTGGAACACTGCCCTTAATGCCCCAATTTTCTTTTAATATGTTGATTAATTTTGCTGAACTCTTTTCCCCTCTTTCTTATTTTCTGATACAAGAGATGACTCTATGGGAAGAAATAAGAGGAGGAGAAATACAGGAAATCTAGGTGATGTTTAAACAAAGGATATAAATAAAATTTAATTTTTAAAAAAGGTAATCTAAACAATGATGACATGCCACAGAGTTAGCCTGAGATCTGTATACCTGATCTTCATCTACTGAGCTCAGTTCCCTCTCTCCCATCCCTTGAACCGGGATTTCCAATTATGGGCACTAGGCATGACAAAAGCTCCAGTCAGCAGAAAAAATGAAGACAGTGCTCACTTTTTACAAGATTGAGGTTCAGAAATGTACGATTTCCAAGAGTAGTCCCAAGTGGCTTTCTGGAACCAAGGAAAGGGAGGAAGGGAAGGAAATAAGCATTTATTAAGTGCCTACTATGTACCAGGTACTGTGTGCTGTGTGCTTTACAAATATTTTCTTGCTTGAGAAGGCCTGATGGGTGGAAATTTACTATGTCCATGAAGTTCCAGTTCAGCAACTAATTAAAAGACTTGTCATCACACTGTGTTATTCTCCAAAAACATTCTCCCAGAACATCCTATTTAATTTTTTAAGAACAAAACACAAAATATATTCTGTTTTGCTGTTGAATATAATTTTAAATGCATTGATTTCTCTTGGTAGTTTTAAAATACATTCAAAATGAATAAAACATTTTTTTTAAATTAAAGTTTTAAAGGTATTTAGGTACAAAAGGCTCAACACAAATTGATATGAGTGACCAAACATTTTACAGTTCTACTTTATAAATATAAATGTCACCTAAAATATTTTTCAATCCATTCTAGTGCAAGTCTCTTCAAAGGAGAGTCAGAAGGAAGAGAAATAGAATTCTATATTTTTAAAGATTTTAACTTAGACTCTGTCACATATGAAATTAAGATAAAATGTTATAAATGCTAGCTGATACATTCCTCCCTTGAGGGATAAATACATAAGAACTGTTCACAAAGGCTGCTACAATTTTAAGAGGAAAAAATCGATCAAACACTGTCATTCTTTCAAGCACTTATGCTAATAACAGCAGTTCAACATTTCACACCTCAGCCACTCCCAGCCCCGTTTTTGTTTTCTCACAAATGACATAGCTTATGCAGACTGCTGGAAGCACCTTCACAATGTTTGGTATGATGCCCTTGTAGAAGCCTATCACTCCATCTGTAAGACAATTATTATTTTAATGAGACTGATCATCTTCATGGGTGGAATTCCTCCCAATGTTTCTAGAAAATGAAGAACAAGAAAAAATAATTTAGCCTAATATTATAATTCAACTTTGTTCCTTCTCCATTGGCTAAGCAAATCCATATGACGAAATAGAATACAGTACTAGCTTTCAGCAAGCAAATCTGGGATAAAACTCTTTCATAAGACTTCAAGGCAGCATTTACTAATCCTTTGCCTTTAAAAAGAGTCCCACTCACAATTAGGTCATTCATGAAAACAAATTTTACTAGATAGTGATAACATTTTTGATAACCTTTTAATTACAGAATTATAATTCTAATGATTTCTAAGTATATTTATTGAAAATTTTCTGCCTTCCCAGTCCTCCGAGCACCACAAAGAGCTAGCTCTCTCCCTCGCCCACCCCTCCATTTATTTATTTGAAAATGGGTGTCCCCATCTCACCCAGGTTGGAAATGCAGTGGCCATTCATTGACCAGCCCCATTGCTGATTGGCACTGAAGCTTTCACCTGCTCCATTTCCAGTCTGAGTTGGTTCACCCTTTCTTAGTTGACTTGGTGGTCCTCTGCTACCCAGGGCTCAGCCCAGGAAATTGATGTTGGAATTAATGTTAGACTTGCTGCAGCTCAGAACTCCTGAACTTGAATGTTTCCCAGCCTCAGCCTCCCCCGTAGCAGCACTGTAGACTTATGCTGTGATAATCATTTAAGATCATTTGAGCCCCAATAAGGGCCAAAGCCTGAACTAATCAATCAGAAGAAGCACCCCAACATAATAGACATTCTTTTCTTGTTCTCTGAGTGAACTCAAAAGGTCGCTTCCTGTGTCAGCAACTACAGGACCAGATGAAGATGACCAGCATTCTTCTGTTTATGACCACTAAGGCACCTTAACCTGGACACTACCTTGAATAATGGAACTTTTCTTATCTTGGTATTTTATGGACATATACTATGCTATGTCATGTTAATGGTAAAAGAAACACAGATATCCTGGACCTATAATTTCAATTGACACTTTGATACTCTCCTATCTTATTATATTTACAACCTATTCAATTAAGAAAATTCCTTTCTCATGCTATGGTTAAACATATATGGAGACCATAAATCTGAGTAACACAGACATCCTGAGACAGGGTTTAAATGTCTTCCTAAAATTGCTTGATTCAGTCAAAGTTAAAGCTCTGGTTCCATGTATATGTCGCTAACTTAAGGGAATAAACAATTTTAATTTACTTATCACCTAGCTTGTTGCCTCTTTAACCAACTTTCAGGTTGACAGCTGTCACACCTGGCTATAATCAGGTTGACATAGCTATACTGGGATGTCCCTGCCAAAAACCATCCTGAGACCAGCGTTATCATTTCCATAATGACTCAAGAGAGGCAAGCTGGGACTACCTATACAGGAAAATGGGAATTCCTCCTTGGCAGTCTGAGATGAGAAGTCAAAATGTAAGGAATGTCGCACAATATCCCAGAGTCCAAGTGTAGACTCCTGTCATATAGGACTTGGTTCTTCTAGCATAGCTCTCCTTAGAGGCAGTCATCAAATTCCTAGCAGAACATCTAAAATTCCTGACATAATGGGGCTCCAAACACTCTGTACTTAGAAAATAAACAAAATATAAGCTTTTACTAAAACTTGTATCAAACTAAAAAAAGTACCTTTCACTAATTCTAAAATCCTGAAATATTCTAAACCATGATAATAATGATAACTAGCATTTAGATAGTACTCTTTTTTAGCAAAGTTCTTTACATACATTATCTCATTTCATCTTCACAACAACTGTGTGAGGTAGACGCTATTACCCTCCTTTTACAGATGAAGCAAGGTTAAGCAACTTGCCAGGGTTATAAAATTAATAAGAGTTGGGAATTGAACCCAGGTATTTCTGATTCCAAGGCCAGTGCTTTACCCATTTTACTAAGGTAAGAGACCTATATCTAATACTGAATCACAGACCAAACTGGTCACACCAAAGTCCATCGCAGACAGAGGGGAACATGATTCAAAAGTGATAGTATACATTTAAGTCAGTAATTCGTGATCTTTTACAAGGATGTTTTCATACCCCACTCCAAAGTGGCTATCGTTTTAATCAAAGTACAACAAAACGGATTCTTTACTTATTATCTGTCCTTCCCACTGCCTAGCCAGAACAGAAAAGTAGACTTTAACTTAGTTATCTGTGACAAAATGGGGAAAAGAAACAAGTACCAAATATTTTGTTGAGGGAGGTAGGTGGTATAGTGGATACAGCACTGAGCCTGGAGTCAGGAAGACCTAAGTTTAATTCCAGCCTCAGACATTTCACTAGCTGTGTGATGCAGTCACCTCTATCTACATTTTCCTTAACTGTAAAATGAGGCTCACAATAGCACTTCACAGAGCTGTTGTGAGGATCAAATGAGATAATATTTGTAAATTGCTTAGCACAGTGCCTGGAACATGGTAGGCACTTGGTAAATGCTTCTTCCCTCCTCTCTCTCCTTTCCTTCCTTCCGTTTTGCAATGTTGTTTAAAGCAAATGGCATCTTTGCTACAATCCTGCAGGGTAGCATCTCATTTCAGTCTTCTCAGAGGGGCCAATATGACTTGAAGGAGATATAGAGGATTCAAGTGCTGGGAGAACAGGAACAGGAACGCAGAACCAAAAGTCACTAGGACCAACGGCATGAACAATTATTGAAAAGAAATCTCTCACCACAACCCCAAGAGAAGACTGAGTTCCTGAATCAGCTAGAAACAGAGGAATAGGCAATCTGCTGGCTTTGACCGAGTAGCTGCCTCTAACCCACAAAATTTGCTGAAATGACCCCTGAGGCTGTGGCTAAAGAGAGCTGAGACCCCCTTCCAGTTGTGGAGAGGTGACACAGCAACTTGCCACTCACTGGAGGACCAGAAGGTGGCAGAAGAGTGCAGGAGAGAAACGAAAGTCAACCCGCAGATAACAGCAAAACAGAGGACCAGTAGGTGGCGATACAGCAGAGAGAATAGCCCAGTAGGGAACACAACCAGCCTAATAGCATCTCCAGACCAACATTAATAGCTCTGTAGGAAAGCAACAAGTGGTCGTGTAAGGGGTGGAGGAACCTAGCCCTCTGAATATAAGTTGCCCCGGCTATGTGTATTCCCTACACAAGTGCCCCCTGCCACATGTGTTCTTTGGCTTCACGTGTTCCTCTCCCACTAGTGGTATGGGAATCTATGGGAAAGTGTACCCTTATAAGAGAAATTATTATTTCTCTCTCATATTAATAATCAATTATTGAATTGGGACCAGGATTTTTTCAGAAGCCTGTAGGTTGTTCAGCCTTTGGATATTGCTGATAATACAATTCAATTAACTTTCTCTTCAATCTTGTTCAGACCCCACCCAGGTGAGGAAGTCCATTGTGCTCTACATAGGTATGAGTGGGGAAAAAATCTTTAATTAGATTGCCCAAGGCTGGTCAATTTAGAAGTAAATGACATAATTAAAGTTAAATTAAAGGTAATATTAATTACCTTTAATTAAAGGTAAATTCTTCTAGCCCTTCATTAGAATAGGTCCACCTCTCATTCTAATATTCATTCTCTCTCATTAATTGTTAACCAATCAGAGTTGATTGCCACCTTCAGGAATACCCACTATTCCAAGGGTATATAAATTGTGAGCCCACCACCATGATTCATCTTTGGCATCCGAGAGTGTCATTGACCCATTTTATTGGTAATATGCTAGCATTATTAATAAAATTATTAATCACCCAGAAATTATGTCTCTCAAACTTCTTAAACATCACATCTACATGCATGGAAAGAAATGTTCCCTGTCTCTTGTTGTACCATATTGTTTAATTAAAATGTCTTTTGCTTTGAACTAATGTATTTGGTTGGTATGGCAAAAGAAACATTACTGAGGGATGGTTTTGAATGGGTACTGACCTAAAGTGTACCTTAAATTTGACATAGCTTTCTGGGAGCCCATGATTAAAATGAGAGAGAAGGTACTTACTCGGACTATGCAACCAATAAGATACGAAAGGGTCACTGAGCCAAAACTCACCTTCAGCCTGCATGCAAGTTCTCACTGGAGTGAAAGGGTAGCTGGCTAACTGACCACAAGGATCAGACAAGGTACTATATGCCAGTACTACTACAATCCCAGGGTTTACAGAGTCTCTTGAATGATGCTGCAACCAAAAATTCTTCAACAGCTGCCCAAGAACAGAGTAGTAAATATGCATTAACTATTGTATAAGTTTAGGCATGATGAAAATTATAAATCAATTATACAACACCTTCTTTCAGCCAAGTACAGACCTCACCACAGCAACCCACACTCTTTTGACTGCCCATTTAGATCTCTTCAAAGAATACATATGGAGCTATTCCTTAAACCTACAACTTGAATAGAATATGACTCGTCTACAAAGAAAGAGAAGCCAAAGGCATCTAACATTTGCATTTTGTGTGGTCTGCCTATATGTTTTAAAATGCAATGTAAAGTCAATAAAACCCAGATGTCTATTGGTCCAAATTATGATCAGCTTTGCTCTTCTCCCTTTACACTATCCTAGCATTAAGACTGGTCAGGTAGTCCATCTACATGCAATTAAAAGTCACAGAGCATCATAAACAGAGTACCCTCACTATTAGGCCTGGACCACAAAACCTCAATTTTCTGACCTTCAGAAAAAGACTAATCTTTTCAAATCAGATCTCCCAGAAACTATTTTGAAATACTAAGTTTAGAAATAAATCTTAATATAAAAAAAGTTTATATCACTGACAACTTTCTTTTTTTTTCTTATATTTTATTGAAGAGATTTTAACTTTGTTCTTGTATCCGGTAAAATATGTAATTTTAAGTGGAATAATATGATGTGAAATAATATATAATAATATAATATAATAATATATAATGTGCATATATCACCAAGCACAAAAATAAAGAGAGCTGTTAGGGTTTATAAACACCATGTCTAAAGGCAAAATGTTTTCAGTTATAAAGACAGAAGTCTAAAAGTAGCCCAACCCAATACTAATGGTGACAACTCATTTACATAAATGAAAGCAGAATAATGGAGGCAAAAAGCAAAATAAATAGATTCACCCAGAAGATGGTGAATACTTCAAAATTCTGTAAAATATAATGCTTTTCATAAACCCATAAGAGTAATATGTTATCTTTCTAATATGGAAATAGTGTGGTAAAGCATATTCTTTGGTTTTCTAATAGTGGGAATGGGTATGTGCTGATTTGATCATACTCTATGAAATCAGGAGCACTTGCTTTCAGGATGGCCTACTGGCTTTAGTAATGCAGAGTGGCCAAAATGTAGGTAGTTGGCACATTTGGGGGTTGAATTGGGTCTTGACCTAATCAGTACCATGCACTAACCAGCTATTACTGTTCATGTTTCTAAAGGAAGCCCCTTTGCCTTCCTCTTCATTATCTCCAGGCTGATCATACCTGAACTGGGGTCTAATATTTCAATTACCATCAAGTTATTCTCAATGGGGGCAGTTAGGTGGCACAGTACATAGAGTACCAGGCCGAGAGTCCAGAAGACTCATCTTCATGAATTCAAATCTGGCCTCAGACACTTACTAGCTATGTGATCCTGAGCAAGTCACTTAACCCTGTTTGCCTCAGTTTGCTCATCTGTGAAATGAACTGGAGAAGGAGATGGCAAACTACTCCAGTGTTTTTGCCAAGAAAACCCCAAATGGGGTCATGAAGAGTTGGACACGACTGAAATGACTGAACAATAATTCTCAAGGAATCCCAGAACCAAGTAGCCCCAGGACAAATAGACCAATGACAATGCAAAAAAAAAAAAGGCCACATAGTATCATAATTCAATTCACTATTTAGTCAGAAAATATTTGCCATTACTTTTCTGTTCCTTTAAAAAAAAAAGGAATATAAGATTAGATTCTACTAATGAGGAATTTATAGACCACATTTTCCATTGCAACAGATTGGTTGTAAACTCAATTTGGGAATGAACTCACCTCAAACACAGCTAGGTCCACACCTGCATAAGGTATGATGTTAGGAACATAACCTTTGTAAAAGGTTTTGTATCCTTCATACTTCAACATCTTCTGGACACAATTAGATATCCTTGTGTATCTTGAAGTCGAATCTAAAGCCAACCTGGTCTTTAAAACCTGGATTAATGAAATTCAATTGATCAGATTTACCCAAACCAGAATTGTCTCACAACTACATTATCTTGCAAATTTATACAAATCTCATATATAACCATCTAAAATGGAACTGCATTTTCATTGATCAACTTCTGATGTCTTTTTTGCCACTATTTACAGTAAAGTTTGGGGGTTGAGGTGGAACTAATAAGCAAGGGGAGGGGGGAAGGCATCTTGGCTTTGCGTGACACATCTAACCCAAATTCCCTCACTATGTGTTAAAGCAAATTCTGGCTATTTATTCACACTTATAAACCGTAACAGAAACAACAAATCATTTTGTAGACCTTAAGAGAAAATTAATACATAACTATCAAGTGAACATTAACAAACTTAAAGTAAAAGAATCCAACGTATACATTAACTACAACTAGCAAAGTACAGAATGAAGAAACACCAAAGAAGAAAAAGATATTTCAAAAACATTTAAAGTAAATATACTGGAATCTTGCTCTAACACTAAATTTAGAATAAGGTGGGTCCATTTTGTATCCCATCCAAGAAACACAAAATCAAAGTGTAAAATCACATTTATTATAGAAAGTTCTATAGAGGCAGTATTAAGATACAGTCGACCATAGAAATAGAGATTTTTAAATTGCTAAATCCACCTACATTCAGGTCTAACTTGTTTGTCTCCTAATACATTTAATTCTCCTGATAAGTATCTATTCCCTGCCTGTTTAAAGTTCCACTGACCTCAAAAGGAGCTCTGTATATATGTCTGGAGAACGAGGTCCCCGAGACACTATAATTACTAATTGTATTAATGTGAGTGACCCTAAAATGTGCATATAAATGAAGATTTTCTATAGAGAGGCAGTTTGATGTGGTGGAAAATTCAACAAATCTCAACATTTATTAAACACTATGTACAGAGCATTATGCTTGGCACCGAGGGAAACAAAGTTCAGATAAGGCAGTGCAAAGAATGCTGGATCTGGATTCATGAAGACTTAAGTGCAAATCCAGGCTCAAACATTTACTAGCTGTGTGACCTTAGGCAAGTCACTTAACCTCTCTGTCCCTTGGTTTCCTCATCTGTAAAATAGGAAGTTATAATAATAGCACTTCCTTCCCGGGGTTATTATGATATGTAAAGTATATTACAAACTTTAAAGCACTATATAAATGTTACCTATTATTAAATAAGTTACAGTCCCTGTCCTCATGGAGTTTATACTATAGCAAAGTAGAGGGAGTGAGGGAAATGGGAAAGCCATGCATCTCCGAGGTTGCAGTGTGGCATTTGAAAAGGATCAAGAGACATAATTTCTGGGTAATTAACCATTTTATTAATAATGCCAGCATTTTAATAAAAGTATAGTCATTTGGCCATCTCTCTCTTAGACCAAAGACAATGATGGCAGAAGGCTTGCTCATCCTTACCTGTCCCAATGGAAGAGGGGTGTTCCTACAGGCAGCAATCAACTCTGATTGGTTCACAATTAATGGGAGAGGATGAATATTACATTGAGGGGCTGGACCTCAACTTTGATTATGTCATTTACTTCTTAAGTTACCCCCAACTGTTGGGCAATTATTCAAAGCATTTATCCCCACCCACACCTGAACAGAACACAATGGCTGCCCCACCTGGGTGGGGTCTGGATAGAGGAGGAGGTTAGCTCAACCTTCAGGAACTGAGGTTTTGAAATGAGGATAAAAGAAAAAAGGTGGAAATCTGAATCTCCCCAAATCACTGGTTATTAATAATCATTTTTTTCAGGGGCAGAAGACCAGGACTGGATACCAAGTTCTGAAAATTACTGGCAATATAACAAGTCATACAAGTCACTTAGCCTGTATGAGACTGTTTGTTCATCTTTAAAATGGAAGAAATAATATCTGCACTTCCTACCTCATGGAATCTTTTGTGAAGAGAGTAATTTGTAAAGTCCTATATAATTATCAGCTATTATTATTAAACCTCTTAGGCACAGCAACCAATGGGAAGTGCCTTCTTCTGTTCACAGAAATACCAACTTAGATGATATATTCTTAGCTGCAATATTATATTTGTCCTAAAGGAAAGTTAGCTTTACTCAGGATAGTGGCACCTAGTGACAGGAGTCTCAAATTCTGTAGCTCTAATGCCCAGTTTACACTAAGACCCAACCTAGAACTCATGTGAAAGAAATACAACCTATAATCAGCATTAAAAGTATAGCCTTGCCGGCTGTTTCATGGGGACACTTACCTCCAAGGGGTAGACCAAGGTCTGTGCAATGATTCCAGCCAAAGATCCAGAAATAAATCTCTCTGTAATTCCTATAGTGGTCCTCTCAGTAGCAAGCAAGTTTTTATACTATGTAAATAAAGGTATTCAAATGCACATAAATACAGAAGGAAGAGATTTACATCAGTCATTGGAGGTATGATTTTTGAAACCACACCTTGTTTAACAGTTCCATCCACCTAGTGGAATGTATATGGTTTGTATGCTTGTAGACATGATTCACTAGGATATTAAGCAAAGGACCTCCTTTGGATCTCCTTCTTTCCACATCTAGCAGAAGAAGGGGTATCCAATAAAACATGTTGAGTGCATGGACTCACATGCCATTCAAGCAAAATCCAGGCAATTCCTTGATGGGTACATTGTCAATCAGGTCAGATCAGGTAGGGGGTTGAATGAGGTTAGTGTCTGAAGTCTCATCCAACTCTGAACATTCTGTGGTCGTTTCCTTCTGCATCACCATGTCCGTAATGAAGCACGTGCCCCAAGATAGGGTTTGAACCTCGTACCTTTGTACCACTAACAAAAGTTGCAAATTAATATTGTGTGACAGGGTGGTCACTGGATCATAGAGTTAGAGCTGGAAAGGATCTTAGAAACCATTGAGTTCAACACCCTCATTTTACAGATGAAGAAACAGAGTCTCAAACACATTAAATGGCTTGTCTGGGGCTACCCAGCTAAGTTTCTAGTGCAAGATATGAACTCAGGTCTTCAAAACTCCAAAACCAGCACTCTAGCTAGGGCATCACTTAGCTGCCTATAAGGAATGATAAATTAAAGCTGAGGAGGATATTGGCCTGCTACACATATCAAGGGTTCTGAAATTATTACCTGACAATAATGCCGTTGATGAGAAGCAAAGTGGTTGGCCTCAGAGTCAGAACAATTCAGATTCAACTTCTGACACATGTGAGGCCCCCCCCCCCCCCGCCCCGGCACAGTTCACTTAGCCTCTCAGTGCCTCAGTCAATTTTCCAAGACCCTAAGTGGTAAAAACAGTTGTCAATATGCTCTGACAAAGCTCTCACTGAGAAGCCCCCTACACAAGTGAAATCACAAGTCCAGGCCACTCCCATCAATAACAGCAAAAAGTGTTGCTAATGACAATTAAGTCATTTTGTTCATAGTTGCCAAACAGCTTAAAAAAAAAAGTAAAACATTCATTAAAATAGTTATGAATTAGGGCAAAAACATTTTCTCTAATTTTAAAAAAAAATGAACCTGATTGATGGAACATCATTCATTTCAACAAGTATCTATCACCTTACCATGGGTATTCCACAAGGCTCTCCTTTGCCCTTTTCTCTTCTGGCTCTACACCTTCTCTATGATTTCATCAGTTTCCATAAATTCAATTATTGTCTCTAAGCAGAGAGCTCCCATATTTATGTAACTAGCCCTTCTTGTCTCTCAAACTCCAGCCTTGCATCACTAGCTTCCTGTTGGGAATCTCTACCTGAGTGTCCAGCAAGCATATCAAACTCAATATGAACCAAACAGACCCCACAAACTCCCCTCCACAAAGCTGCTCCTTCCCCGAGCGTCCTTGTTTCTGTTGAGGGCATCATCGTTCTCCTATCACCCAGGTTCTCATCTTGAAGTCGTCTTTGATTATTCACTCTCCTTCACCAGGCATCTCTAATCAACTGACAAATCTTATCAATTCTACCTCCTCTGCCTCTCTCAAATACATTCCCTTATCTTCACTCAGACTGCCACAGTCCTAATTCAGTCCCTCATCACTTCTTGCCTGGACTTCTACAACAGTCCTGCAAAGCAGAATTTCAGTAGCTCAAAAGAAATGGTAGATGTGAAAATTTAGACATCTCCACTCCAAAGGTTCATGAGGACTATTTGTGCCCAACCTACGGTAGAACTTTCGGAGCTCATTTTGGTCTCATCGGACACACTGTACCTTGACTCCAACATAGTGATGTCATTTTTATCCTCTTTGAGAATGAAGAGCAACAACCATACAATAGTTTCCTAATAAAGGTTCTTGCTTCCTTTCTCTGCCCTTTACAATAGAGTCTCCTTACAGTTGCCAAAATAATTTCCTAAAGCACAAGTCTGTTATGTCTATCCTCTAATCAAGAATCTTTAGCGGCTCCCTACTGTCTCTAAGATCAAAGATAAACTCTTCTGCTTGGTACTTAAAGCTTTTCAACCAAAATACATAAAGCCTTCTAGTCTATCTTTCAAGACATTTCAAATTACTGCCCTTCATGTACCCTACATTCCAGCAAGTCAAAACTGCTTGCAATTCCCCAAACTCAACAGTCCATGGTCTGTCTCCAAACCTTTGTACCAGCTGTCCCCATAACTAGAATGCACTCCCTTCTCACCTCTACCTCTTAAAAACCTTAGCAAGCTATAGAAGGAGATACTGTCCAACAGGTAAAGTGGGGCCAGATTGTAGAAAGCCATGACTGCCGGGATAAGCAGCTCACAAATGGCCCCAGATTGGCACACATTCCAATGTCCAATGTCCTGCATGCTCATAAAGAAGTCTTAATCACCTACATATTCATCTTCCTTTAGCCTTCGGCTCTCTGTTAGCATCACACTGCAAATTTCAAATTTTCAAAATTTCAAAATTCACAATTCAAAAAAATCCAAATTCAAAACAAAACCTAGAAAACAAATAACTTTACTCAGGCCTCTATCTTGAAGAAGAACCCAGCCTGACTATCCTTCATTCCCTTCCCAGTTTTGCTTCTAACTTTCCATACTCTCATATTGCTGTCTTTGTTACTTCAGCGTCGGAGGCCTCCTCACCCTAGTATATCCTTTTACCATAAGGGCCCCGGCTCTCATTGGTGAGTTATTCCCAAAGCCTCCAATTTTAAGAGGGGCTTAGGCCAACTGTTATCCCCCTCTCAGTTTTGCTTTTGACTTTCCAGACTTTGACACCACGCCACCATACTCACTACCTCTCCTGCTTTTCAGTTCCCTTTTGTTGGAGTGTAAGCTCTTTGAGGGAAGTGTCTGTCTTTTTTTTTTGTATCTATATTTTTGTATCTATATTTCCCCCACCTATGCTTACCACAGTGTCTGGTTGTAGTAAGTACTTAAAAAATGATTCTTGCCTCACCTTGTCTTGATGTTTGATAGAACTTCACTATTCTTCAAATATTCACTAAAGTACTTTCAACAACCTCTAATCAGGGTACATTAAGTCCAGCATACTGGTCATCATTTCATTCTCTTCTATGACTTTGCTAGATTCTCTTTGTCTCTCAATTGTTAGAGCTAAGAAAAGTTACACTAATCTTTCATTTTTTTTATCTGTCTCCTGGTTCCCTTCAGGTCCTAACTAAGATGCTACTTTCTACAAGAAGACTTTCTTGATTCCTCTTAATTCCAATGCCTTCCCTCTGAGATCATCTCCAATTTATATTGTATATAGCTTGTTGGTATGCAGTTGTTTTTGCGTTGTGTTTCCAGGGACTATTTTTTACCTTTGTATAGCACAGAGCCTGGCACATGGTATGTACTTAATAAATATTTGCTGACTTGTTGACTTTTCAAAATTAATTTGGCACTCAGGAAAAGACCCTGGAAAAAGTTATTTGAATTCTATTTGTAGTCAAGTAAAAATAAGGAAAGGGATTTTAATTTAATGCTCTTGACAGCCTAAGATAAAGAGTGAATATTTTTAAAAACTAATAATATGATACAGGAATCAAGGAGTAGTTGAAGGCTTTTGACTCAGCAGTTAGGCTAATCTCTGTAACTAGGGTCAATGTCAAGTTTAGCAAAAGTTAGATCTTCCAAGTAGCTTAAGTCAAACAGACATAATAAAATGCAAAATATGATCCACTAAAAATATAATTGTTTTGTTTATCACTTCAAGGAAATGCAAAGACTTAAACCTGTGGCTTTTTATAAATGAGATTAAATGTTTATACAACATTAGTGCTGATTAGGAGATAACATTAACTGACATTTGTAGTGAAGGCTTTAATAAAAACTAGGAAGTATTAATTAGATTTCTACAAGTTGTGATAACCTGATGAAATTTCCAGTGCTGTGACTCCCATTTATTATTTGAGATAATATATTATATGTTATATATGATGTAATATATATTTCCTTATTTATCATTATTATTAAAACATTTATTAATACATGACTCCCATTTTGAATCCAAAGTAAATTAGCAAAAATATATTATTCCTTTCATTACGGGACAAAGATACACTGAATCTCTTTTCTAAACAATAATTTTTTTTTTAAAAAATGAACTTGAGCTGACAAGTCATCATCCATCAGAAAAAATAAAAGCATCAGCCAAAAAGAAGTTAGTTCATTCATTATAATGGCAAATAACTTTTTAATCAAAGACCAAAAGATGCACATTTTCAAATACTCCTTAAGGTTCTGATCAGATGTCCCAAGGTCATTTGGCTAATTCTCAGTTTCTGCACCTTAACAAATGATATGTAACCCCTTTCACAGGCAAAGGGTGTTGCTCTCTACCAGTGAGGAAAGAATCCCATGTCAATAGGCTTTGGGACTGAGGTTAGAAGAGTTAAAAGCTTAAACCATTCAGGTGTGGAAGGCATCTTAGAATCGTGAGGTTGACCAAAAGGGGATGAATATTTTGGACATGGCAGCTCTCAAGAAACCCTTAAGGGAACTAAAAGAATAATTATAATTGTCACTACTGAAAAGGGTGTCCCCACCTGCAAAATCACATATTGAAGTGTTATAAGGAAGAGTCTGTGATAACTTCTAATAAAAATGCCTGTGGAGAAAAACAAAGCCATTCTTATTGTTTATATTAAAAACAACGTTCTTCATTTTTGTGAGAATAGTCCTAAGGATTAAAAAAAAGTTTAAATATTCTTTGTTAATTAAATTCCACAGGCAATAATAATATAGTGCCTTTTCATATGACCAGTATTTAATTGATGTTTCAGGTGCAATTTTAAGAACATTCGTAGAATTTCCCTTCCAAAGGGAATAGACACCTCCTTCCCTTAACATAGTCTCAAAGCCAGTCTTGAGAGTTATTGTCACTGTCAGTAAAGCTTGAGCCTAGAAAGGAAGGAAAAGATTGGACTAATTAATTGATAAAATGACACTTTTTCTAATTGTTGAGAAAGCATTTATATTTCTAAAACACCTCTGTTAAACATTGTTTACATTCCGGTGGTTTTCAGCTTTCACCAGAAGATGGGTAAACATTAGAAGGTACTACATATAAACATCATTTAATTCAATACAATAGTCATTAAAAAGAAATCAGCAAGTTTAACAACCCAGCAGGGATCTTATTACACTCCCCTCCATGGGTGGTTATGACTGAAATATATAACTGTCAAAAAATACAGTAAAAGTAATCTATCTATGAATCATATAACCTTGGAAGCTATCAATGTGTCAGTGAGTCATAAAGTGAAAGCTGTTTTAGCTGAGCTTAATTTCTTATCATCATAGGACGTTCAGACCTTTCCTCCTAGGGTGTGACTCATACATTAATGCTTCTATTAAGAAGTTTCTTTGTCAGAAACTTTGTTACTGGAGACAGAAATTCTATTTTTTAATTTTTATTTTTTTCTCAATTACATGTAAACAAAAAATTTTAACATTCATTTTTTAAATTTTGAGTGCCAAATTCTTTCCCTCCCTTCCTCCTTCCCCTCCCCTCTCTTTAAGAAGGCAAGCAATTTGATCTAGATTGCAAATTTGCAGTCACACAAAACATTTTCACATTAGCCATGTTGCAAAAAAATGCAGACAAAAAATAATAAAGTTAAAAAGTTTTAATCTGCATTTATATTCCATCAGTTCTTTCTTTGGAAGTAGATAGCATTTTTTCACCGTAAGTCCTTTGGAATTGTCTTGGATCACTGTATTGCTGAGAATAGCTAAGTCCTTCACAGTTGATCATTGTACAATATTGCTGTTACTGTGTACAATGTTTTCCTGGTTCTGCTCATTTTATTTTGTATCAATTCATGTAAGAATTCCCAGATTTTTCTGAAAGCATCTTGCTTGTCATTTCTTATAACACAATAGAATTACATCACAATTATATACCACAACTTGTTCAGCCATTTCCCAATTGATGGACACTTTCCATAGATTTCCAATTCTTGGCCACCACAAAAAATGCTGCTATAAATAATTTTTTACACATAGGTCCTTTTCCTTTTTCTTTGATCTATTTGGGGAACAGACCAAGAAGCAGCATTGCTGAGTATGCACAGATACGCACAGTTTTACAATCCTTTGGGCACAGTTCCACATTGCTCTCCACAATGGTTGGATCAGTTCACACTCTACCAACAGTGCATTAGTGTCCCTATTTTTCCACATCCTCTCCAACATTTGTCGTTTTCCTTTTCTGTCTTATTAGCCCAAGGCACATATTAGACTGAAGGCACAGGGCAGGATAAAGTTAGTCATCATGGATGTCAAACTCATGTGACTTAGTAATTTGATGTAGCAGACAAAAAGTCTAATGAGACCAGCTAAAAGAGAAAAAGAGCAACAAAGAGAAATAGTTTCACTGCAATCTTCCCAAGTCAGATCACTTTTGGATGCCACATTTTGGGGTGCCACATTTTGGGGTGCCACATTTTAGAAGGGACACTGCCAAACTGAAGCACATCTAGAGGAAGCAACCAAGAGGACTCAAAATTTTGCCTACTGAGGCTCAGTTGGGAAAAAAAATGCCCTTTTTGTTGTTCTTGGGTTTTTTTTCACTAACTGTAGCTCATTCTGAGCTTAAGCCTCTCTGTTAATACTCTTACACAAACAATGCTATGTCAGCGAATATTTAACAACCATCTCCCCTCCCCCCCAAAAAAAATTACTCAAGAAACACTTTAATTTGCATTATTAACATTTTCTCCATCACTTTCTTAAGTCTGGAGACAATCAACAAAACAATAAATCAATCCCTGATTTGTGGGTAGTGTTTACTGATTTCCAAGATGTAAGGGCTCACACTGAAAGCTTAGCAATTAGCTAGGGAAGTTCTCACTGGACCCAGAGAACCCCTAAATGACACATCCTTGTAGTCATCCTCAGTCACCAACCCTTACTTCTATTTTCTTTGGGCATATGTGTTTTTAAACTCTACATTAGTCATTGAGATCCCCCTGCATCCACAACAGCAATGAGGTCACTAGATGTTGTTTAGTTGTTTTCAGTTGTATATGACCTTTCATGACCAAGCGGTTTGCCATTTCCTTCTCCAGCGCATTTTACAGATGAATAAACTGAGGCAAGTAGAGTTAAATGACTTGCCCAAGGTCACATAGCTCGTAAGTGTCTGAGGCTGGATTTGAACTGAGATTTTCCTGACTCTAGGCCCAGAACTCTATCCAATGGACCACCAAGATAACTAGAGTATTTGACATCAAGGACAGATCGTTGATTTTTTTAAAATAAGGAGCACTGTTAGTTGCTAACATTATTAACATTATTATATTATATTATAATTATAGTATTAATATTATTATATTGAGAAGGCCAATATGACTGGATCATAAAATACATGGAAGGAAATAAAGTGTCAGAAAAGCAGAAAGATAGGAAGAGGCAAGGTTGTGAAGAGCTTTCAATGACAGAAACGTTTATATTAGATCCTAGAAGTAACAGTGAGCTACTGATGTTTATTGAGTTGGTGAATGGCATGGACAGACCCTCCATCTCTACTTAGTTACACCACTAACAGCTATGAGAATAATGATTGCAGTGGAAGGAAGACTAGGCAGAGAAACCCATTAAGTAGCTATTGCAACAGACCAGGCAAGAGGCTATGAAGGCCTGAATGAGGATGAATGTGGTAGTGGAGAGAAGGAAACGTATACAAGAAATGTTTTTGAAGAAAAAAAAATTAAGACTTAGTAACTGGTTCTCTTATTGGGGTGAGTAAGACTGAGTTGAGCGTGACAACAAGGTTTCAAACGAACATGACGGGAAGGACAACAGTATCCTTGACGGTAATAAAAGAAGAGGTGTGGGTTTGGGGAGAAATCATAACAAATTCACTTTTGGATAGGTTGAGTTTGAGATTCCGATAGGGCATTCAGTTTGAAATGTCCAGTAAGCAATTGGCGATTGAGATTAGAGTTCAGAAGAGAAACCCTACCACCTGCCACATCCACCACCTAGGCCCTCTGACCCCTAATTACACTGTCTCTTTAATGTTGGGACTACAGAGACAAATCATCAGAGAGATGAGGCAATCGTCTGAGCTACAGAATTGCAAAAAGGCCCTGTTAGGAAATCCCTTTTTTCAGCAAGTATAAAAGGCAATTGACCAGATGGAGAGCATCAGAAAAAATCCCGACACTGCTCTAGGGAGCCCCGTCATAACTCCTTTGGAAGAGAGCAGAGTGGATGGTTCACCTATTCTGTTTCAGAGATTTAGTTCAAGCATCCCTGTACCCCCACACCCGAGATTTGACTCTGTGGATGACTGACAACTAACTTGCATTGCTCTAATCATGACCCTTGAAGGCCTGATTAGATACTGCTAAGGAAGTGTAGTTCTGACACACCTGCCCATGCTCCTCTTGGTAGAAATGTTGCTCCTAAATCTGAAATGATTCCTTTGAAAAGCAGCAGAGAGCAGCAAGGTGGCGCAGTGCATAGAGCACCAGCCCTGGAGTCAGGAGGACCTGAGTTCAAATCCAGCCTCAGACACTTGACACTTACTAGGTGTGTGACCCTGGGCAAGTCACTTAACCCTATTGCCTAGCCAAAAAAGAAAAGAAAAGAACAGCAGCAAACATCTGTGAACCATGCACTCACCTGCATTAGATGCTCTAATGGAGCTGTACTCATTCGAGAGATGGCACCAGCTGTCATTCCTGCCACCACCTGTCTCCACCTCTGGCCACAGACTCCATCATTTTCAGTGAATTCATCTGGAACAGATAAACTCTCCCCTATGTCAATTACCTGGAAAAGTAAAAAGGAGAATTCTGTAATATTAAAATTAGAAATACATTGTCCCAGGATAAGTTTTGTCTCTGATTTTAAAATGAAGTGCCAATTTATGTAGATCTCTCAGCAGTTAATTAAGACCAAATTATTCCTAGAATGGAAGCAGTCTGTTAAGCATAAATTGTTTTAAATAACCCATTCAGACACTAAACAGTGCAATTTCCATTCAGATGGAATTAGAATGAATAGCAATTACAAATTACAATCCCCATTTAAATTCTGTTCTAGTGCCTTATTGCAGAATGGAGGTGACCCCTAAGTTCTTGAAGGCTACACCAGCAGAATTCAAGCTATAACAAGTTCTGCCAGGGTGGAAAGGTTATGGGTACAATCCTGGTGACAGACTATCACCTGACGACCATGTTAACTTAATTCAGAGAGGTTAAGCATCACAGCATTGACCTCTAAACAACACTTTTAATCAGAGATTTTCAAGAAATAATTTACTAATGTGTGGAGGTTGCCTCAGTGGAGAGAATGCTTGTACTGATGATATTATAGCTTTTTGAAATACTATCAAAGCATAAAATCATCCCAAAAAATCGAATTTTCTTGATTAACACATTTAGGATAATTTTCACCTATGTTTTTCAAGTTCTTCTTACCTATTCCTAAGTAAGGAATCAAAGAGTTAGTAACATTTTATCAGATCTTAAATTCAACTACAATTGAAATTCAAATGACCTGAATAACACCTTGCCAAACTATGTGTGTGGTAATGATGGATATTGATTGATTTGCCAATTTCTTAAGAATACTTTCCGGATCTTAAACATTGAAGTTATTCTGCCAATACAGTTCCCTTCAGACAAAGGTCAATTATATATGTTAATTTTTTTAAAAGGACTAATACATTATCCTGAATATCATCATGATGAAATGAGATAATATTTGTAAAAGTGCTTAGCATAGTATCTGGCACATAGTAGGTACTTAATAAATGTTTGTTTCCCTCCCCCCCACATTCTCCACTCAAGTTCTTTTGTAACTATTCATATTGGTAATAATGTGCCATTAGATTCATAAAGTTATGCCAACAAACTGTGGTAGATCATACCAAGCTAGAAATGTCTCAGTTATGGGCCTGGTAACAATCTATATGTCTGTAATCTAAAAGATCAGCCTACTACCAATAAGTACAGGGGGTAAATGAAGGATGCCCCTTCTTCCCACCTACTATTTGACAAAATTCTAGAAATGGTAGCTATCTCCAAAAAAATAAAAATAAAAATAAGAAAGGAAAATTAAAGCTATCAAAATTGGCAAAGGTAGGAGAGGTGGGGGACAGAATTATTCCTATTTGCAGATGACATGATAATTTGCTGAGAAAACCCTGAAAAATCAGCAAAGAAACAAATTGAGATGATTAACAGTTTCAGTAAAGAAACAAGATACCAAAAAATCTACAAAAATTACTATTTCAATAAAGTAATAACAAAAATTAGCAGGAAGTGATAGTATAATTCCATTCAGAAGACTACAAAATGCATTAATTATATGGGAGCTGATCTACCAAGAACTACAAAACATTCTTTATAGAAGTAAGGGAACATTTAAGACAACTGGAGGGATGTCAGTCCTTCATGGTTGGGCTGACCAAGAGTTTATTTGCATTAGCAGCATTGCTTGGTCTCAACTCCATGCAACAAGATTCCCCTAGGCGCGCGCGCATGTGCACACATACACACACACACACACACACACCCTTCCAGCTTCTTCCTGCATGTTGTCTTCCTCCTTTAGACCGTGTTTTAAAAAATGACGCTGTTTCATGAAGAGCAGCATACCTTACTCTAAATGGGCTATTTGACAAACCCATAATAGAGAGAGCTCTCTGGTCTGTCATGAAGTGGTTAATTATTAGTTTTGCCTTAAGAAATTGAAATGGCTACCTACCCCAGATGTATCTGATGTAAGAAAATAAAATTTGGTGGTAGCTTAACCCTTTTTTGTTAATAAATGGGTACTGAACCAGTACTCACCAACATAATAGCATTGCAGGATTGAAAGTAGGACATCCAAAATCACCTAGTTCACCCTGCAGAAGAAACTGAGACCCAGAGAAATAAACAATGACTTATATAATAAGGTCCTTTAGGTCTTATCAGATATGCTCCACAAAACTAAGTTTCCTGATTCTGATTTATTTTTAGGTAAGTTATTAGCCTTCATTTTCAGCCATTCAGATTCTCAATCTCAGAATCATCCTTGACTCTTCACTCTGGCCCAACCCCTATAACTGATCATGTGCTGTTATCTCTCTCTTCTCTTCTCCCTTCTTTATTCATTTTTTTTTTATTATTAAAGGAGCCATCCCTTGACTCACTTCTTAAAGAGGCCTATTCACTGAACGGGCATTGCCTCACTCAAAGTGATTACCTGAAAAGACCTTAGCTTAAAAGGGCCAGTGTCTCTCATTGCATGCTGGACCATCTCTAGTTGTCTTAATCAATCTCTGGCCACTGGACCCAGATGACTCTGGAGGAGAAAGTGAGGCTGGTGACTTTGCACAGCCCTCCCTCACTCAAATCAAAGTCAATTGCAAGTCATGTCATCATCTCGCTAATGTCATGGTCATCTTTGAGAATGAAGGACAAGGGAGCAGCTAGGTGTCACAGTGAATAGAGCACCAGTCCTAGAGTCAGGAGGACCTCTGAGTTCAAATCTGGCTTCAGACACTTAACATTTACTAGCTGTGTAACCCTGGGCAAGTCACTTAACTGCATTGCCCAGCCAAAAAAAGAGAGAGAGAGAGAGAGAGAGAGAGAGAGAGAGAGAGAGAGAGAGAGAGAGAGAATGAAGGACAAACCACACACACACAAGCTCCTTGAGGGCAAAGACTATTTTTCTTTTTTTTATTTGTATCCCTAGCACTTAGCACAATACCTGGCACATAGGCAAATAATTGGAAATTGAGAGGATGCCCATCAATTGGGGAATGGCTGAACAAGTTGTGATATATGAATGTAATGGAATACTATTGTGCTATAAGAGATGATGAGCAAGCCGACTTCAGAAAAACCGGGAAAGACTTGTATGGACTGGTGCTGAGTGAAGTGAGCAGAACCAGGAAAACATTGTACACAGTAACAGCCTCCCTGTTCAATGACTAATATTGATAGACTTAACCCTTCTCAGCAATACAAGGATCTAAGACATCTCCAACAGCCTCATGATGGAAAATGCTATCCACATCCAAAGAAAGAACTATGGAGTTTGAATGCAGATCGAAGCATACTATTTGCTATTTTATTTTTAAATTCTGTTGTGTTTTGTTTGCTCTTTCTGGTGGTTCCTCCTATTGGTTCTAATTCTTACTTACAACATCACTAATGTGAAAATATGTTTAATAGGAATGTATATGTATAGGCTACATCAGATTGCATGAAGTCTTGGCGAGGGAGGTAAGGAGAGAGGGGGAGAAAAATTTAAAACACAAAAGGTTGTGGAAGTGATTGTTGATAAATTAAAATTAATTAATTAATTAAAAAATAATACTTGGCATATAGTAGATACTTAATAAACATTTATTGAATTGAATTGATTCAACAGGTTCCAATTAGTGCTAAGCACTATATTAGATCTTAAAGATACAAAGATAAAAGTGAAATAATACCTGCCTTCAACGTGTTAACGTTCTGTTGGATGTCTTATATTCTACAATAAAAATGAGTATACCAGCTAAATTAATTACAGATTTGGTGCTATATAAACCAAACATCTAAGAAGGTATTTTGTAGAAATAGTCAAGATTTTTTTTAAAAAAATTATTTAAAGGGAAAAATGTTCCAGAATTCCAAGAGAAATTATGAAAAAAAAAGAGGAATTAAATGGTCTTCTTGTATCAACTCACAACTATATTATTAAACATTAACCATTAAAACTATATAGAACTGATTAAAAAAATAGAAAAGTAAATCAGTGGAACAGGCTAGCTTCTCAAGACCCTAAAATAATCAAACACAAGTCCATATTCAACCAACTGCCAGGGAATAAATGCCTCATTTGATGAGAACTACCAGAGAAAGTAAAAAGCCATTTGTCAGATTTGTGTAGATTGATCTGCTTTGATGATCTACACTACATACCATAGATAAGCTCCAAGTGGATGAAACGTAAATATAAAAAGTCAAATGATTGTTATAAACTGGGAGAACAAAAGAAGGTACATTTCACAGCTATGGGGGGAGGGGTGTTCTTAACCAAATGATAGAGATCTTAAAAGATAAGAGAAAACTTCAATTAAAATAAGTTCAAATATTTTGCACACACTAAATCACTGGAGATGAAGAAGAAATTGTCAATGAGAAATAAATCTTCACATCTAATATCTATGTTGTAAGAAGGTCCCCATATACACCAAAATATTTATAGCAGCACTTTCTGTGATAGCAAAGAATTAGAAACAAAATAAATTGGGAATGGCTGGAAAAAAATTGTGGTACATGAATGTAGTGGAATATTACTGTGCTACAAGAAATGATGTATGAGATAAATACGGAAGTATTGAAAGATCTATATGAACTGATGCAGAGTGAAGTCAGCAGAGCCAGGGGAACAATATATACCATAACTACAACAATGTAAAGAACAACCACACACCAAAAAATCAAAGTGAATGTAACAAAATCATAAAGATCAAGTGGGACTGAAATGAAGAGATGTGAAAAGACACCTCCAACTCATCCTTTTGTGGGAGATGGAAGGTCCACAGGTGTTATACATTGCACATCAATAAATTTTTCAATGTATTAATCAGTTGTGCTGACTTTTTTCCTCTTTAAAAATGCTATTTATTGGGGAGCTAGGTGGTGCAGTGGATAGATCACTGGCCCTACAGTCAGGAGGACCTGAGTTCAAATCTGACCTCAGACACTTGACACGTACTAGCTGTGTGACCCTGGGCAAGTCACTTGCCCCCAATTGCCTCACCCAAAAAAAGTAGTATTTATTATATGGGATGACGCTCTGGGAGATGGAGTAAGAGGGGATAGGATGCTGGGGATAACTATAATGATGAAAAAAAACCCAGAAGATATCAACAAAAATTTATTTTTAAAAACATCTATCTTATAAGAACCAAAAATATGAGGAATTCAGAGAATTCCTATATACATAGGAAATGTATATAAACTGATGCAGAATGAAGTAAACCAAGCCAAAAGAACAACATATATAATACTATCCCATATAATGAGAGAGTCAAAGAACAAAACATAGAAACAGTAACTATCTGAAAGAGAATGATGCAACCAAATAAGCATTGGTGTCCACAGGAGCAAGAAATGATCTTTGAGGCTCAACCCAGGAATATCTAAGACAAAGATTCATCTGGCAATTATGCCACATCTGGACATGAACTTGATGGAACTGATGCTATATACAAACTGCTAAGAGTGAGCCTACCTACTCTCATTAAAAATCATGCTGACATGGGAAGAGCATGTCTCTGAGTCACTGGGGGGAAAAGTTTCTACTTTTAGTATGGATACATCTTTGAGGTAAATATCCTTTTGTAAAATCTGATTGATGCTAATGCATTGTTGGTTGAGTTGTGAACTGATCCAACTATTCTGGAGGGCAATTTGGAACTATGCCCAAAGGGCTAGAAACCTGTATATACCCTTTGACCCAGCAATACCACTTCTAGGTCTGTATCCCAAAGAGATCATAAGAATGGGAAAAGGACCCACCTGTACAAAAATATTTATAGTAGCTCTTTTTGTGGTGGCCAAGAATTGGAAATTGAGGGGCTGCCCATCAATTGGGAAATGGCTGAACATGCTGTTGTATATAAATATAATGAAATACTATTGTACTATAAGAAATGATGAGCAGGCAGACTTCAGAAAAACCTGGAAAGACTTACATAACTGATGCTGAGTGAAGTGAGCAGAACCAGGAGAAAATTATACACAGCAATAGCCACACTGTGCGATGACTGACCTTGATAGACTTGGCTCTTCTCAGTAATGCAAAGATCTAAGACAACTCCAAAAAACTCATAATGGAAAAAGCTATCTACATCCAGAAAAAGAACTTTGGAGTCTGAATGCAGATGGAAGCATACTATTTGCTGTCCTTTCCTTTTGTTGTTTTGTTTTGATTCTTCTTTCTCATGGTTCCTCCCGTTGGTTCTAATTCTTCTTTACATCATGACTAATGTGAAAATACACTTAATATAAACATGTAAGTAGAGCCTATATCAGATTGCATGCCACCTTGGGAAGGGAGGAGGAGAAAAAGGGGAAGATAATTTGAAAGTTAAAATCTTATGGAAGTGAATACTGAAAACTAAAAATTAATAAATAGTTTGATTTTTAAAAATCCGATTGATGCTAAGTAGTGAATTAGAACTGCTGCGCTAGTCACTGGCACCTAACAGCAGAGAGAACACAGCCAATAAGTGCTTGAGCCAACAACAGTAGAAAAAGTGGCACTGTAGCCCACAGAGTTAGTATTAGAGCTAGAAATCAAAAACCATCACCTACTAATTAAGAGACATTTCTATGACACCATATTCAGCTGGAAAGCGGTACTTCATTTGTAATGTTTATTCAGCCTTAACAAGCTCAAGAATACTTTGTATATAGTGGCACAGAGAAGTCTATCATTATAATTCCCTATTGAATGAATGAGCAGAACCTTGTTTGTTAGGCAAGCCAAAGGCTCGGTAAACCTCAGGCTGGTAAATTTAGAGCTGGAAGGAATCCTAGAATACGTTTAGTCCAGTTCTTTCATTTAACTTATGAGGAAGCTAAGGCCCAGTAATCACAAAGTTAGAAGTGACAGTGCCAAGCCTTGAGTCTGGGTTCTTTGACTCCAAAACTAATGTTCTTTTCCACTGTCCCACACCTTAAAGTGTGTGTGTGTGAGAGAGAGAGAGAGAGAGAGAGAGAGAGAGAGAGATACAAATACCTACATATGTGTGTAGGTATGTATATATAAATATGTGTATATATGTATATATACACATATGTAAGTTATGATTATTCTCAGAATCTCCAAAGTTTCACATATAGTTACCAGGCAAGTCACTCTACCTGAGTCTTATAGCACAAAATAAAAACTTAAGCAAAACAGAAAGCATATTTACAGTGGAATGTTTCCAAAACTGGATTATTTCTTCATAATACCCTATAGTATTAAATGCAAAATAGTTCATCCATTCATTCCAGTCCACTGACATGGTGCTCTCATCATCTAGGCTGAAAATTGTAAGAAGATATGATCAACTGGGGAACGGCTGAACAAGTTATGGTGGATAGTCGTGAAAGAATACTACTGTGCTGTAAGAAATGGTGAGTTCAGTGTTCTTAGAAAAACATGGATAGACTTGCAGGAAATAATAAAGAGCAAAATGAGCAGAACCAAGAGAATATTTTATACAGTAACAGCAATATTGTTTTGAGAAGAACTTTGAGTAAGTCATGTTGACCATTATAAATACCCAAAATAACTACAAAGAACATATGAAGACCCTATCTGCATCCAGAGAAAGAAGTGATAAATAGAGGTATGTATAAAAAGGTTTCACATAGATATACATATTTGTGCCTAATGGTAGCCGTGTCTAAGGTGGAGGGTGGAGCGGAGGGAAGAAAAAAAGGAAAAATAAAAGAAAGTTACATGATAACTTCATTATGTATTTAAAAGGAATAGCAAGTTGTACATAACAGATTTGCAGTTTCATGTACAATCATCTTTTTTTCTTTTCTACTACGTTATGGAAATGTTTATTTTACTTCTTAAGTTCAGAAAAAAAATACTTTTTTAAGAAAATAAAAATAAAAGGATTCACCAAATTGCTCAATTAAAAGAAAGACATTGTCAAAAACAACTAAAATTCACGGTTGAAATTAGCATAACTTGCCAATTCAGAATGGCAATGCTAGTAAGTCTACCCTGTATTGCGTTCCCCCAACTACCTTTACTTTCCCATAGTAATGTCAATGCATAATAAGAAAATATGAATCCCCACAGTAACATCTTTCAAAATAGTGAATAGTCCTTAGATTAGCAGGTAGCAGCAATCTACCCACTCTAAAAATTATTGCTGGGCCTTTTCCTTCCCAGAATTGGGCCAAAAGTAGCAGTAATAGTTTAGAGCTTAGAAATACACGTGAATGACAGCACTATGAAGAACTAGGAGGGGGTGATGAGTAGAGACCGAAAATGGGAAGTTGTAGAAATGTGCCAAGATTGCCAGGGCCTAAAGGACAACCTACAGAGACATTTCCTTTCCAGAGGGGAACATGTGTGTGCTTCTAATTCACCCAGCTAGTGCCTACAAAGTAGTGCTAGTGCTCTCTGAGTCTCTAGGACAGGGAAGGGAGAAACTGTTAGCAGGGGCTTTAGGAAACAATAGAATTGGCGTTATTATAAAAATCAGATAGTCTCTGGTTTCAATATCCATCTTATGTCTCTGGATATAGTTTCTAGATTTTATTTTGGCAGGCACTGAAACGTATTTCCCATTTATAACATGATTTCTATGGGACAAAACTGTTTCCCTCACCCCCATCATTTATTGTTTAGTATAACACACTGGATTTTCCCAGGACCAATTAACATTGTTAGGCAAGGTATGTGCCAGTTCAATAGATCACTTAATTTTTTTCTTTCTGTCAGATCTTTATCTTTGTTCCACTTCAATCTAATATTTCGTGGGAACTTTTACCCCTCTCCTGTCTACTTTTGATTGACTTTCAAATAGCTGCACGTGCTTTATTTACTTTTAGTTTCCAGGTATGAAAAGAGGATTTTCACCAGGGAGAATTCAGAATTCATCTGGAAACAAGGACTATATGTAATTAGACCTACTCTCTGTTGTCCTTTTTATGAATTCTTGATTTGATCCAGGTGTAATGGGTATATAATCAGAGGAACCTCTACACCCATTGGATCTGGCTAGAGTAACCCCTTAGAGCCTGCTAGAGACTACTTCCTGTACCATGAGTGCTGGCATTTGAGCGAGGCACCTTCCAGTGACACATTTGCCCTGGATCCTTTTTGGAGGGCTATATGTACTGGCTAAGAGCTAAAAGACATGTCATTAGGAGGTGCTGTGCATAGAGCACTGGGCCTACAGTGCTGAAGATCTGAATTCAAATACAGCCTCAAACACTTACTAGCTATAGGGAAAGTCACTTTACCTCTGTCTATGTGTTTCAGTTGTGAAGTGGGATAATAATAGCTCATAGGGTTGTTGTGAGGATCAAATGAGATAACATTTGTAAAGCACTTAAAACAGTGCCTGGCACATAGGAGGCACTCAATAAATACTTGTTTCATTTTTTCCTCCCTCCTTTGGCATGATGCAGCAAGTGGAGAAAAAGGAACTATAGCAATAGGGATTGGCCCCTGCATCAGAAAGAACTACCCAATCAGTAAACCTAAAAAGGACCCACAACACCCTCTAGCACTCTCTTCCTTTCTTTCTTCCTGCAGCAGGCATTGTGGAACTCTTTCACTGTGTCTCTCCGTAAGGAGAGAGAGAGAAGCACCTTCCTTTCCCCATGTGCATAAAGAGCAATCTTGAGCAATGGACTCCTTATAAGTAACCACCTCAGAAGCTCCTGGGTTACTCAGTTGGTACTGGCTACACTAGAGGAAGGAGGCTTCCCACTTAGAATGTTTCTTAGGGAAGATGATGTCTAACAAAAGAAAGAGCCCAACCTCAGCCTGGCTTGCCAGATATTTACCTTGTTCAAGAGAGCTGTTCAGAGAGAACATGGTCAGGGTAAAGGTAAAATACCAATTCATTAGCTTCACAAAATGTCTCATTTTGTAAATTTTGTACTTTTGAGTCCTTTTCATTTTTAGTTTTACTTTCGTGTGGAAGAAATAAATAGCTGTCCCATATCTATCTCCACTGAACATTGAGTACCTTTCTGTTCCCTTTTGAGGAGACTCTTGACATGAACCATACGTAAGCTTTTGAATGATGCTTTCCCATGGTTCTAAAGTGTGAGTGTAAAACCCAAAAAATTCTTGGGGGGGGAGAACAAGAACCCTCTCTTTGGGAGTCAGGCTCCCTGAGAAGTGAACCTGGCCTGTGTTCTTGGGTCTTTGCCTAGGGGTCACTTTTTGTTGTTGTTCAGTCGTGCCCAACTCTTCATGACCCCATTTGGGATTTTCTTGGCAAAGATACTACAGTGGCTTACCATTTCCTTCTCCAACTCATTTTACAGATGAAGAAACCAAGGCAAACAGGATTAAGTGATTTACCCAGAGTCACACTGAGTAGTAAGTGTCTGAGGCCAGATTCGAATTCATGAAGATGAGTCTTCCTGACTTCAGGAGTGGCACTCCATCCACTGCACCACCCAGCTGTTCCAGGGTCCCTTTAGAAAGGGTTTCTTAATCTTTTTGTGTCATGGTCCCTTTGGCTATCTGGTAAAGTTTATGGACCCTCTCTAAGAATGTTTTAAACCCAGAAAATAAAATACATGGCATTATAATTATATTGAATATAGATATAAGAACATTTTTAAAAATCCAACTTCTCAGACCCCAGGTTAAAAACCTCTTCTTTAGAGGGAGAGGTCAAGTACTTCAGCCCTGTGATCCTAACAGTGGTTCTGTGTTATCACAGAGACATTTAAGTATAATGCTTTCTGTACTAACATCAGAAAAGAAAGTATAAAAACTGAAAATCCTGGATTCATAATCAAGACTCTATCACTTACTATCTGTGTGACCTTGAGTAAATCACTTAGCCACTCTGGGCCTCAGTTTCCACATCTGTAAAATGAGATAGTTGAACTAAGCCTCTGAAGTCTCTTATAATTCTAGATCTATGATCTTCCAAAGTTGGGCATACTGAGGGAGGAAAAGATTCTAACATTCCAGTAAAATCACTGCCACAGAATTCACCAGTAAACAAAAGGCCCCCACAGCATTTTGAAATGGTAGTATAGTCTATCAATAGTAATAAATTGTCAGAGTATGGTATGGTATGATACAATGCCAACACAACCACCACTTTGTACCTCCTTCTAATTTTGTAAACAAAGACTTCTAAAATACTACTTGCTATACAAATAAAAAAAAATAGCCTGTTATGTGGGAATCAACCAGGTCTCTATTTGAAAGTTATTATCTGTCTATAGTTATTTTTATAGAAATTGCTCGTTTACCCTACCATCTGTCTAGCTTTTCCTAAAATAAAAATGCTGTATCAGTTCAAATACCATCACCACCATGGATGTACATACCATCCTTCAGTATGAAATTCAAAGAGCTATAGAAAAAATTTTTTGAAATGTGATTGCATTATTTATATTCAAGAAGATATTACAAAAGAAGTGAGAGGGATTGTTGCAGTTTAATGATATGTTATGAGAGTCATCTCAAAAGAATCCACAGACTCAGACCATCTCCAATCCAAGCAAAGGCATTTATTGAGAATTGCGCTCTCCAGTAGGCTGAGTTCCAAAAGGAACCAGCAGTTTAGTGAAAGCAAGACAGATTTTTATAGGGCAAAAGATGTAATTATATAACAGAAATTCTGAGTATTAAAAAGACAGGAGGAGTTTTTCAAGGGATTAGGTAATAGGGTAGGGGTCCCAGTCTCGGTTGAACTATGCCTACGATTTCCCATAATGCATATAGAAAAACCCATTTAGGGGAACATGAATATATGATAATGATCTTATAATAAGCCTCTCTACATCATAAGTTCACCTAAATGACAGTTTTTGCTATTACTGTACAGATGCATATTTAGGAAAAGTTCTTTCTATTGTTCTGGGGTCCACTTCCTACTGGGGCATCCTAGTGGTGCTGCTTTCTGATTGGCTGGCTATTGTGGTCTAGTCTGAGATTAGATGGATGTGGTTGTGGTTGAGTGCGAGGACACACTTGCTGTTTCTGTGAGAAATATAACATTTAGGTCTGGGGGCAGTGGCTAGCTAGAGGTAGTGAGTAGGATTCCATCACATAGACATGCCTGCTGTCCTAGTGAGGCATATTTGGGACATGGGGTCTGGGAGCCTGTAATGTGGTTAAAACCAGACTGTGTGGTCAAATCAGGACATACCTGCTGTACAGAGAGGCCCATAAGGAAGTTAGGACATTGGGGCTGGGGGCAGCTTTATTAGGATTCCATCAGGATGGCATGTACCTTCAAGGATTTTACAATATGACTGAAGGGGATAATAAGTACAAATGAAAATACACAGAAGCCCAAAAACATAAGTATACACACAAGATAACAGAAGAAAGGGTGGTTGGTGGAGAAAGGAAGCAATAAGAAAAGTAATGAGGATGCCATGTTCCTTATACTATCTATAACTGGAGAAAATTCAAAAGATTAATTCTTCTCTGAACTTGACCCTTTCTGATGTTTGTTACCACCCGAGTTTTAAGGAAGAATGACATTTAGCAATACTCTAGTATGTTAACATTCTATGTTCTCCTCTTCTGAAAAGGGATTGAAGATGCAAAACTGACTTCCCTTTTCAGCCAGCAACTCTGAAGGTCTTTCAGTAAGTGTTCAGTAGAGTGCAGGGTTGATAGAAACTTAATAAAACAGATAGGACTTTCAGAGAAGAAGAGAGAAAGCAGGATAGATGAATAGTGTGGGATAATAAACACATGGACTTTGGAGAAATTTTCTAGCTCAATACAAACATGCAAATCTACTTTTTAAAACTTCTCTAAGTGGCAGCTAGGTGGCATAGATGATAGAGCACCAGCCTTGGAGTCAGGAGGACCTGAGTTCAAATATGACCTCAGACACATGAGACTCACTAGCTGTGTGACCCTGGGCAAGTCACTTAACCCCAATTGCCTCACCCCCCCAAAAAAACCCACAACTTCTCTAAAAGAGAAAATAGAATTTTTAATGATAACCAAAGACTTAAGATAGTGAAAGAGATTGGAGACATTTTGATTTTTATAGTACAATATCAATTTCCTTCTTTCCTCAAGAACACAGACAAGAATATTGCAAATGGGATGCAATTAGATTAACTCTCCTGATCCGGCTCTGGTTATCCAGAAAAAAAGACCCTCCTCCCAAAAAAGAAAGTTTTGGCCTCTGGTTCAAAGCCAAAGAGAGAAGGATATGAGCTGCACATGGGCCCTTCTGTGCCCAACACAGAATAGAGGAAAAAGAGATGAAAGAGACAATAGATATACAAGATGTAAATCTGCCCCATAGCTTTCCCACTCCTTACAGTCTAGTCAAATCATCTTCCTTCTTGCTACTGCCTAACAGAGATTCTTAACTTGATGTTCATGAACTTGTTTTTGAAAATATTTTAATTATTGTATTTCAATATAATTTGTTTCCTTTGTGATCCTATATTTTATTTTATATATGTAAGAACATCATTCTGAGAAATCAATTCACAGCCTTTGCCAGACTGCCAACAGTCCATGACACAAAAAAAGGGTAAGAATTCCTACTCTGTAGAGCACCCCTCACTTCCCCTGAGAGTTGAGACAAAATCACCTAATGGTCTAATTACTGGTCTAATGGTCTAATAATATGGTATAATTAACAATGGTCTAAGCTAATGGTGACTAGAGACACCTAACCTTTTTCAGATGACATGACCCTTTTGACTCAGGGCCAACAACAAAAATTCACCTTCAATCCATCACCCTATCTGAGCTTTACCCCTTCCCAAACCTATTGTTCTTCTGTAGTTGATTGGAGAATGAGGGCTGGGGAAGGAGGACAGAGGAATGGAAATGATAACTGAAAATACATATAATATAACTGAAAATATATCTTTCAATTTGAGATTCTTTTGGAAGAAGTCTCTGAAAAAATCTGGATTAATAAACTGGAATAAATCACCTTCATTTAAAGTTCTCCACTGAGTAAATCTTTTCTCTGGTCTTATAGATTAAGGTGAGTGGTATTATTACTTGGTTTCAGCTAGATACAAACCAGCTTCTCAAGTTCAAGATTGTAAATGAATTTCCAAGCTGTCTTTTTTTTAAAGAGAGAGAATAATTTTAGCTAATAAGAGCTAACATGTGCTATATTCAAAATTAACTAATATACTACTTGCACAAGTCAAAATGGTACCTTTGTAGGATTCATAGACTAAGAAAAAAATAAATTTGTAGCCAATGTTTTCTGATATAGAATATTAAAATGAAAGCTTAAAGTAATGTTCCCAATTAAGAATGAGCTAACCTTTGAAGAATGTATGTTGCTTGTAGTTTAGAGACATTTGTACCCAGTGTCTTAAAAGCCTGGACTATATCTAAAGGTTCAATTTTTCCTTTAAAAAAGAATGAAAAGAAAAACGTACCAATTGAAATTTGAAAATACAATGACAAGGGGAAATTTTAGGGGGGATGTTATAATATTCTGCAAAACTGTATTGCCATGATAGATACTTTATCACTGAACCTACTTACAAAGAAAAAGAAAATAACTGAATATTCCATCTAAAGGCATGAAAAGTTCTCTCAACATTATCATAAGGGAACTTGAAAAACAACAATAAACCTACATGTTTCTTATATTTTAAGCACATATACATTTTACATCAACTTAATTCAATTCAACTAGGATTAGGGCACCTATCACGTGCCTAGCTAGGGCATGGCTAGGTACAATAAGGGATACAAGAGTACTTTATGAAATAATCTTAACTACCACTAAAGCTATAATTTTATTTTTGTGTTACTTTCATAATATAAAGCATAATATAATGAAATGGTAAAATGTGTGATATTGACAAGAAAGGTCGGGGTCAAAGGTGATGCAAAGTACCAGAGAAGTACTGGGGGAGGTAGATTTTAAGCTAAACCTTGAAGGGAAAATAGATTAAGATGAATGGAAAAGAGACGTACGAGCTTCTGCACAGGAAATATTACATAATGTTCTAAAGGTAGCAAAGTTGTTGTTAAATCGTTTTTCAGTCATGGCCAACTCTTCATGATCTTATTTGGGGTTTTCTTGGCAAAGATATTGGAGCAGTTTGGTATTTCCTTATCCAGCTCATTTTATAGATAGGGAACTGAGGCAGTATTGAATGACTTGCCCAGAGTCACACAGCTAATAAGTGTCTGAGGCTAGATTTGAACTCGTGAAGATGGTTCCAAGCCCAGTGCTCCATTCACTGCACTACCTGGCTGCCAAGGTAGCAAAGATTCTAGCTCAAAAGTCTATCATTACAATAGCAGTTATACTTCAATGAATCTTTGATATCAGTATGCAGATAATCAACAGCACAGATCACAAACCAGTCATACTTTCTCAACCTGAATAGTTCTTGTCATGTCCTTCCATAAGTCTACCATGGAGGAGCCCAACGAGTGTATTGAGGGCCTTCATTTTGTCCCTTTCACATTATGTGTGTACCTAAGTGGACATTGCTAGCTGTCAAGGTCATGCCTTGCTATTACTATACAACTAGCCAAACTGTTCCAGTCATATATTCTTTTCTTTTTTTTTTTCTTTTTTTCTTTTTTTTTTTTTGAGGCAGTTGGGGTTAAGCGACTTGCCCAAGATCACACAGCCCCTAAGTGTCTGAGGCCAGATATGAACTCAGGTCCTCCTGACTCCAGGGCTGGTCTGTATCCACTGCACCACCTAGATGCCCCTGAGCAGACCACATCTTTAGTCACACTGTCAACTGAAAGGCACAGAAAACATAAGATGCAACAGTTGCTATTTATTGTTTGTTGACTAAAAAAAAAGAGCATTTGATCTAGAACAGATTCACTTTGGAGGTTCTCCTGCAAACAGTTATTTTCTGTGTTGGTGTCACAATCATGCAACATTCTTTAAAAGACACAACAATAGAGATAACTATTTGACAACTCTACAATTACAAATATAAGGAAGGCATAAACAGGGAAATATATACTTGCCAAACGTGTTTACTACTCTCATGGAGAATGTCCAGTAGAGAATCCAAACAAAAGGAAAGATTCCCCATAGATGGTGAGGTCTCTTCTATGCTCCTGTTTGCAGATTGCACCAAGCTCAGGAATATTGCAGACTTTTAAATGATTGAGATCCATACTTATTTAGAAGAATTTGGACTAAATATCCTTACAAGAAAAACCAAAGGAGTGAAAAATGCCTAGTACCCAGACCATGATATACAGTTGGATGGATAGCCTGTAGAGTTGGCTCTTCAGGAAGTCAAGAGGACCTGAGTTCAAATCCAGCCTCAGACCAAATACTTGACACTTACTAGCTGTGTGACCCCAATTGCCATAAAAAAAATTTTTTTAAAAAGATGTGGTCTGCTCTAAGACATCATTTTAAAAAGCCTACTTTTTCCCATATCTTCACTGAGGAAGCCCTTGATATGCGTATAAATTATTCTCATTTTCTGTAGAGATTGGGAAAGAAGTCTTGTTAGTTATTGACATTTTCTTAGTTACCTTATTATGGTAGTAATGAAGCCTGATTTTTTTCTCCCAAGAATTTAGTACCTTTTCCTCTTACATAGAACTTGAGAATAGATCCCTTAGTACCTATAGAACTATATCACCCCTAGTACAGATCTCTTCTGTGCATATTTGGTTTGGTCACAAAATCACCAAGTTACTGAATTTTTGAGTTAGAAGGTGCCTCCGTAGCCATCTTGTCCAACCTATACCTGAAAGGAATTATTAATATAACGTTGTTGTTTAGTCGTTTTTCAGTCATGCCTGACTCTATGACCCCATTTGGGGTTTTCTTGGCAAAGATACTGGAGTGGTTTGCCATTTCCTTCTCCAGTTCATTTTACAGATGAAGATCTAGGAAGTATCTGAGGCTGGATTTGAACTTACAAAGATGAGTCTTCTTTTTTCCAGGCTTAGCACTCTCTCCACTGCTCCCCTCAGCTGCCCAAATATAACATATCACCTCTTTAATGATCCATTCTAAAAAAACTCCCAGAAATTGAAGTCAAGCACAGCAGCCAATAGTTTTCAGACTCTATTCATTTCCCTTTTCTGAAAATCTGAATGTTTGCCAACTCTTCAGTGTTTTCCCTGTTTTCCACAATCAACAAGTTGGTTAACAAGCATTTATTGTCTCCTATGTGCTAAGCACCGGGATAAAAACAAATGTAAAAGACAGTCCTTACTCTCAAAGAGCTCAGTCTAATCTCATGAGGAAAGCAACATGCCAACAACTAGGTACAAATCTCCGAGAGAAGACACTAGTGTTACGAGGATCACAAAGCTTCCTTTTAAAATTTATTTTTATCTTTATTGAGGTGGGAAGGAATCTTAGCTGGAACTTGAAGAAAGCCAAGAAAGTCAAGAGGTAGAGATGAAAAGGGAGATTTTTTTTCCAATACATTTCTAGTACAAAGTAGGCACTTAATATATGCTTATTTATTGACTGCTCTCACTGACTAGCTCAGCAATCACATCTGCCATTTCTTTTAGTACCTAAGGATAGAGTACATCTGTTTCAGGTGGCTTGAATTTATCAAGAGCAGCTAAGTGCTTTCTTACTATCTCTCCTTAGATATTTTGTGCATCAACTTCCTGTTAGCCATTTTTGTTCTATCATTTCCAGTGCGAAATTCATTTTCCTTGGCAAAGAAAACAGAAACTAAAAATAAGACTTCATCAGTTCTTTGAGTTCTACCTTCTCTCTGTGGTCACTAATCATTGACCCGTAGACACACGCAGGGTCCCTAACACTTCTTCTATCCTCTTCTCCTCCTCCCCACATAACTTAAAAAAAAAAACCAACAACAACAAAAAAAAAACCACCCTTTCGGTGACATCAGCCTCAGTGCGCTTTAGCACTACTGACCCCATTTTTTCATGACTATGACATATTCTTATATTCATTCTCAATTTTCTGACCATGCCTTCACTGACTATAGAGATCTTTTAAAAAATCTAAATTGGCTGGTGAGTTCCCTCTGCATCTCTATTAGTCTCTTTAGGCAATTCCCATTTCTTCTCCTTATTGGAATTCTCTTTGTGCCTTCAAAATTTCGTACTTGAGAGTTTCTCATCTTTTCTAAGCTTACTTCCTGTATGGATTCGTTAGTCAATCTATTGGGAGCAGCCACAATGCTGACAGAGATCAGTGTAATCAGCCCAACATCATACACAAACAGGACCCTATGGAGCATCTCCATGTAGAGAAAACCATTTGTCCATTTGGATTTTTTCACAAACTTTTCACATCTTCATGGAAGATGCCATGACACTCGAAAAGAGCTTTGGTGAATATATTTCTCCTTGCTTTATGCCTCACTGGATACTGATGATCCAAATCACTGAATCACAGTGATTTGTTGGTCTTCTTCCACTTTCATTTGTAAATGTTCTTTATAGGATCTGGCTTCGTTGGATCTGATGCCAAGCTTCCTGAACACTTGTTTCCATGTTACCTTTGACCTCCTTGTGCCATCTAGTCAGCCATCGGCTGGGACAGAGGCAGAAGATTCTGAGATGCCTCCCATGGCATCAAATTTCCTGTCTCTTAAGACAGAGTCCATTTCATTTTTATGATGTTATTAGTTGCAGGCTTGAGACTTCTGAGTGGTTTATAAGCCTTTGGCCTCTTTCATGTCTTGTCTTAAACCATAAATTCCAATAAAATTAAGTCAAAGAAGAACAAATGGGAAATCCTATACTTGGATTTAAAAAAAAAGTCAACTGTACAAGTACAGGATTGTGATTCATGACTCTACAACAGTTTCCATGGAATTTAATTGCAAGTTTTAGAGAATTGAAAGCTCAATAGAAGTCAACACTATGATGAGGCCGTCAAAAAAGTGAATGCAATCCAAGGCTGAATAAATGAAGTAGAATGTACAGAAAAGAAAAGTAAGAGGATATACAGTACTTTCCCCTGGTCACCTTGCATTGGGTTCTGTGTTTTGTTCAAGATGAGTCATTTTAAGGACTTTATTAACTGGAGTATATCCAGGGGTGGCAACTTAGATGGTGAAAGGGTTTGAAACCAGCCCCTATGAGAATTTTTCTCTCTTTTTAAAACTGAAATTAATGTAAGTAAAATAATGAAAGAAATAAATGGAATTAGGTTCTTTAAAATATTTGGGGGCATAGCTTTTTGTAAAAGACATTTGTAAGGGCAACATGATGTAATAGAGAGAAAGCTAACTTCAGAGCATGGGAGACCTGGCCTCCAGTCCTGCTTCCGACACATGCTGGCTGGGTGAGTCACTTGATGTCTTAATGCTCTGGGCAACTCTCTACAGCTATACATTTCAGAGAAGGTGGCTATTTGTAGTGGTAAAGAGAGTTTTCTCATTTGGAAGTTCCCTATACCAAAGAAATCACAGATCAAGACCCTTTCCCTATCACTAAAAGACATCTACTGAAACATACCCTTAAATCAAAGCAACATTCATTTTATAGGTTCGCTTGTGAATTAAAAAAAATAAGACATACTGCTATCACTTTTGTCCAGGCTTTTAAATGTCAGCTTTAATTTTTTCCCATGGTTTTTAATATACTTCTTAAATTCATCAAAAACTGGCTTCACATCTTTTTCAGTATCTCCAGTTTTCAAAGCACCCTATGAGAAGGAAAAAAATCATAGAAATTTAGAGAAAGCCAAGCCAATTTATATTACTGGAAGTATTTGTCCAAGTAAATCAGTGACTACCAGTAATCTATTTTTCAGGACGTGGATATGCCAATCAAGTTATACAACTTCAACAATTTGACAAACGTGTTTAAAGTGCCTACTATGTGCCACGGCACTGTACCAGGTGCTAGAGATACAAGGCAAAAAATGAAAAAGTCCCCACCTTCAAGGAGCTTATAATCTATAGCAACCTTTGCTTTATTGCAATTGATTCCAAATTTTATGATTGATATTTTATTGAAATAATAAAGCAGCAATTTATATAAAACTGTGGGATTCTATTTTCAAATGTGGTTAAAGTCAAAGGCTAAATTCTCTGACCTGCCCGCTGCAGACCCTAAGACCTTTTGACTTAATATTAAAATCGACTTCAGAGAAAAACTTGCACAAAATTTACAGGAGACAGAATTTTCACTGAGAAATAATAATATGATTAATATTTATATAGTACTATGTGCCAAGCACTGTACTATGCTCTTCACAAATATTATCTCATTTGATCCTCACCAACAACCCTGAGGGCTGGGTGCTATTTATTTTTTACAGTTAAGGAAACCGAGACAAACAGGAGTTAAGTGATTTGCCCAGGGACACACAGCTAGTAAGTGTTTGAAGTTGGATTTGAACTTGGATCATGCTGATTCCAAGTCCATACTCTACTCATTGAGTGACCTACCTGCCCTGGTGACCTCCCTCTTTCGACTATTAAGAAGAATATGCTTTGTAAATTGTAGAGTGCTCTATCAGAATGAGCAATTATTTGAAAAAGATATTTTTAAAATATTACAGAAGAATGAAAATATCTTACCAGCAGGGACTCTGTTCCTCTCTGTATTTCTATCTCTCTCTCTCTGTCTCCATCTGTCTCTCTGGTCCTTACCATACCTTTTTTTTTTTTTTTTAGTGAGGCAATCGGAGTTAAGTGACTTGCCTAAGGTCACACAGCTAGTACGTGTCAAGTGTTTGGTCTGAGACCGGATTTGAACTCAGGTCCTCCTGACTTCAGGGCCGGTTCTCTATCCACTACACCACCTAGCTGCCCCTCAGCTGCCCCCCTTACCATACCTTCTTAACAATAACAATCTCCTAAATGATCTCTCTACTTTTTAGACATTCCTCACTTTAATCCAAAATGATTTAATTTCCAAAATGATCTTCCTAAAGGACAGTTTTGATCATGTCACTCCCCTGCTCAAAAACATTCAATGTCTCCCTAGTACTTCCAGTATGAAATAAAAAGTCCTCAGGCTGATGTTTAAAGCCCTTCATGATATACATCTAACCTACCTGTCCAAACTTATTTCCTACCACCCTAATTTATGCACTGTCCATTTTAGCCAATTTTTGGCCTGCTTACTGCTCCTCAAACTAAGAATTAAATCTACTGTCCAGTAGATAAGTGCTCAAAGAATATGATCAAACATCTCTCAAAAGAAGAATTGCAAACTATTAACCATCATATGAAAGAATGCTCAAAGTCACTAATAACTAGAGAAATACAAATCAGGAACTAGGAAGTATACTCATAAATATTTAACAACCAGAGATCTGGGTAAAAAAAAATGTATGTATGACAACTTTTAAGTTTACTCTGTCTTATTAATGTTCTACTCATAACTTTTATAAGTCTAGATAATAAAAATATATATATATATATCAAGCTCTGGTTTATAGTGTTTGCTGATTTACAACGTATAAATGCTCAAAGGGCAAATTTAATCATCTGCTCTCCTGAGCCAGCTCCACCTGGTTTCAGCACACCCCTGAAAACAACCCTGAGGTTCCCCCTCACATCAGGAATTTCACTGGTTTAGGGAACTTCCAGGTGAGGAAACTCCTTCTATTTCCACAAGTCAGTTGCTTCTGAACAATTTATAGTCTTAGAGAATGGCATAGGACATGAAAAGTTTGAGTGACAAGGTCAGAGGCAGAACCTGAACCCAGTTCTTTCTGGCTTCTAGGCCAGTTTGCTAACCATCACATTACGTTGCTGGCTCAGCTAGCAGTAGTTCTCTGAACAACAACAAAATCCTTGACATAATAATGATAGCAATGGCAATAACTTACATTTATATGGCACTTTATAGTTTGCAAAGCACTTTCCATACCTTATCTCATTTGATCCTCAAAACAATCCTGTGAGATGGACACTATTACTTTGCACATTTTACAGATGAGGAAATTGAGGAGATTAATTGGCTTGCCTAGGATCACACATTAATTATGTTTGGTGACATTCAAACCCAGGTCTTCTTGACTTCAAAACTATTCACTATTTCACAAAGAGGCAATACAGGATACCTCAGAAAGTGCTTTTTAGTTTGATGCTTAAGCACCTTTTAGGCATCACTAGATACCAAAAGGCCTTCTTTATCGCTCTGGTTTTCCACTATCTTTGCAAACCTTAAAGTCATATAAACATATAAATGAAACATAGAAATACATTATATTATATAAACATATAAATAGTATAACATATAAATATAAATAATATATAAATAAAGGTGCATGTTATGGGGCAGCTAGGAGACGAAGTGGATAGAGCTCTGGCCCTGGAGTCAGGAGGACCTGAGTTCAAATCAGGCCTCGGACACATAACACTCACTAGCTATGTGACCCTGGGCAAGTCACTTAACCCCATTGCCTCATAAAAAAAAATGCATGTTATAATATATAAATAATATGAATAAAACATATAAATGTTATCTAGTATTGGTACTAAAATCAATAATCTGGCATTTGCAAACAATTACAGTTTTCATGTTTTCTAAAAAAAAGTTTTAAGTTAGAAAAGTACACATGTGTACCATCTAGAATAGGCCAGGATTTCCCAATTCCCAAAATAAGTTAACTTGAGGATTAAACAAATAAAAATAATAATCTGGCATTTGCAAACAAATTAAAAGTGCCATAGAATGAAAAATGAAAAGTACACATTGTAACTTGTTTTAAGTAGCTAAAGAGTACCAATGCCAATTGGGCTACAAAAGGGAAAATCCGTCAAATATTTTAAACAAAACCCTCAGAATAATTTCACCAAAAAATAGTTTTGTTTACTAAAGTCAAACACCATTACTGAACAACTGAATCCCACTGGGCCTCCAAACTGTTTCTCTTCTATCATGAACTGTTTGGAATGAATGAATAAATGAATGAATGATCCATTAAGTGCTTACTATGTGCAAAGTCCTGTGCTAAGCCCTGGGAATACAAAAGGAAAAATCAGACAGTCCCTGCTCCCTAGGATCTCCCATTCTAATCGGGGAGACAATGTATGTGGTAAATTTCAGATACAAATCAGATCGGCGGAAAGTATCCCACAGTCCTTGGGGTACAGCAGCAAAGCAGAGGGTCATTACTCTTCTTTAATGTAATTTCCACTGATGAAATCATTATCAGTTTCTGATACTTCAGTAGTTGACAATGCCAAAGAGTGGTTTTAAGAAATTCTGGGTCCTAGACTGTCTTTTTTGGGGAAATGGTGATCAAAGTGGTGGTGGCTCTTCTTGCTTGGCATTATGCTGCCTCCTGTCTCTCACTCAGGTTGCCTTTCTGCTTCAGCTGGGCTGACTTGCCTGCCCTGTGGGTGACAGTTGGTTGGCAGTTGATGTCAATGGCTAGCCTAAGTTTAGGTATCTACCTCATCACCCAATTCAGTGCCTTGCTTAATAAACCTTTGTTGTTGAAGTTGTTAATTGTTTAAAATTCCTATTAATAAGGCTGGAGGAGTCACACTGTTGGATAACACAGCAGCAGTCTCTAGCTGGGGTACAGTCATTTTTTTAAACCGATTTTTCATTACAACAGAGTGAAGAGGTAATTCAATGCAGTGGATGGGGAATGTTTGTTAGAGGCGGAGAGTCCAGGACTCACATCCTGCCTCTGACGTTCCCGTGTGTCTGTCACTGGGCAACTCCAACTAATTCCCTGGGCCTTTTATACTAAATCAGTAAGATCAGTTATGATCTGAGTAGATGTTCAAAATCTGTGGTATTTTGTAATAAAGAGTTCAGACATTGCAGTTATCTTTGAGAGGTATGTTCTCACACCAGCAGGCTCTGCACTGGCCAAAGTCGGAGAGCCTGTATATGTTTTCATCATGAAAAGTGATTTTAGTAAGTAAGATAGAAAAAGTTTCCTAATTGTCCCTGGCCAGCGAATGAGGAGCTGCCCGCTCTAATCCCTGTTACATACCTGTAAAGGAGCATCCAGTAGCAGTAGGTAGGATGTCTGGGGGCTAGAATTCCAGCCAAGTTTTTTTTTTGGCTCAGCCTAACATCTCTGCTGGCCCCGCCTCCCTCCTTCCCCGCACCCCCACCTTGCCTACGGAGCTGGGCGTGGTGCTGAGGCGCAGGAGGCCTCCTGCCGCTGGATAATGTCCACCTTCCCGGTCCCGTAGCGGTCCAGCTGCCAGAAGAGGTTTTCATAACACAAGTTGGACTCTCCGTCTTCTTTATTGCCGCAGGTGGGCAGCACGAAGCCACGCACCCAGCCGAGCATCGCGCCCAGAGGCGGTGCTGGGGGGTCCCGAGAACGTGGGGAAAGCCTCCTGCGGCCAGCAGCCGCTGGACTTGGCCGAGGACGGAAGGAGGTGGCTGCTCTGACCTCGGGTCTCTGTCGGAGCGGGGTGGTGGCGGTGAAAGGGAGGGTGCTCCCCGTGGAGCCAGCATTTTCGTAAAGCACTGCTGCGCGCAGGGGAGGAAAGACGCCCTGCGCTCCCGCGGGCGGGGGGGGGGGGGGGGGGGGGGCGGAGATACTATAACCTGAGGCTCTTTTACTTTCGGCCCATAACTTAACTTCTTACACTCCCCTTTCTCCATTCGCAAAATTGAGCAGGGTCCCTATCCCTTCTCAGTACCCTCGTTCAGAGTAGAAAACATTCGGAGGTTAGGAGGAGGTGGGCAGGGTAGGTAAAGATTTGCCCTGAAATAAGCACAGTCCTAGAAATGTATGTCACTGTGTCCTTCTGTCCACCCCTCTCAGGCATTCCACATGGACAGTCTTGTACTGTATTTGCCCCAGTATATATTGTTCTTTAGAGAAGAGATTGATAAAAAAAAATTTAATTTAAATTAAAAATTAAAAAAATACCAAAATGCTTTCAACAAAAAAGCATTATTGAATTTTTATTTAAAACTTATTAAAATGTATTTATTAAATATAAATATTTTATTTATAAATACATAAAATTCATTCAGCAATTGTGAGGTTGCTGAAATGTATTGGTGGAGGGAGTTTTCACACCAGGAACTCCCTACATCAATGAAATGATAGGTCCTAAACAGCACCCCTATTCCCCCCCCAAAAAAAAGGGCTGAGTATTGTGGTTGGGGCTAGAGAAACAAACCATAAGACCCTCAAGGAGTTTACTACCTAAAAGGGAAGCCTTTCTTTTATTTATATCCTCAGCACATTATTGAACCTGGCACATAGAAAATACTAAAAGCTTGTTGACTGACCAGTAAAAAGTTGGAGATAAAATTATAGAATTTTATGGCTACCAATGCTACTTTATAGCTGCCAATGCTACTTCATCTAGCCCATGCCCACCTCCATTTTACAGATGAGGGATAAATTTAAACCCTCATATAGTATTGAACTGACAGCCCACTTCATTTCTTCCTAATTAAAGTTTTATCCCAGCATCTTAGTTGTGTCCTCCTGCCTCCCCAACTTGAGGTAGTGGCAACCTGCCTTACCTTAAAAGTAAGGCTTTTAATCTTACTCAAGATGGAAGTCCTCTAATATTACACCAGAATCTCATTTATCTTCAGGTCAAGGTAAATGTCCTTATCAAGAGAGAACACCGGGATGTGGATCTACAGAAAGTCTCTTTTGCTTATCTGGGCAGACTTCAAGAATACTCTGCCAGGGGAAAGGTGTGAATTGGGGCACTAGGGTTCTGGGCACAAAGTAAGGACCCATTAGACCCTTTGCACCAGTTGAAGGCATTTACTGGTCTGTCAGAGTTTTGGTTCTTTTAGGTCTTAAGTGCAAAATTACAATACAAATTTAATTATCATATTTCATCTCATTAGATGAAAGGATTAGGGACTGGATCTGTAATTTCAAAGGTATAGAAAACTTGGAGATAAAGAAACTCCCTGTACTGATTGAAGAAAGTCAGTCCCTTCTCTGCAACTTAGAGCATTCATGAGTTGCCTAGAGTAATGGAAGTGTGTATCTTTGTGTGCAGTCAAGACCAGGTAAGACTAGTTGCTAATCTTCTGCAGCCTTTATCTATACCACTCATTGATTTATTTAATCCTGCATCCCCAAGTGACTATATTTCTATTGGCACTTGATCTATTAACCACCCTATTGTTAAGGTTTTCCTATGATTCAGTCTTGTCTCCCCAACAATGGGCAATCCACCTGACATCTTTGATTAACTCTGTGAAAACAGCACTTTAGATAATGCCATGTTACCAAGGGCAATTCCACAGGATACATTGGTGGATTTCAAGGGACATAGAATACCATTGATGTAAAGATAGCAGCCCATCTATGTTTTTCTTTTTTTTTTTTTTGTTTTAGGCAATTGGGGTTAAGTGACTTGCCCAGGGTCACACAGCTAGTAAGCATCAAGTGTTTGGTCTGAGGCCGGATTTGAACTCGGGTCCTCCTGACTTCAGGACCGGTGCTGTATCCACTGTGCCACCTAGCTGCCCCCATCTATGTTTTTCTTATCCTGAGAAATTGTCTTTGTCCTTCCACAAGACCTCCATGATATCTGTCCAACTGACTACAGGTCTTCCTTTCAATCATTTAACTTTGTATGGTGAACTAGTAGACCTCTTGATATTATTTTTCACTATTCCTACAAAGAATATATATATTTTTTAATCTGGACTTATGATTTCATCCAAGCCAGGAAACTCCACTATGAAAATCAATGAATGAATGAAAGGAATAAAAAAGCATTTATTAAGCACTTACTATGTGTTGAAGGAAAAATCAAATATTACAAACTATACAAGGACTTGGTAAAGCAGATAATCTCATCCACTAATATTTCTTGTCTTTAGAGAAGATATATGCATCACTTTCTCATAGTAGTTACCTCAACCCTACATTCTTAAATCTTCTTTAACTGTTGGAGAAGTATTTGGTCACCTCCTTTGAACAAGAATTGTTTTCGCATCCTGTTAAATCTTGACAGTTGCATTATAAATAGTCCCTCATTTAATCTCTTGGAAAGATTCCTCCTTTCTCTATCCCCATTTGTCCTATAAAAGCTATTAATTATCTATCCTAAATTACCATAGAATCGTGCTCTGATTGGCTATGGTCTCCAAGGGGTTCTGAAAAGTTTGAAAAAAAAAACTCTCAGTACTCTAAGAAGATGAAGCTGCTACTGTCTTCAAAGCCTTCCTTAGCACACTAATAAATTTTCTTTTTCTTTTCTGTTTGGTTAAGGTTATCAGACCAGCCCCACCCACCCCTACTCCCCTGGATCTGTCAGCAGATCCAGCTGGTGAGTGAGATCTCTGAGGGCTTTCCAAGAACTGAGGCTAGGAAATTCCCCAACAGCACAAAGCACTGAGCTGAGTTCTGGGGATACCTAGAAAAGCCAGACAGGTCTTAGTCTCAAGGAGTTCACATTCTAAGAGGGAGAGGCAACCTGAGTAGGAGGTTTTAGCTGCAAGTCAGATCGATAACCCCCATGGTATATTGATTGCAATGACAAAGCTTTAATGTTATTTCCTCTGATTTTTAAAAGTCAGCATCTCCAGCTAACAGTCTCTGACGCCTTTGATGAGATTCTTGGAGTGCTGGGACCCCGACCCGACATGTGAGTCCTGCCCGAATGAATTCGACCCACGTCTTCTTTCAGCCAAAGATAAAGTTTTATTACCGATGACCATACAGGCCAGACTCTTAAGGAATCTGAACATTAGTGACACCCGTAAGGACAAGCGGGCATGAGGAAATCTCAGCATTTAAAAGGGGGCCAGGATGGTTCTTACATACAGCCGAGTAATTTTGAGGTGTTGGGAGGAGGGGCTGGGAAGAGGATCTGGGTGACCGGGGGAGGAGTTTAGGAAGATGGGGAGTGTTGGGCTAGTTGGGGTAACAAAGAGCTGGAAAGAACCAGTTGGATGGGGTCAGGATAAGATCAAAGGTGGGAAATATACTAGGATCAAAGATTAAACTTCTTCATTAGGATGTCAAAGACTAGGCTTTTTAGCTTTTCTGGGGCTCGTAGTCAAATGGGACCCAAATTCTTTTTTGGAAGGTAAGGGGCAAGCCCATACCCTGTCACCTTGAGGCAGATTCTGAACTGGTCATTTGGACTCCAGAGTTGGCCCTTTAACCACTACACAATGCTACCTCTCATAGGACAGATAAAAAGAGCTTTTTTTAAGTTATATTGGGAAAAAGAGGAAGAACAAAGGAATTGTAGAACCACCACTTAGTTTGCTTCTCTTTTTTCTGCTGAGAAGAATAATCATTGGACCAAAAAGGTGGGCCAAAAATGGTTTATTAGTAATAATAGATAACTGATAACTAACGCTTCCTTGGCTACCTTCAAGATACAACTCAAATCCCAACTTCTGCAAGAGTCTCTTCCCTGTCCCCTCCAGCTAGTGCCTTCTCTTTGAGATTACCTCCCATTTATAATCTATATGTATTGTAGGTAGTAGTTGCTTACATATTGTATCCTCCATTAGGGCTCTTTTAGGACAGGGCCCATTTTGTGGGGGTGAAGGGGTTGCCTTTCTTTGTATCCCTAGGGCTTTGCACAGTGTCTAATATACAGTAAGTGCTTAATAAGTGTGTGTTGACTAACACAGAATTGAAACCTAAGATGAGTAGGGAGATAGGAAGATGGCACCTAAATACTCTGAATGAGTTCAAACCACTGGACTGAAAAGAATTAATAGATGTGACTGATGAACCACTGTCAGTGATCTTTAAAAGTCTTTGGATAATAGAAAAGGTACCACTGGACCAGAGGAAGGCTCATCCCGGTCTTCCAAAAAAGGAAGACTAAAATTAGCAAGTATCTAGAAAAGAAAGCTATTATCAAAAAGGGCCAAGACAGCTTCACAGAAGGATGGAGGAAAATAAGCATTTATTAAGCACCTACTGTGTACCAAGCACTCTGTGAAATACTTTACAAATATTATCTCAATTGATCTTCATAACAACCCTGGAAAGGTAGGTGCTATTATTGTCCCCATTTTACAGCTGAAAGTGGGGCAGAGGTTAGGTGACTTGCCCAAGGTCAAAGTAAGTGTCTGAGGCCAGAATCAAACTCAGGTTATCCTGACTCCAGGCCCAGCATACAATCCTGAGGCCACCTACTTGCCTCAAGATTATAGAGATGTGGTCAAAATGATAATAAAGTCAGTTGGATTCAGAACTGATTGAATGGCAAGACCCAAAGGATATTTATTAATAATGCCTCAGTATCAGTTTGGAAGGTCTTTAGTGGAGTACCCAAGAGATTTGCATTTGGCCCCCTTCAGTTTTACATGTGTATCAGTGACTTCAATGAAATCATAAATGGTGTGCTTATCAAATACAAAGATGACCCAGAGCTAAGAGGTATAGCTAACACAGCAGATGACAAATTTAAGACCCAAAAACATCTTGACAGGCTAGAACACAGGGCCAAATTTGGTAAGATGAAACTTAATTCAACAAGCATTTCTTAAGTACCTATTACGTACCAAGAACAATCTTCAACACTTGAAATGCAAAGATAAAAACAACAGACCTTATGCTCAAGAAAGAAGCTTGCTTTCTTGGAGGGGGGAGGGAGCCAAACAACATATATGCAGATAAAAACAAAATAAATACAAAGAAATTTCATTGAGCATGGGGGATACTTAAGGGAAATCAGGAAAGGCCTTTGGTAAAAGGCTGGCTTTGAGAGTCTTGAAAGGAACTAAGAGGTGGGGGTAAAGGAGAACATTCCAGACACAAGGGACAGACTTTGCAAAGGGACAAGAAGTGTCATATACAATTTACAACAAGTAGGTGAGTTGGGTTAAAATCTAGAGTTTGTGAGGGAAATAATGTGTAATGAGCCTGAAGAGATGATAGATTGGAGAAAGCTTTTGAAGGTCCTCAAATGCTAAAACAGAGGGGTTTTTTATCCTAGAGGCAATAGGGAGCCTCTGATGCTTCATGAGCAGAGAAATTATATAGTCAGACCTGTGCTTTAAGAATATCAATTTGACACTAATACACTGTTGGTGGAACTGTGAACTGATCCAAACCATCTTGGAGAGCAATCTGGAATTGTGCCCAGAGAGTTATAAAACTGTGTATAACCCTTTGACCCAGCAACACCACTAGTAGGTCTGTTTCCCAAGGTGATTGGGGAAAAAGGAAAAGAACTTTTATGTTCTAAAATATTTATAGCAGCTCTCTTTGTGGTAGCAAAAACCTGGAATTTGAGGGGATGCCCATCAATTGGGGAATAGCTGAACAAGTTGTGGTATGTGATTATGCTGGAATACTACTGTGCTATAAGAAATGATGAGTAGGTTGGTTTTTAGAAAAACATAGATCTGCATGAAATAATGAAGAGTGAAATGAGCAGAACCAAGAGAAGGTTGTACATAGTAACAGCAATATTGTTAACTATGAATGACTAAGTTATTCTGAGTATTATAAATATCAAATCAACTACAAAGGACCTATGAAGGAAGATGCTACATGCCTCCAGAGAAAGAATTGATAAACAGAACTATACATAGTATGCTTTTACATAGACATACAGATTTAGATATAGATATAGATGTAGATGTAGACAAAGATATAGACATAAATATATCTGTGTCAAATGGATGGGGCAGAGGAGGGAGGAAGATAGTTTGCAACTTAAAATGTAACAAAAAAAATTTTTTTTAAAAATAAAAATTTGGCAGCTACCCAGAAGATTAATTGGAGAAAAGGCTGGATTCAGGAAGACCAATTAGAAGGCTGCTGCAATACTCCTGCTGAAAGCACATGAAGGCCTGAATTAGGTTGCTTTGGTGTGAGTGAAGAGAAAAATGTGAGGGAAAAAAATTGTAGACATAAAATCAACAACAGTCAGCAGCTGGATGGATATGGAATTTGATTGGGATGTACTTCATAGCTATAAGTATAAAATCTAACACTTGGATTCAAGAAAGCAACTTCATGATGATTGTGGAATCAGGAATCTTCACACAAATGAGGAAGGTGCGGCAAGATCGTTTTTTATTGTACTGTAAGATAAGTGTGAGTTAACAGTGCGAAATGACAACCATAAAAATTAACGTAATCTCAGGCTCCACTAAGAGAGGTTCAGGGTCCAGAACTAATGAGGTCATAGGCCCGATGCACTCTAAACTGTTCAGAGCACATTGGGAGTACTGTATGCCATTCTGGGAATAATATTCAAGAAAGAATATGGATATGTTGAATAGTGTCTGGAGGAGGGCAACTAGGATGGTGAGGGTCTTGAAGTCATGCCATATTAGTATTAGTAGAAGGAAATGACAATGCTTAGCTTGGAGAAGAGGCAGCTAGGTGGCACAGTAGATAGAATGCTTCACCTAGAGTCAGGAAGACTCATCTTTCTAAGTTCACATCTGTCCTGGCTACTTACTAGCTGTGTGACCCCAGGCAAATCACTTAACCCTGTTTGCCTCACTTTCCTCACCTATAAAAATGAGCTGGAGAAGGAAATGGTGAACCACTCCAGTATCTCTGGCAAGAAAACCTCAAATGGGGTCAGACAGGCCTGAAAAACAACAGAACAACAAAAGCTGGGAGAAGAAAAGACAAGTTTGAAAGGCTACATGAATATATTAAGCTTGCTCTGTTTGGCCCAAAAGACCACAACTAGGCATAACAGGTAGGTATTCCAAAGAGTGCATATCTTTTTGAAAAGATTTTACAAATGAGGGATAACGCTTGGAATTTGAAAAGGAAAATTTTATTGCATTAGCCATGGTCATTACTATTCTTGCCTATAGTTTATGTATTTTAACTAATTAACCACAGCCAATTTAACCTAATAAGATCTACAGTGCATTAAGTAGTTTCCCCATGGAAAATTTATAGGAAAATGTGGACCAGAATCAAAAAGATTGAAAAAGCAATGTAGTATTGCTAAGTATGCCAGTGAAATAATGCCTAATACCAAGGAAGTTCAAGAATACCTCAAAATATCAAAGATAGAGTCTTATTTTATATTCTGATAGCACATGGGATTTGAATGCTCAAAATTAAGTCCATTCTTAGCAAGACCACTATGCTTTCTGGAAATTTTTTTTTCTTTTGCTGAAAATAAAGATATTTCATGGTATTTTGAATTTTCTTCCCAAATGATCTGAATGCTGGGAAAAAAAACAACTTTAACAATCTCAGACCCTCTGCTAGCCAAAAGGTCACGTTAAGAAATTTTTCCAACTTATTGGGCCAAGAGTATAAAGAACCACTTGCAGACAAAGAATAGCAGCTTGAGTTTCCCCAACAAGCCAAAGAAATGACAATTTACAGAATTCTCCGCAGGAGCTTAGAGGAAATGTCAAGAGCTCTGTAGGAGGTCAGGAAAAGCAGACATATGAAGACAGTTAACGCTTAAAGATCCTAGGCAGGTTATGTAACAAGGGTGGCAGACAACAGATGTTCCATCAGATTTACAGATTCAATCTCACAGGTGCACAAAACTTGATGTACGTCAATAATCAGGTTGTCTGGGTAGAAATAGAAAGTGAGCTTGATAGCCAATTACATAGCATTTTGTTCTTCTGTACCTACACCTATTGATAAGTATTGATTGAACCAAATGTAGGAAATTAGGTAGAATCTTGTCTACAGGACATGTACCATTGTACAAATATCTGTATGATACATGTGTATATATTATACATACAGAATGATTTTTTCATGTTTTAATTCATTAATGTTTTCCAGTAATTGACTTTTCATGATTCTCAATTCTAATAAAAGGCTGATATTAATATACTTCTGGTGGTAATGTTTAGCTGTGAGTCATGGAATACCAGAACCTCTAAAGAGCAAAAATTTCAAATGGCCACAAAGTACAGCACGAGTGTGAGTAGGCTGTAGCACACCAGCAATGGAGATCCGTGCAGAAGCATAACAGAGATGTATAATTAGCAAAGGAAGCAGGTCATTCAGGTAACAAGAGAGAGGGATGACAATGGACAGCCCACACTGGTAACCCACAAAAAGTGGAGAGGTCTAGAGGAAGGGCCCTGAAACCATGGGAGGACCACCAATGGAGAAGCTTAAGTGACAAGAGACACAGAATAGGGAACTGTGCCAGGCTTGTCATTTACACCATTGATAGGAACACCCAAATGTAGAGATCCATTGAAGCGTCGAGGTTTTTAAAGACTTTATGTAAGTAGTATTTCAACATACAGGCTTTTGGGAGTTAAGGTATAAACATTTAACATCAGCTGGTAAGGCGCACCACAACTTTTATAATTTACTTCCCACTCTAAATCTCATCCTAAAATGTGTTTCAGTTCAATTATGCAAGCTTCAGGTTAGGCCTCAAGGGATCTCAGTCAGGAAGGCAAATAGAATTCTAAACATATTAAGGATTTCATTTACAAGTAACATCAATATTATGATTTAATATTTAAGTTCCAGCGTATACAAAATTAAAGTAAGATGTTCTGGGTGGTATTTGATACCTTCCTTCCTCTTGGATAAAGATACCACATCTCTTCACATGGATCTGTGACAGTTTAAAAGAAACAAATCAATCCAGGAATTGTTGTGTTTTTAAGCCCTTCTGCTCAGTGCCAATAGTTCATGCATTTCATTTCTAGGTTGCTCCCAAAATTTTTTGCACTTTTTCAAACACCAAACGGCCGATGCCAACTGCTGGAAAGAACTTCACAAAGTTGGGAGTGATGCCCCTGAATAAGCCTGTTAGCCCTTCTTTGACAATTATTTCTTGAAAGAAATAATAGATGTTCCTCTGTGGAGCTCCTTGTATGGAAGATAAAAAAACAAAAAAAAAAAGTCAGACTACTTTAATACTAACTTCCAAGTCTGTTTTTGCATGTTTTAATGTTATGTTAACATAGTACATATAATATAGTTGCACTATCGTTTACTACAATACCAACTTTTCTTTAAAAGCTTGGACCATAAGTTCAAGCTGACAATGAGCATCCCCCCTCATGAGCATGTGTGAAGAACAACAGTTATAACTATTAGATGGGTGTTTTAGTGACACTTGGATTCCTGTTTCTCAACTGTTATTCTGCCTTTTTTCTTTGTGATGCCTGGGAATTTGGCTTGGATTTTTATACTACTGTAGAAAACCTCTGTAAGACATTTCAGAACACGCCCATTGATCACAGTAAATGGCAGGGACATTTTTCTAATTCTCTTTAAAAACCTACACCATTCACAAGGAGGCCTTCACCATGCCAGATTCCATTAGATATTGCTGATATTTTCTTGTAGCAGATTTTTATTATGGTATTCCGAGGGTTAGGGCAGATGGAGGGACAGCCCCAAGGGTTTAAGTCTCCCTTCTGACACACACTGACTGTGTGACTCTAGAACAGGGGTGGGGAACCTGTGGCCTCCAGGCCTTCTAGGGCCTTGGGTGCGACCTTTTAACTGAGTCCAAGTTTTATAGAACAAATCTTTTGAAGGGGATTTGTTCTATGAAGTTTGAATTCAGTCAAAGGGCCACCCTTGAGGATCTAGAAGGTCACATGTGGCCTTGAGGCCACGGTTTCCTCACCCCTGATCTGGAGCAAAACATTGTAGCACTTGGTGCCCCCAGACAGTCCTCTAAAGTTGAAGAACAGCTGCTTATCTGAACTGGGAGAATGAAATAACAGATCAAAACTATTAAAAAAAATTTTTTCTAATTATATACAATCCCATTATATAAAATGGAAATTACCTATAAAATTCTAACCTTGCCAACCTAATTCTATCATCACCCTAAATAAAGCTAAACACAGTATTAACTACAATGCCCCAGAAAGACATTTGAAGCCTGTACTTTCTCTGCCAGAATTATTCAGGAAATAAAGGCATCACTACCTAGTAAGGTTCTTACGTTAGGTATCAACAACAAGTCAGGAAAAACCAGATCTTCAAGATGATTGAACTTCGTTATTGAAGAAACTACTCCTCGTAAAGTCCAGGTCTCAGGATCGTGCCAAACCAACAAATACAGTAACTCAAAATCCGCAAAATCCTAAAGACCTCAAAGAGAATGCCAGCCATGTGCCAGGTGAAGGAGTAGAGAGCATGATGTACTTGGAGGAAGGAAGACCTGCATTCAATAACTATCAATAAACATTTATTAAGCACCTTCTATGTGCTGACACATCGCAGCCACTTAACAGTCTTATGACCCCAAGCAAATCGTTTAACCTCTGAGTCTATTTCCTCTTTTGTAAAATGGGGATAATGATAGTATCCATTTCAAATGGTTGTTGTGAGGATTGAATGAGATAATGTGTATAAAGCATCTACAAATCTTAAACACTATATAAATGTAACTATTTACAATAAAACTATTATTTGTTTTTCAATAAAACTATTTTCAATGAAACAATTTTTTTTCAATAAAACTATTATTACAATACACATGGATGAGGCAGCATGTTGGAATAGGGAAGCAGCCTTGAAACCAGGAAGAGCTAGATTCAAATCCTGCCTCTGAGGCATATTGTCTATATGACCTTGGGCAAGTCACTTAACCTGTTAGTCCTCTAGCCAGCTCTCTAATGCTATCAGTTACAGGGAAGGTGCCAAGCTGCACTGGTAGTTTTCCCACTGAGAGTTCTTTACACCAATTAAATCATAGGTCCAGTCCCTATCCTGACCCTAAATAACCCTTTTTCTCTCTTAGCTAACACAATACTTTAACCAATTTTCTACCCTCTCTGTCTCTGTATCTAATGGGTTTAGAAATAACAGATGACTTCCAGATTCTTGGTAATTAGATGGTGACCTATAGATATGTTGTTGTTTAGTGGTTTTTCAGTCATGTCCAACCCTTTGTGACCCCATTTGGGGTTTTTCTTGGCAAAGACACTGGAGTGGTTTGCCATTTCCTTCTCCAGCTCATTTTACAGATGAGGAAACTGAGGCAAACAGGGTTAAGTGACTTGCTCAGTGTCACACATCTATTAAGTGTCTGAGGTCACATTTGAACTCAGATCCTCCTGACTCCAAGCTCAGCAACTAAGCTTCTCTGAGCTATGAATATAAAATGCTGTATACTCTGTCAGAAACAATCCATGTTTAACTGTTATGCTTTGGGCCAGGGAAGGGTTTGTTAAGAAAGAAACAGGTGACTCCATGGCAGCAATTGTGTGGCAAAGTATTGCTTCCTTCCTCTACACAGATCAAACCCTCCTATTCCCATTGAAATGCTTTTCCCCCCTCATTTTCCTCTTCCTCAGAATTTAGCCTGCTAAACAGCGTTTTGTTACAAATGAGGACGTAAAGGGTTTTCTTGGGTAAGATTGAGCAATTAATGCCCAGGCTGTTGATGTATGCATGCTACTCCACTGAAACACGAAGCCAGCTAGTGTCCCTGGGCTCTGGCTGGTGTCCCCAATGCCTCTCCTACACTGTGAAGTAGGTTGCCTATATCAGACACCTCTGATAGGTGGCCTAACTTCCTTACAGCAGCCGTCAGTCCTTAACATCCCACCCCAACATATACCAGTTCATTCCACCAGAGGTTCAGGAGTAGAATTCTCCCCAGCTGTTATTTTTTTAAAATTTCAACTCACCTTCCTCATTAACCTCCCGTCATCCTCCACCCCAGCTCTACTGTCCCTGCCACAAGTTGCTGGCTTTTTGGTTCCTCTTCCTACCTCAAACTCTTAGTTCTTTATGGACCACCCTAGAACCTTAAGTTGCAAGAAAGCACTTAGTAAATGCTTTTTCATTCATTCATCTTCCTGTAGTCCAGGTGATGTAATGGCATGGGTCCCTTAGATGCTGATTCCTATTTACACGACACAATCCATCAAACTATGCAAACAACTCCTGGCTCTTCTCTGCCTGTACCCATATAGGCACCTAGTGGATACAGCCCTGGGCCTGGCTTCAAGAAGACCTGAGTTCAAATTCTGCCCAGACACTGTTAGCTGTGTGACCCTTGGCAAATCACTTAACTTCTGCCTCAGTTTCCTGAACTGTATAAATGGGGTTAATAATAGTACCTACCTCTTAGGGTTGTTGTAAGGACAAACTAAAATAATTCACATTTAGCAAAGTGCCAAGTACATAACATAAAAACAGCTAACATTTATAGAGGTCATACTATGTATATACAAAGCGCTTAAACATTTGTTCCCTTCCTCCTTTCCCCCTTCCACATCTCAGGAGTTAGGGGTACAATGCCCCCATGATCTGGAAAATCCATATAAAATTTTTTGTCCCTCTCTTTGTACCAGAAAAAAAATCTGAATTTTTATTTTTATTTTATGGTATATTTATAGTACCTCATTGTAAAAATTGGGTTAAACATTAGGTCTTAGGCTTTGTGTCATCTGCTGACCTCTTGTCATCTGCAGCTTCTGCAAAAATCCCCCAAAATTCCCATTTCATTTTTTATGCTATAAGTTATATCAAAACATCAATAAGGAAAGTCACGATATGGAAGGGATAACTGTACCCTCATCAGCTAGATCCATAGCTTAACTTCTCATTCTCAACTTTTACTTCTGCATGTGTTGTTTTTCTTGAGCCCCCAATCTGGTCATAAGGAAAATGTATTCAACTGGTAGTCAGAAGACTGGGCTTTCAATGCTGGCTTTGCCACTTACTATCTGTGTGGCCTTGGACAGAAACTCACCTTGGGCCTGCATCCAAGTTCTCACTAGGTTCAGAGGGTAGCTGGCTAATTGACCACAAAAGTTAGATGAGGCACTACATAGCAGCAACATCAATACACCAGGGTTTACAGAGTCTTCGGCATAATTATTTAGCCAATAATTCTTCAAAATCTGTTAGAGAACACAGAAGCAACTATATGCAAATCTAAGCAGAATAGCAATGAAAAACCAACTACTAAAACTTTTTTCTCTTTCATATGAAATCCTTGCCATCTGCCATGCTGATTCTGATTTTGTAGGCTAGATTATTGCCAAAAGAGAGTGGGGGGAAAGGGAGAAGCTATTTCTACAGCTACTGTAGGATATGTACCATTCTAGCAATTAGAGTTGGCCATGTTTTAGAATAAAGCTTGTCTGACCCCTTGAAAAATTGGTTTCAAACCCAACATATCAAAACCATTTCTGCTAACCAATGTTTCTTTGGGGCAAGCCAATCTGGGAAGCTGATTTTGTTGTTGCAGAGTAGATGATCCCTTCCATCTAAAATGCTCTGTGACTTCTAAATGGTTATAGATGGAATCATAGCCATAGCCATAGTTTTAGACTAAAACTCGTTTGAAAGGGCCACCACACTTACAGTTATTTTAAATTGTCTATATTTTCTTGAAGGATTTTGAACTTTATACTTGAGTCCTGAAGTCACTGTTGAAAATAGTATAACTTCACAAAATTGAGAGAATAAATCATTAAATTCAAGAGTGTCTTTATTCAGTGTTTACTATTTTAAATATAGCCATCAGAGTCTGGGTCAGCTATATCTAGATGCAAAATGTTTAGATGAGCTGAGATGCAAGGATGGAAGTAGTTTGACATTCATACTAGAGTACAAAGTAGTACAAAGATGGCAAAAGAGAAAAATGCATTCAGAAAATTTAGGATAGGGACTGGACTTGTCATTTCATTTGGATAGGGAACTCCCAGTTTGAATATTCTCTCTACCAATGCAGTTCAGCATCTTCTCTGCAATTTAGTCTCAAGAGTTGTCTAGAACATTGAAAGATTAAATGACTTACCAAGGGTCCCATAGCTACTCCCACAGAAGTGAGACTCAAACCCAGGTCTTCCTACCTTCAAAGGCAAATCTCTATCCAGTCCATCACACTGCCTCTCCTAAAAGTTAATGCATTAAGTCCTAAAAAAGCAATAATAAAGAGGCTTAAAGGGTAGAGATCCTGTATTGTTCAGTCATTTCAGTCACATCTGACTCTTTGTCACCCCATTTGGGGTTTTCTTGGCAAAAATACTGAAATGGTTTTCCATTTCCTTCTCCAGCTCATTTTACAGATGAGGAAACTGAGGCAAACAGGGTTAAGTGACTTGTCCAGGGTCACACAGCTAGTGTCTGAAGCCAGATGTGCACTTAGGAAGATGAGTCTTCCTGATGCCAGGACAGGGGCTCTATCCACTGCACCACCTAGCTGCCCAAGTAAGTTACTTAAGTTCTCAATACCCTCAGGCAATTTTCCAAAGACTAGAAGTTGCAAAGCAGGTGCTAATCTATATTGTTAGAGTGTGTTTCCTCACAGGGAGTTAGTTCCCTATACAAATGAAATTGTAGCTTTGGGTGAACAATGTGAGAGAAATAATTAGTAATAACCAGTATCTGGGGGGATCCAGAGTTCTCCCCTTCTTCTAAAGTCCTGATTTTAAAAAGTAAAAAGTTCAGTTTCTTGAAGGACATTACTGATAATGAGATTGAATTAACTTCTCTATCCAACCCAATCCAGCCCTACAAAGAACCTCTAGTCCAGGTGAATCCCATTCAATCAAGCTTGGGTGGAGACAGATTCTTTTGTCTAGGGGTGGTCTGAGTATAGAGGTAGTTTCTCTGTCCAAGGGTGACATGATGTCACTCTCAGCCCCTCATTTTAACACAGCTCATCTCCCATTTGTGTTATCCAATGTGAGTTGATTGATGAGAGTCAGGAACATTCTCTTTGAAGGGTATTTAAACTGTGAGCCCACCACTATGATTGTCTTTGGTCTAAGAGAGACATGCTGGCCTTATTAATAAAATAATCAAATCACCCAGAAATTATTAATTTCAGACCTTTTTAATCACCACAAACCATAGTACCATGCTACACTTTACACAGAATATGGCAAAACCACCAGTGAGCCAGTGCTTTGGATTGGCTTTCAGTAGGGCTGATTCATTTGTGCTACTCTAATTGCCCGATCAACTCTTACCTGATCATCCTGACCAGTAGTATGTACTTTTGAGATAACCTATCAGGATTCAGGGAATAGGTTTGTGGTCATCAAACCACTTAAAATCAAATAGACTACAGAGAAATAAAAACAAAAATAAGAAACCTTGGCCATGGTGTTTGACCAACCTCATCTTTTAACTAAGTGTAATAGATGATATTCCACTGCCGCTTTCTTTTCTTCCTGATCTTTAAATTTGACCATATATATATTTGGAGTCAAGCATTATTAAAGCCAAAAATAATTCACGAGGATAACCAAAAAATGAGTACCATTAGCAAAAAGAGGATCTGAACATATTAAAGAGACAAACAAAATAGATATTGTTCTGTCTAAAGTGGTCTGTTATCAAAAGCCAAAATAACCTAATATGTTTCTTTAAATATAATTGAGGATTAAATTTCTTCTTAACTCAACACTATAAGTCATCTTGGGAGTAAACTCACCTCATAGACGGATAAATCTATGCCAGCATAAGGAATGATGCTCAGAAAATTAGGGACATAGCCTTTGTAAAAAGTTCCAAGGGGTTCATTCTTCACAATTTGTATGGCACAATTAAACATCCCTGAGTATTGTCCAGTTCTGCCTAGAGCCAATCTGGTCTTTATAACCTGAATGCAAAAGAATATAGTCAAATCTCTGATCAGATTTATTAAACCCAAAGCACTCTAGTGAATTTTGTCATTTCAGTCAGTTAATCAACATTTATTAAGTATCTACTATATGCCAGGCCCTGTACTAAGCACTACAGATACCAAAAGAGGCAAAAAAAAAAAAAAAAAAAAACCATCCCTACCTTCAAGGAGCTCACAATCTAACGGATTATTTCACTGATATCATACAGAATTCCCGAAAGGAAGAAATCTTACAGTGAATCATTTTCTCAGCTGCGTATACTTGCAACTGTCTACAGCAAGACTGTTCAAACTGAGCTTGGTGAAATCTTGCTGTGGTTCCATGGGATACTGGGAAAGGCCTCCAGCAGACTGCGACATGTGAGTTGAGTCCCAAAGGAAGCTAGGGATTCTCAGAGGCAAAAGTGGAGAGGCAGAGCATTGTAGGCATGGGGAATAGCCAGTACAAAGGCCCAGATACACAAGTATGAGAAGCGACAAATAAGCCAGAGTGGCGGAATCACAGAGTACATGGAAAGTGATAATATGAAAGAAGACTAGAAAGACAGATTGTTTAAAAGACCAAATGAAATAAAAATATGTTAAGTGCTTTGAAGTATTTAGGTGCTACATGAATATTAGTGATTATTGTTAATAATCAAAGTTCTATGAGTTGTTGGTATATTCATATTCTTGTTATATCCCCTATCCTATGGACAATGCATTCTGCTACTGCTCCTCTAATCCTGTGATTCAGAAACTACCAAGGTGATTTTTTTTTTCCTGATAACTCTCCCCATACTCTCATTCCTATCACACTCAGTCTTTCCTCCTCAATCCAGTGTCTGCCTCCTTTCACTGTGCTTTCTGTAGCTTCTCTGCTGTACCAGAAAACTCCCTTTTACTTTATTATTTATTACATTTATTTATATATTTAATATATTTATTATTACATAATATCTATTATACATTATATATAATTATCTATATGATTATTATTTATTCTTAATAGATTTGTTCATATATTTTTCCCATCTTCTAGAGTTCCTGAAAATGTGGCTCTTCCCTGTTCCCTTTTCCATTGCCAACTTCTCCTACCCTCATGCCCCTTCAGCACACTGGCCTAGACCCACCTGCTGCCACTCAGCAGTTTCTCCTTCGAAGTTGACTCCATCCATCCCTGCCTAGGTCCTTGTTGCTATCACCTACTAACCTCTCAGCACAAAGAGAGCGCTCTTTCTTTACCTCAATGACTTAACCAGCTGGCTCAGCCTTCTCTATCCTATCCCCTACCTTCATTCTTGGAGATGCCAATATCCATGTTTATGTCTTTTAGTCTGCTGACATCCTCAACTTGCCCCAGCCCCAGCTTTGCCCTACTTCAGCCACCCACCAAGGTAGCCACATATCAGAGTTCACCAGCATCCAACGATCTTGAACTCTGAAATTGCCCTCTCTGATGTCTTTCTGCCTCTCCTCCTGTCTCACTTGTCTGAAACCTGCTCATCAGTCTTCCTGCGATCTTGAGTCACTCCAAATCTCGATGCTCTCTTATTCTAGCACCCCGCTTCTAACATCATTTTTTCCCTTCGTAGTCCTGACCTTGTAAGACTAACCTTACACATAATTCATTCAACAAGACACCGCCCAATCTCCTTGAATCACTATTCCCCTCCCCCTTCCATTATTCATTTATTGCCATTCCTCCACCTGGGGTCACTAATAACATCTGCTGACCTCAATCCTACTCCAGGAAGTCATGAAAGCATGATGACTGAGTCTAACAAAAATTCATATTATCTGGAGTCATAATTAAGAATTCCAGTCCCCGGGACAAATTCAATAAGGCAGGGAAGGGGCAGGTAAAGTAAACTGGAGGCAGAAGCCACGAGAACTGACAAAGTGGATGAACTGGGAGGCCCAGGCAGGCAGGAGTTTCCGTCAAGAAGACTGTGGAAAATAGATAAATAAATAAATAAAAATAAATAAAAAAAAGAAGACTGTGAGCCAGGTATTGAAATTGCTAGGGAATAAGGAAAGAGACTTGGAAGTACGTATAACATGTTCCAAATCCAAAGAAGTGAACATTAAAACAACTCTGAGGTTCTACCTCGTACCATCATACTAGCAAAGATGACAAATATGGAAAACAACAATGGTGGAAAGGGTTGTGGGAGCACAGGTGCATTGGTGCACAGTGGGTAGAACCGTGATATAGTCTAATGATTCTACAAGGAAATTTGGAATTATGCGCGAAAGTCACTAAACTGTATAAGTCCTCTGACAGAGCAAAACCACACTCTACAAAACAGCGAAAGAATCTATAACTTAAAAAATATATATTTATGGTAGCACTTTTACCTATAGCAAAGAACTGGAAAGAAAGTGAGTACCTATCCATTTTGGAATAACTGAACAAACTATGATATAGAAATGTCATGGAATATTATTGCGCTTGTAAGAAATAAACAGAAACTTGGGGAGATTTGTATGAACTGAGACAAGGTGTTATAAGCTAGGTGGCTAAGTGGCCTCAGTTTCTTTATCTCTAAAATGGGAATAATAATAGCTCCTTCCTCCCAGGGTTCTTATGAAGATCAAATGAGATAATAATTATAAAGAGTTTATCAAAATGCCAGGCACATAGTAAGTGCTAGCTGTTGTTATTATTATTATTACTATTATTATTATTAAGTGCTAGACCTGGAATCAGGAAGACCTGAGTTCAAATCCAGCCTCAGACACTTACTAGTGGTGTGACCCTGGGCCAGTCACCTTAATTTCTGTCTGCCTCAGTTTCCTCATTTGTAAAATGGGGATAATAATAGCACCTACATCACAGAATTGTGGTGAGGTTTAAATGAATTAATATTTGTAAAGTGCTGTGTAAATGCCAGTTATTATTATTACTATTATTAAGTAAGCAAAACCAGGAGAACAACTGAATCATTGACTATACTGCTATAAAGAACAACATATTTGAAAGACTTAGGAACTCTGACAAATGCAGTAACCAGTCACAAATTCAGAAGCCTAATTATGGAGCATGCTTCCCATCTCTTGGCAGAAAGGTGATGGGAGAGAGGTACAGAATGGGACACTGATTTTCAGGCATAACCAATTCCACTTTTTTTTGTTTGACTGCACTTATTTGTTACAATAGAGTGCTGTTAATGGGGAAGGAGAATATTGTATTGGGGAAGGAGATAGTGATAGTGATGCAAAAAAAAAGAAAAACAAAAGCGTATCAATGAAATGTACTAACAACATGCAGAATAGCACAGAAGAAACTTCATAAGGTGACATGGACAAGAAAGGCAGTTGATAATGGGTATCATATTGCTTACCTTCTTGGTGGATGGGGAAGGGACTGGAGAAAGGGAGAGAATTTGGAACTCAAATATTTTTTAAAATGCTAAATAATTACTGGTTTTTTTTTAAAGAAAGAAAAAGAAAGGCAGTTGTTGTATACTTTAACATGAGTTCTCTAAGGACTCCCCAGAGTCCATTAGGATTCTATGACAAACATTTTCCATGACAGTGGTAAACACCTTTAGCACCTGCATGGCTCCATGTTTTGGGGCTCACTTCATGTTGATATTCAGAAGACTGCTGAACAGAGTCATTCCACTGTTTACATCTCCCTAAGAGTCTTTCATGATCTTAACAGATGGCTAAGAGACTCTTTTTTGCAGGACAGTCTTTGCCCTATATAATCAATAGTCTTTGCCCTTCTATAATCAATAAACACCAAAAGCAACAGGATCTTCAATAAACATCTCACATTCTCCATGCCTTTCTATCAGTTCTATGATTTTGGAGATTTGGCCTACTATATAGAAAATTGACTAGTGAAGGTTGTCTGTTGCTTTCTCACATTATCATCAATGTATCCATTGTAATTATTTTATAGAAATGGGAAAGTATTCATATAGGTCAATAATGTCCAGTCTTCTCAATGACCTCAGACCTCCATATTTTTTGTTTTTCTTTTATGTGGTATCTTCCCTGCTTTGAGATGTCCTGAACAATGATCCCTTGATGCCTGCAAATTTACTTCTGAGCATACTTGGTTCAAGTGTTACTGGGCTGCTCTTCCCAACTCAGTTTTCTTAAGTGTAAATTCCCCGGAAAATCATGGAACATCATATCAAGGTGACAAATGACCCAAAGGACAATGAAGAAATTGATGGCATGACGCAGAAGTTTCTGAAGACTACCAATGGAGATGAGTGCATGAACGAACTCTAAGTGTAGGTGGGACATGTTCTCCTTGACAGCTACATCTGCACGAAGTGGGAGGCAGTGAGAGATGGTGGAAAGAGCATGGGCTCTGGAGAGAGAGGACCTGGGTTCAAATCCTATCTCTGATGCTTACTACATGTGTGACCTTATCATGTGACAAGAATGTCACTTAACCTCCCCTCAACCTCAATTTCTTCATCTATAAAATAAAAGCGTTGGACTATATGGCCCCTAAAGTTATGACCCAAAATGCAACAGGTGATGTCAGATACCACCCCTACTCTGATTCTGGTTGGGCAAAAGATTTTGCAGCACAGCTAGTAGGAGAATGAATCCGAACTCTCAGAAGTGACAAGATTTTGGAAGATTTGGGACACTGTTCTGGAAAAGAGAGAGGAAGAAAGTGGATAGGGAGACTGAAAGCTGTCACATAGCTGTTTCTAATTCCTGCCACCACTAACAGGAGACTTTCCCTTTTCCATATCCACAAACAACAGCTCCAGACATACTCCCAAATGGACAGTTGTTCTGAGAAGCCACACTTGCAAGATTTTAAGACGTCATTGACCTGGCATTGAGAAGCAAGACCTTGCAGAATCTAAGGTTGCTGGATTCACTCTGAGCAAGCTGCAGACATCTCTTTTCCCTTTCCTTGGGTTGCTACAACACGTTGCTAGAGCAGCCAGAGGTGGGCACAAAGAGTTGGTTCACAAACCTGTCTTCCAGTTTTCTTGTTCTCCTTACTAGCTTAGAGGGCAAGGCCAATAAGCCAGCATGGGAAAAAGAGCTGGGAGGTCTCATAACACACATTCCCCACAAGTTCAGAAGGTTGTTGTGCCTTGGGAAATGAGTGGTGAGAATGCTTGCTGCTTGACTCATTCCTTGTTTTGCATCTTGCACTCTACTTTAAGTAGATGTCCTTTTACTTAACTATCATGTCACATGATTCAATCTGGCTGGTTAGAAAAGAGAATCAGATGAAAAAGTAGAGGCTTATGAGCAGTTAAATAAATGGAGAATTGATTACTGGCATGAGTAGAAGGCATGGCCAGGAAAAGGGCCACCTCTTTGTCAGAAACTGAAACAAAGAAAGAGAGTATGGGGAATGATGTCGATACATAAAATAGGGGTGAATAAGAAGATCAGGTGAGATGGCCTCTATTTTTTCAAAAGAGTTAAGATGCAAAGTCTTCTGCTAAGAGGGGGCAGTGTCTAAGGACTTGAAGACAACATTTCCAGCAGCTAGTTGTGGGGAGTATTAGAAAACATAGAACCCTAGATTTAGAGCCAGACAGAACCTTAGAGGTCATCCAGTACAACCTCCTAATTTTAAAGATGAAAAAAATGAGGCTTAGACTAGCTTAATGACTTATCCAAGGTCATGCAGATAGTAAGCCAAGTTTCAAACGGAAGTCCCTCTGTTTGAATCTAGTGTGGGATTGCATGTAGCATTGAGGGACCATTTGAGATTAGGTAGCATCAATTTGTGGAGGATCCAGTTGGCATGGTTTGTAACTTCCCCCAGCAGGAGAGGAAGATGGTAATGTAAGCCATGGTTGTGGTTCAGTAAGTCATGAGCAATGAGACTGATGGAGGCAAAGGATTTCAGAGTAGAGGACAGTGTATAGCTGAACTGGTTAATTCTAAGGTCACTGCTGAAAAGGGAAGAAAGTAATGGGCTGGGAGAACCAAGAGGGATGAAATAAATAGATATCATAATGAGAACAAAGACTAGGTTCTGGAGCAAGGTAGAGGGATGGATGAAGGATATGAAGTTGTGATCAAAGATAAGAATTTCACATTTCTGTATAATAAAACAGAATAGTGACGGATGAAGGTTAAAGGGTTAGCATTACTGTGTGTCTTGAAGATAGTACAAAGGCACACGGCATTGGAACTGAGGAAGCTAACAAATTGGGAAGCTGGGATGTTGAGGCAGACATCTGTTGAAGTCTGGAGTGTATGAGATCAGGGGTTGAGGCAAAAAAGAATACAAGCCAGGTATTGCAATTCTGCTCTCCACTACAAAAAGACATTAAGAGAATACACATTGGCAAAGAAAAGGAAAACTTTGGGGGTGGGGAAGATACGGAGCTCCGTTTGAGTGCCTTCAGGACATCCACTTTGAAATGGGCAATAGTCAATGGGTGGAGTAGGTCCAAAGCATTAGAACGAGCCTACCTACCTAGAACTAGAAAAACAGATCTGGGAGTCATCTGCATGGAGGCAATAAGGAATGCACAGAGAGGAATAATATGAGGCAGGGATGGTGCCAGACTCTGGAAGAACTTGGCTTGAATATTAGACATTCCAAGCCCTGACGGCTTCAGCTTCAGATCCTACCATTCCTCTGCTTATATTTAAAGTTCAAAAACCTACTCAGGGCTTCATTAGAAAGAAACACATTTTATAATTTACATTAAAATCATCAATTCCAGCAATTAATTTTTCACAATGGTCCTTACTTCCATGGGGTGGATGAAGGTCTGTGCAGTCGCGCCAGCCAAAGAACCAGAAACAAATCTCTCAATATTGCCAACTTTGGTACTGTCATGAGTAAACAACTTCTTATACTGTGTGCATAAATAAAAGGGTTCACATATATGTTAATGCTAAAATAAGAGAAAGATCAGTTCCAAAAAGAATGACACTTATTTAATATGAGCTATTATTATGATTGAATAACACATGTACAGTGCTTTACTCACATAAATTTGTAAAGTTTATAAATGTTAGCTATTATTATTGTTGTTATATTATTATATTACATAATATTATTTTATAATTATATATATTCTCTATTGTATAAACCTATATTGTATCTATATAAATATCATTATATATTATATCATTTATTATGAGCCCATACCCAGCAAAATATGTATAGTTTAAATGTATGTGCATTTAATTCACTAGAATATTAAGTAAATTATCTCTCTTGGGCCTCATTTTTTTCTCTGTCACATCACTATTGCTGTGTATGTACAGTCAGATATAAGATACTACATTTGAAATAAAAGCACAGAAACTCAAAAGAGGTAGGGACTGTACCTTATGTGCACCTTTTGATAGCAAAGTGGATTCAGAGGTAATACTAACAATGCAATGTATGGCAATGGCTTGTTTATGCAAGGATATTTAATTTGAATGGTTTTTTCTTGGAGACGAGGCCGTGATAATCTAATACAACCTGCTAGGTTACTGTATGAAGCTTTGATTTCTAAACTAAAGAATTTTAGCCAAAATTTGTAATTCCAGACATTCCAGAATTATTCAAAGACCTATTTTATTTTTTTTATAAATAGGATGATCAAAAGAGCTATAATAAATGTTAAGAAAAATAAAGCAATGAACTAACTTGTTATATTAAAAACGACATTCATCTTTCTACTAAAATGGTCTTAAGGCTTTTTAAAACTCAAAAATTGTTTCTTCTTAATGAATATTGGCAGTATCTTACCTGTTCGTATGTTAAGACCTTAATAGCCGTCTCTGGTGCAAGTTTTAAAACATTCACACCATTTCCCCTCCAAAAGGATAAGATGCCTCCCTCTTTCAACATATGCTTAAATCCATCAACAATATGAAGATGCTTTGAGTGTACATCCTGGGTCTATGACAAAGAAAAGAAATGGCCTCAGTGTTGTTATTCTTTACAAAGCACTTGCACATTGCACCTTCTATTTTCAATGTGTTTTAGCAGCCCATGGTCCATTTCAACAAATAACAATAATAATAATGAACATTATATTGCACTTACTATGTGCCAGACCTGAGCAAAACAGTTTACAATTAACTAGTTTGATTTTGTCTGATTATAGAATCATTTTGAGCTTACATGAAATTTATGACTACTCTTAAAACAGCACAGTTATTGAAAAGTACAATAGGGGGCAGGTAGGTGGCACAGTAGATAGAGAACTGACCCTGGAGTCAGGAGGGTCTGAGCTCAAATTCAGCCTCAGACACTTGATACTTACTAGTTGTATGACTCTGGGCAAGTCACTTAACCCTGATTGCCTTCAAAAAAAATTTTTAAGTCCTCTTTAAAGGAACAGCTAACTTTGACAGACATCAGTACAGCTGTAAATCATGCAAATGACTGTTTTATTAGTAGAGAGTATTTCTTGTTTCCATTGCATGCATATCTTTCCTTGTGTTGTGTGAAAGCTTACCCGCAGTTCTATTAGTAAAGTAGTTATGGTCCAGTGATACACTTTGTAGTCAGAAACACTGTTAATAAATGTGTTTCTTCTTGTTGAACTGTGTTTACCATGTGAAAAACCACTGAACTGGGGGGGAGGGAGGAAGATAGGACTGATCAGAGAGGTAGAGATAATTACTGCCTTCAAGGAATTAAAAATCTAGCAGAGGAAAAGATGAAATACATAAAGAACCCAAATGTGAAATGGTCAATAAATGCATCAGAGTGAAGCAACGGATAGAGCACAGATCTGGCCTCAGATACTAGCTTTGTGACCCCGGGCAAGTCATTTAACCCCGATGGCTTCACAAACAACAACAACAGCAATAATAATAATGCATCAGAACGGGACAAACAAGATGTTATGAGAGAGCAATAACATAGAAGGCATAATACTCTAAGATGCCATAGAGAATTGAACAGCAGACAGAAGAGAGAAAACCATTTCTTTCATCTATTCGGCATGTAGCTATTGAATCCTTCTCTTTCTCTTTTCTCCATCCCTGTCTTTCCATTCCCATCTTTTCAATCCTACTTCGGTCCTCTTCTCTTTACCTATCCCAATTCCTTCTTTTCTTCTTCTCACTGAATTTTAGTACATGCAAAGTGGATTTTTTGTTATTCTTAGTTTTCTTTCCAGTATCCATAGCCATAACAATCTCTACTTCCCAGGTGTTAGATATTAATTCTCACGATCATGGTTCAAAACAGTTTCTACCACGCTTGCGCGGTAGATATAGGAATAAAGTGATGTAAAATTGTGAGGCTATTGCTGACAATATGCTTTCTTTGTCTGTTGCCCTATAAAGCAAATGGGTACTGGTCAGTTACTGAGGACCCCCATAGAGGTGAATGTGCAGGCTGAATGCTGTGCGTGCCTTGATCGGCCCCCAATCAAGACTTGGGAGGGGGAATCTGTGTGTTTGCCTCAGCTGGCTCCCATTGAGGCTTGAGGGGATTTAGGGGAGAGCACAAGTTGTGCTGGCCTCGACTGACCCCATCGAGACGAGGGGTAGTTTACCCCCCTTCACTCCGGCCCCTGCGAGACGGGTTGTTAGGGAATGCTGTAGGAATTGGAGTTCCCATTATCAGCAAACTCCCTTTGAGAATACTAGACTAGAATAAAGTAAGCTTATTTAACACCTTATTATGACTCCATTCCTGTCTTCCTATCTGAACAGATCAAGGTGAACCTGCTAGTGAGAGAGGTGCCGGAAGCCCTCCTGTGTCTCATTCCTAAGAAATGGCGTAGTTGGTGTGTTTATTTGCTCAACACACTTCCCCATCCTTCTCTCCTTTTTCTCTCCCCATTCTGGGTCCTCTCATTTCCCTTCATCTTTTTCCCCCACTGTGTGTCCCCATATTCCCATCTCTCCTTGATTCATGATGTCTCATCTCTGACAGACCCCAATGCTGCTCACTCTACTTTGCATTAAGTGTTTACCTTCCTTCTGAGGACATTCTTGCCACCCGCCAAGGACTTCTACCCCTACCTGTGGTTACTCCCACCTTTTAGTTTCTTTTCCTCTGAGATGGAAAGTAATCTGTGTATATCATCTATTTACATGTTGTCTTCTCCATTTGAATGTAAGGTCTCTGAAGGCAGTGACTGTGTTTACCTGTCTTTTGTGTGCCCAGCACATAGTGAAGTTTCTGGCTCATAAGGAGCACTTAATAAATGCTTATCAACTTACTGGTTGACCCCTACACTTGAGGTTGAGTCATTGGAATCAAACAAGTAAGACCTGCTGGGGTCTTAGACAGTCTACCCTTAGATAGTCACATGTGTTTGGTATATCTATCAAAATACTCTATTCATACCTTCGAAGGAATATAACTTTAATAGCAGCTGGTTGAATTCATTTAAAAAAAAAAAAGGTAGTTTGTTCCTAGAAGAATCACTAATTGAAGTATCTCTGTATATCTAAATAAGTTATATTGTAGTATTGAGACATAGGATTTAAAAATTGTTTTATCTCCTAAAGAAATCCCTCTATTTCCTAAAGAAAAACTGCTGTTCCTATATATGTATTTCTTAATCCAGCATTAACAGAACTCCTTCACAAGTAGCTTTATAATATAATTGGGGAAGAGTGTTGAGAAAGTAATAACCCCCACCCCAAATAATTTCAATATACTTTTTCCCCTGAAACAGTGGGATGGTGGGTATGCCCACTGATGAAAGGGTGTGAACAACTCTTGATTGGTTTTCAGTGACTGAGACAGCCCCAATATGAATAGCTCACTGAAAGTTAAAAGGATGAATTTTGGTTGGAGGAATTAACCTCTTTGCTAATCTATCAAAAAAAAGCAATATACTACACTTAGTCCTTTTTGCCTTATCTGCCCTTTTGTCTTTCCCCTGGAATCAGTCTTTCATAGTGGAATGGAATGGAGTACAATGAGAGAGGGGATTTCTCTCTTTCCTCTCCATTAGAACTGGTAAATGGCACTTGGGGAAAGAATCATACATATGCTTATCCAAATGACCCAGGAGTTAAATTCTATAGAATGGACATTCCTAGCCCAAGATATGCCCATGGTCAGGGCAACAATAAAGTTCCTGCAGAAGCACATGGCAGAAACATAGATTTACATTTAAAACATGTAAATAACTATACACATAGATGATATACCCAAAGTGGATGGAAAGTAATCTCAGAGGAAAAGGCATTAAAAAGTGAGGTGACCACAAGTAGGGATAGAAGTCTTTGGCAGGTGGCAGAAATGTCTTCAGAAAGAACTTCCCCCCAAGAGGGAAGTTCATGGACAATATTCTTGAACCCCAACCTCATGTGTAGAGGAGGGGGATTTTAATTTCCTAGGTGGTATAACTCCAGAATCTAACCTTCTTGTCAGAGAAGTGAGATTGCTCATTCAGCACCATCCTTAGAGATTACCTCAAATAAAATCTTTGAAGGAAAGAATTATAAGGAGAATAAATAGCTTAGAAGAGAAAATGGTAAGCCTACTACAGTTAATGGACTCTCTGAAAATTAGACTAGGCCAAGCAGAAGTCAATGATTCCATGAGACAGGAAATACTAGAACAAAATCAAAAGACAGAAAAAAATAGAAGAAAATGTAAGGAATCTGCTACCAAAAAAATATCTGATTTAGAAGATAGACTGAGGAATGACCATTTAAGAATCATCAGACTCTCTGAAAACCATGATTTTAAAAAAGCCTGGACGCTATATTCCAAAAAATCATTAGGGAAAACTGTGCTGATCAATTACAACCACCACCTGAAAGGAACCCCAAAAGAAAAGTCCCAGGAATATTTTGGCCAAAATCCATAGCTTCCACATAAAAGATAAAATAACACAAGTAGCAGTTCAAGGCCCAAGGAAACAGAATCAAGTTCACACACAATTTGGCAGCTACTACTATAAAGGAGCAGAGATCTTGAAAGATGATATTCCAAAAGACATCAACTTACAGCCAAAAATAACTTACCCTACAAAGTTGAGTATAATCTTACAGGGGCAAAAATGGATTCTTAATAGAATAAAGAACTTTTATGCATTTCTAATGAAAAGACTAGATCTGAGTTGGAACTTTGGAAAGTAAGAATAAAAACCAAGAGAAACCTAGAAATATAAATTGGTTTAAACAATCATAGGGGGCTGTATAATGATGTTAATATTATAATTGAGGAGAAGACACAAGTGTCCCTTCGGAACTTAAGTCTTTAAAGAGTTTTGAGGAAGTTAAATAAGAAAAACAGAGGACCTAAGGGTAGATTGGTTCTGTTCTTGGACTTTTAAGAGGGGAAAGAGAAATAAAATACTAGTATAGAAAGGAGGAAGAAGGGGATGGATTTTGCTATTTCTCATAATTGGGGTGCATGAAAAGAAGAGCATACAAACATGGAAAAAGGAGTAGGGGCAGGAAGCATGCAATAAATCTTTCTCTTAATGGCTGAACACACTCATAAACACAAAAAATATTTGGTGTACAAATACATCAAACTCAACAGAGAAATAGCTAGGAATAGGGATGTGGGTAGTTAAGAGGGAGGATAATACCAGAGAGGGACTGGTCATAGGCAAAACAAACTTCCTGATTCTGAAGAGGGAGAATGAAAAAGAAAAAGGAAAAGAAATGGAACTTAAAGGCTACATATCCCCTGAAGAATAGCTGAACAAATTATTATTTAGGAACTTAAAGAAATATTATTGTGCTGTAATAAATGATTAGAGATGATTTCAAGGAAACCTTAGAAGGCCTATGCAAAGTGATGCAGAATGATGTAAGAAGACCTGAAAGAACACTTTATACAGCAACACCATTGTAAAGATAAACAACATTTAAAGACTTAAGAAATTTAAAACTCAAAAGTTTACAGAAGTGATTGTTGATAAATCAAAATAAATTAATAAAAAATAAGAAAAAAGAAAAAGAAGAAATATTACATCTGGTTGTAAGAAAAGAAATTACATATATTCTGAGCCAAGAGAATTGTGTAAGAGGGAAATTTACATTAAGGAATGAAAAAAAATGTTCCCTATGCAGTGAACAATTTAGGAGTTCCCAGCAAAATGTAATTGGGGAATAGTCAACAAAATAAATAAAACTATATTTAAAAAAAAAGAAAGAAAGATTTAAGAACTCTGATCAACATAATGACCGACAGAGATCCAATAATAAAGTATTTTATCCACTTCCTGACAGAAAGATGATGGACTGAAGATGAAGAAAAAGGCATACTTTTTAAAAAATAACATCCACTGGGTGGATTTTTTTTCCTTAACTATACTCATTTGTTACACTGGAATATTTTGGAAACTTTTTTTAATGCACAAAACAGAATAGAAGGAAATTCAGAAAAAAACACACATTGCAGTCCAACTTTAAAAGTAATACATTGGATTTATTATATACTTTTCAAAACAAGTGGTATGTAATTGAGATCCACAGCTTCATAAAAATCTCCTTTTTATAGTCTACTTTGTGCATGGAAATTTTTTTGGTGTTTGTTAAGTTCAGAATAAAAAAATCTTAAAAAAAAACTCAAGGTTATGAATACTGATGTTATAAATAGGATGACTAGGAGAATATTCTCCAGAATTTTCAGAACAAAATTGACAACCAACCCAAAGGTAATTGAGAGATTCATGATGGACCTAAGCATGTTATCATAGATAGAGAGTTAAAAGGTTCCTCAGAGGCCTATTTTACAATACAACCTCTTTCATTTTCCTCATTGACTGACTTCTGTGAAAGAAGTGGTATAAATGACAGCAAGAAAATATTTGATGAGAAAATAAGGTGGACTAGTCATAAATTCATGAGGCAGCTAGGTGGCACCACAGTGCTTAGGGTGCTGGTCCTGGAGTCAGGAAGACATCTCCCTGAGTTCAAATCCAGTCTCACACACTCACTAACTGTGTGACCCTGAGCAAGCCACTTAACTCTGCCTCAGTTACTCATCTGAAGAAAATGACAAGCCACTCCAGTATCTTTGCCAAGAAAACCCCAAATGGGGTCATGAAGAGTCAGACACAACTGAAAAACGACTGAACACTCATAAATTCTGACTGAGACTCTGGGAACACACCAATCCCCTACAGAATACAAAATAAGAAGTTTGGTAAATCACTTATGAAAGATCTGTGGAAAAACAAGCACAAGAATCAAAGAGACTGATGAGGCACGGAGAGGCTGTGATCTGCATGGATGGAGGAAAAGGTCCCTGCACTTAGAATGTAACAGATTTCACTACATGAAACAACATGAAATTATTCTTCAAGGAAGCCCAGTATTTCAACCTCCAAGCACTAGGAGTCTTGTACTTATGGATCCTATGATAATTTTTAATAAAATGCTTAATTTACATAAACCAAGTGTCATACATTAAGAGCCATTAAGTCTAAATTAATATTAAATTGTATTTAAATCAATATTAAATTGTATTTCCCTACTAAAATCAAACTCACATATCAAAAGCACTACTGAGATCTGAAATACTTCTTTTAAACAGCGCCACGCCCTTGTCGTATTACTTGGAAACACAGACAGATGAAATATGCAACCATTTACCTGCATAATGATTTTCAGCCGATCTAGGGGTGCTGTGCAAGTTCTGGCAACTGCACCCGATATCCCACCTGCCAGCAGATGTTTCCACCACTTGCCAGATTCTCTTTCTTCTTTTGAGAAGTCGTCAGGAATGGTTATACCATCCCCTATGTCGATCCCCTAAATGAAAAGGAAGTTACAATATTATTTAAATTAGAAATGGATCATCTCAAGAAGGCAGCATAAAGTAGTGAGGGAAGAGCATGAAAGTCAGAGGGCCTGAGTTCAGATCCTGTTTCAATCCCATTCTTATAGGGTTCCAGTGGGAGGGACAGGCTGAGTCTCATCCATACCGCCTTAGGGTTGCCTTATCAGGATAACATTTTATCTGGTTTTTCTGCACAGAGCAAGAGCCATTTATTAGGGCCTGGCTGTCATCTCTTAATTTAGGACATGGAGTCTGGATGTAGCCTTAATTTAGGAAGCAGTTTTGGCAAGTGGCTTCTGCGTTCTCCTCTATACTTTTAATTTCTATAGCCCATTTATTGTTATCTTACACTGGCTACTTACATACTTACTACACTACTGGACAGGTGGTCATGGGGACCATAGCAAAAAATAATTTCCATACAGTTGCCTATTATGGTGTAAGGAATTGTAGTAGGTGTTGGGAATATAAAGTTAAATGAGATATGATCCCTGTCCTCAAGGAGCTTCCAATCTAGTTGGGAAAATAAATTTGCACAACTAAGTATACTGTCAAATAGAAGAGGATAAGCACATGAATATAAATCAATGCAATGTCAGTTCACATAGAATTGGGATTAATTTCAATTACAAATCACCCTCCCTTAAAAAAACACCATTTTCTTCCTATGTAGATCAACTTTCCCCTACCTTACATAGGATGGGTAATATGGATCAAAAACCTTGACAGGAACACCTTGATGGTTTCTCTTGATGCCACACATATTACCAGGATGTGATTTTGGGTTAATATATGATACATTTTGTAAATTATGCTTCTTCAATCTTTGGAATGGTTTATACATGACTCCCAGGTTCCCTTTGCAATCTTATCCCCTGCTATTGCCCCTTTATGTTGTTGTTCAGTCTTTTCAGTCATGTCCACTCTTTGTGACCCCATTTGGGGTTTTCTTGGCAAAGATACTGGAGTGGTTCGCCATTTCCTTCTCCAGCTCATTTTATAGATGAGGAAACTGAAGCAAACAGGGTTAAGTGACTTGTCCAGGGTCACATAGCTAATAAGTGTATGAGGCTGGATTTGAACTCATGTTGGTACTCTATCCACTGTGCCACCTAGCTGCCCCTATTGCCCCTTTATACTTGGGGCAGGGAGGTGGCCATCAGGGGGGCCAGAAGGAGATACAATTTTAACACAGAGCTCTCTGAAGGAATATCAGTCCTGTCCACATTCTTAACCTGGGATCCCTGACTTCTTTTTTTAATAGTTTGATAATTATATTTCAATTTAATTGGCTTTCTTTGAAATCTTCTTTATTTTACTTTATGCATCTAAAAACATTCTGAAAAAGTGTCCATAGGTTTCACCAGACTGCCAAATGGGTTCTGTGACACCCAAAAAAATTAAAACTCCCTGGCTAGGCAGCAGGACGGAGAATTAGAAACTATATGCCCTGGCCCCTGGTCTCATCAGTCTGACTGCCACAGTCCAAAACTTGCTAAGTAAGGGGTTGCTCTACCAAGCTTCCTGGGGTTTCCCTATGTGAGAGCTACCTTTGGCTTAGGGCATAAAATAAGCATGAGGTATAACACAAACTACACTTACAGTAGAACGTTTCCAAAACCGGGCAATTTCCTCCATGTTCTCTGCTGGGTTAAATAAAAAGTAATCTCTCCATTCATTCCAGTCCACTGACATAGTCCCATCAGTATCAATGCTGAAATAATAATAATGACATGCTTAAAACCTGTGCTCTAATTCATACATAAAATTATCAGCAGTAATTAGCATTAGCAATCCATCTGGATGAAAAACAGTTCCATATTACACATTTGTGGCAACTACCACAACTCATTACCCTGGAACCATTTTCATTTTCTAGCATTTTCTCAACTCCTTCTCCTCTTGAAACACCTTGCTCCATTCATGGCTCAGTTCAAGAGATGTCTCCTACAAGAGGCTTCTCCCAATTTTTCTAGTTGTTAGTACTCCCCACTCTGAAATTACTTTGTCTTGTATTTGTATGTATTAAGCATTTACTTATCTGTGAGCAAGTGAAAACTGAAGGCAAAGACTTTGTTCTTTGGTTTGGGGGTTCCTAGGACCTAGCATGGTACCTGGCATGCATTAAACCCTTAATAAATTCTTATTGAATGGAACAGAACTCTTTCTTTGACTTGTCTACCTGTGGTTGTTATTTCCCCAACTTTAGAAGGATTTCATATATATGCCTTCCCTTCCTGAGCTACAGGTATGGAAAGAGGACTTTCATTATGTACCCAATTCAGGAGTCAAATGACATGGAATCATTTGGAAACAAACTAACAGCCACTTGAGGGAATTACAGACAATTCTCTGATACCAGGATTTAATGACAGAAATACAGCCAAATATGGTGCTTTCTCCATCAGGATTTTTGAGTCTTAATGGAGTTGGAGGAAAAGAAAGCTCTACTATTTCAGTGAAGTTGCTGCTCTAGAAGGTCCTTCTGTGCTGCTGACATTAATTGTGCAGAAATAATTAGTGATTAATTAGAAATATAACAATGCAACAGTGTTGTTGATGTAATCACATCCTCTACCATTCAGAACCAGCACCACCACCAAGAAGTTCTAGCAGTTCTTGCCAAAAACTCAAAAAAGTACTCAAATGCTTTAATGGGTCAGTAATCTCAACAGTTCAGGAGATCCTTTTATGAAGAATGCAACCCACCCATACCTGTCCATCCTGTGTGACTCTCATCTATGTCCTCCTAAAAGTTCACCATTGAGAGGTCCACCTAGTTTTCTAGAGGTCCATCCTCACTTTCTCCCAACATCTGGAGGGTAGCAGGGAGGCACTCTGCTGTCTACCTGTTGTCCCTCACTTTTTCCATGTGACCAGTTCATCTTCTCTTCATTAATGGTAAATACTTTTGACAAGTATACATCTCCCTGTTTTATGATTCCACTAATATCTATTATCAGAGATTCAATCATTGAACAGGATTGTTTCTGTCGTAACATCTTTCAACAAATAATGAATGATCTTGATATGGTAGAATAGGGTTTTTTGTTCATTTTTTTTATTTTTGGTAATCAACAAACAATAAACACAATGATGTCTTTTCTACATCTTTCTATCAGTTGTGTGGGATCCATTGTTGTCTAGTGTTTGTGCAAGTCTGCTTGTTCCCTAATGCCCTCATTAAGGATATCTTCAATTGATGGATAGATGAACCTCATAAACACAAATGAGAGAGCGGTCATATAGGTCAGTGGTTATTGATGTCTTCCTGAAACTTTTTTTTTTGGAATCAGCAAAGTCTGAGATTTTTTTTCTACACCTCTGGTAACTTCCCCTCCTTTAGACACTCATAAATCAGTCCCTCAATGCCTTCTCAATTGTATCACCTGCTCTTTCTCCCTCCCCCCATCTCCTCTCTATATACTTGACCTAATCTGGCTGCTTTATCCATTTTTGTTCTCCTTAGTGTTAATTATACTTCCTCTGAAAGAAAATGAGGGACTGTGATGTTAGGGTCCAAGTGTAGTGACTCCACTATCCTTGATGGAGAGAACATTTTTATAATATTTTTGCAGATATTTTCCTTTTTATTCTCTTTGTAGCCCTCTTTCCATTTTTGTCCTTGAATGTCCTTGGGTGACTTTGCTTAGTTGGATATTTTTGCTAAACCTTCTTGAGACTGGTTTTACTCTCCTATTGCTTCTCTCTACTCTATGATACTGCTCATAATTATTGATCATTCTTCTTTTTAAGATTTTACAAAGGTGTTTATATTCTAACCCATCTCTCTATGTTTGGCAAGTAAGTTAAATGCTTTCTGCCTAAGGCATTTTCTGGGTTCTTTTGAACTCCTTATTGTAGCAATACTGGTTTAACTTCTGAATGAAAAAATTATAGTCAGTATTCATATCATTTCTGTTACCCATTTCCCATTAATAGCTTGTTTAAATAATTCAGGGTTAAATCTTAATTGTATTCCATATCTTTTTCTCATTATTCCCAACATGGTAGAACCTGCCAGTGCTTGCATTCCATTGGCATTACCTTTAAGAACCCAGAATCACCTCCACACCTCCATGAGGCACCATGAGGACTCTTGTAAAGCCAACAATGGCTTTTTAAATATTCTTTTGCATATCACCAAAGATAAGGCCTTGAACTTCCAGTATATCCATGGCTCTCTTAGTCCAAGATAAACCTCAACCAACTATAGCTCTTATTTGAAAAATAATTTTTTCACTTTACAACTATTTTTAGTAGTGTATTTTTGTCTAAAAGAAGAAAGGTAGTACTAAATCATTCCTTCCCATCCTGTTTGATTCTTATCCATATCCTCCTTAGAAGGCCTTCCTCTAGGTCTTCTGGTATCACATGGGTACTACTGCAACATCCGGGCTGCCCACCTATTATTCCTCTCTCACTAGCCCACTTCCTTTTCCAATCATAAATTTTCTAGATGACATATCTTAGGCCATCTCTTTTGCACAAGTTCTGCTGTACTTGTACTTTGCACAAGGTAATGTTCTGCTGTCTACTTCCAATTGCAATATATTTGTTGCTCTTTTACCCTTTGGATCACCAGCAATTTTGATTCTTTAGAAAATGTAGCATTGTTCCCTGACCTGTAGATTTGGGAGAAAAAATGCTTTAAAAAGTTGAATTTGGGGAAAACTTGGGGGGAGGGAGTTTGTTTCAGGGAGAAGATTTGGATTGTTGAGAGTTCTGTGCAGTTTCCAAAGAGCAATTGATCCCATTCTCTTCCAATTTAGTTCTGGGCCCAGCTCATTGTCCAACCAAAGTGTCTACCCAAGATATATCAATTGATAGACCAACTAAATTGAATGCTCAGACATGTCATGATCTAGACTCCCGGCATTCTTCATCCACCTGTTCTTTCCTATGTTGATTGCTAGGCTGAACTTTCTTGAGTGCCTATGGGCTCATTTGAGAATTTCTGTAGTATTCCAAGCCCCTTTAGAAGCCTCTAGGGGAACCTCATCTTCTACAGAGAGCTCCTCTTCCAATTTAACCTTGAGCTAGCTGTCCTCCAAGACAATGGCAAATCCTTCTGAACACCATATGTCTTCTTCTTTTATGCTCTGTACTTTTCAGTTAATTGTGTGACTGAAAATGTGACCTTTTTTTTAACCCATCCCTACACACATAGACACACACATAGAAAACTGCCTAGAGCATTAGAAAGTTATACGGCTTATTCCTGTTTACCTAGTTATCATTTGTCAGAGTAAAGACTTGAACACAGTGACTACAAAGCCAGCACCCTATCCACTATGCCTAACCAGTCACACATGTGACTGTAAAGATGTTCTCTGTCATATATATTATTTGTGAAAGCCTGCCTATTCCCTTATCGTCTTTTTGGTGAGGATACCTTCAATACATACGCAAAATATCTTCATAAAGGTTTTACAGAGAGGAAAAGTAGGCAGATGAGTTAGTAATAACTAATATCCTCTTTTTTATTTTTTTTTTGGTAAGACAATTGGGGTTAAGTGACTTGCCCAGGGTCACACACAGATAATAAGTATTATGTGTCTGAAGCCGGATTTGAACTCAGGTCTTCCTGATTCTAGGGCCAGTGCTCCATCCACTATGCCACCTAGCAGCCCCTAATTAATATCCTCTTGATCACCTTTTGTTAGTGAATTCTTCCCCGTCTTTCAGGACCCTCCCCTATTTCATATATCTTGATTGTCATTCGGTCAACAACCTCAAAATGTGTTGTCTACAGCACAAAGATCCTCTGTGTATACTTGGTCTAGACTAGTTACTCTTCCTATCTATGTCATCTTGCTCCATTTCTACTCTTCTCAGAAAGCCTATCAGAGACAGGAATGTTAGCCATACGTATAACAGAGCTACACACACAGTGAAAAAAATAGAAGGTGAAGGCAGGATGTAGTTATGCTTAATAGAAGGAATTAACAGGTGATGAGATCACCAATCCACTAAATAAGTAAGCCCTTACACTGTGCACAGTATCTTTTTTAAAGTCCATGTATATGTATATTTATGTACATGTATTTATATACATATATATTATACACACATGTAGAGTCAATCCAATAAACAACATACATGAGTCAAATAAGTGTTTATAAGATTAAGGAAAAAGAAAAAAGGACCATATTTCTATAGATTACAGCTTCTATTATGGAACACTGAAATGTAAGTTTTAAAAAAATTATCAAAAATAAAAATAAGGGCTAACCTTTGAAGAATTTTGTCTACCTGTTGTTCAGAAATGTCTATACCTAGTATCTTGAGAGACTGGATAATTTCTGAAGTTTCAATTACTCCTTTAAAAGAATGAAAAGAAAAATACGCCATTTAAAAACCTTTGAAAAGACACGGATGTCAATATTTTAGGGGCATGGTTATAACAATCTATAAAATTCCAACAATTATGATAGTACCTGGCCTTTATAGGCAAAGGTTAAATAAAGAATCAAGAATGAAAACCCTATTTGAACTTGTAGGGAAACATCAAAGAAAACAATCAGCTTTTTATATATATATTTTATTGATATCTTTTGTTTTCACATCACCTTCATTTCCCAATGTATCCCTTCCCCCTCCCTAAGAGCGCCATTTCATATGACAAAGGGAAAAAAAGCAGTTCAACAGAACTAACCAACACATTAACAAAGTCTGATATTAATAATGTGCTGTGTTTCACATATCCATGCTCTATATATGTGGGTACATGTATATGTGTATTATCATGTTTGTGTACATATATGTATATGTTTACATACATGTATATATCCATATATATCTATAGAGAGAGATATAGATACAGATCTATCCAGATGTCCTTCTATAAAGAAGGATGGGAGGTGTATTTTCATAGCTTCTCTTCAGGACCAAGTATGGTCATTACAATTACAGAGGAGTCAGTACAGATTCTTTGTTGTTCTTCTTTCCCATTTACAGTGGTGAAGACATTGTTTGTATATGGATCTCCTACTTCTGCTTACTTTACTTTGTATCAGGGTACATCTAAGTGTTGCCCTGTCACTCTTTATTCTTCATACTCACAGGATCAAAGCTTTAGAGCTGGAAGGGACTTTCTTAGAGACCATCAAGTCCAACTCCCTTTTTTACACGTGAGGAAAGATACTGAGAGCGATAGTCACTTGCTTAGAGCTAGTTCAGGCAGAATAAGAACTCAGGACTTCCTGACTCAAAGTCCCACACTTCAACTGGGCCACCTGGCTATGTACATCACTTCTAATAACACAATAACATTCCATTACATTCAGGCACTACAATTTGTATAGCCACTCTCCAACTAAAGGACATCTACTTTTGCTTCTTTTTAATACTGAAAAATGCCACTATAAATCTCTTTGAGGCATTTGTTTCTAATACTGACCTCCTTGGAGTATATTATATGCCTAGCAATGGGTCTTCTGGGTCAATTTGTTAGCATAAATCAAGATTGCTCTTTAGAATAGTTAGACTAATTCACAGTTCTACCAACAATCCATTAGTGTACTTATCTTTCCACAACCTCTCCAGCATTGACCATTCTCATCTTTTTCACCTTTTACAATTTGCTGGCTGTGAAGTGAAATCTAAGGGTTAACTTTGATTTACCCTTCTTTATTAGTAGTTATTTGGAACAATTTTTCATATGGCTGCTAATAGTTGCAATTCTTTTGACAGCTACTTTTCCTCATCCTATGATCACTTATCCACCAAAGAATGGCTCTTAATCTTAAGTATTTTGGTTAGATCCCTGTATATCTTGGGTATCAGATGTTTATCAATTTTAATATAATATAATTTAAATTATCAAAAAAATGTATTCATCTCTCTCCTTAATTTGGTTAAAAATTCTCCCGTAGCCATAAGTGTGAAAGATATCTAATATTTATCCATATAATTTTTAATGTAATCACCTAATATCTTCAAGAGTCATGGAGAGAGCAAATAAGACAGAGCTGGGGAACAGTTTAGACATATTTTTAAGATCTTAAGAAAAATAGAAAAGAGAAGGAAAAAGGAATACACTAGGGAGAAAAAAGAAGGAGGAAGATGGTACTACTTACTATCTCACATAATCAGAGTTTCTAAAACTATACAACTATCAAAGAAAGAGTTGGTGGTAAGGTACAAATTAATGAACTATACCTAAAACCTCACTTTTACCTAAACCAGACAAAGGAGAGTTAAACAGATATACACAGAGTTTGGTCTAGAAAGACACTAAACTCAATAGGGAATAAGGTGAGAACAGACAGAGGGGCAGTGAAGATTAAAAGAGAAGGTAAATTCAATAAGGAATTAATCATGAATAAAACAAACTCCAACTTCAGAGGGTGGATAATGTGAAGAGGGAATAAAAGGGAATGAAATGTAAGAACTTGTGACTGGGGACTAGACAAAAAGAGAAGAGGTACAGGGAATGGAAGCAGACTACATAAAATATAAATTGTTAGAGTTAAGCATACTCCTCTCTCACTATCCTCTTCTTTGTAGATAGGAAGGTTTGGTGGGCAAAGAAAGGAATCCAATAATATATTATTTACAAGAAAACACTTGAAACATAAAGATTCCCACAAAGTTAAAAATAATGAGCTGGAGTAAAATCCATTATGCTTAACACAAACTCAAAAAATCCGGGATAATAAACATAGTCTCAGACAAGGCAACTTTAAAAATAGAATTGATTGAAAGAGATAAAGAAGTAAATTACTTATTCTTAAAGAGACAATACATAATTAGTATTAATATTTTATATATACTATACTTGAGTCATACATATATATAAAATATATACACATATAGATTATAAATAAAGGAAAAGTTAATCAATTTACAAGGAGAAATATAGAGTGAAACTACAATACTAGGGGATCTCAATGTACCCATCTTAGACCTAAATAAATCTAACCAAAAGATAAGCAAGAAAAGTTATATGATAAGTCTCTGGTGATTACTGAATAGAAATAGAAAAGTGTATTTCTCAGTTGAGCATGGCCATATTGTGCCATAGAAAGAATGCTGGTTTGGAAGACAGAGGAACTGGGCTTTAATCCTGGCTCTGTTACTTATTACCTATGGGACTTTGGGCAAGTCATTTCACCCTTTTGAGCCTCACCCATACAAATATTAGCCATGTAATAAAGGATAAAACTTCACAACTATGGAATATCTAACATACCCTTTACAATACAATAAAAATAATATTCAATACAGAGACTCTGAAGAAAGTATTAAGAAATTAATTGGAAACTAAGTTCCTTAATCCTAAAATAAATAATGGGTCAAAGAACAAATCATAGAAACAACTATCAGTCCCATTCTCTCTACTCACACAGTCATGTTTCACCTGATAGTTGTCATTCTCTGTTTTTGTTCTCCCTGAATTAGGTATCAAAACCATATTTGTGTCATATAAGGAATTTGGTAAGACTCCTTCTTTACCTATTTTTTCAAATAATTCATATAATAGTGGAATTAATTGTTCATTAAATATTTGGTAAAATTCACTTGTAAATCCATCTGGTCCTGGGGATTTTTTTTCTTCTTAGGTAGCTCATTTATTGCTTGTTTAATTTCTTTTTCTAATGTAAGGTTGTTTAAGCATTCTATTTCATCTTCTGTTAGTCTGAGCTGTTTATATTTTTGTAAATACTAATCCATTTTACTTAGATCATCAGTTTTATTGCCATATAGTTGGGCAAAATAGCTCCTAGTAATTGCTTTAATTTCATCTTCATTTGTGGTACATTTACCTTTTTCATTTTTGATATTGGCAATTTGGTTTTCTTCTTTCCTTTTTTGATCAAATTAATGAATGGATTGTCTATATTATTGTTTTGTTTTCCATAAAACAAGCTATTATTTGTATTTATTAGTTCAATAGCTTTTTTATTTTCAATTTTATTGGTCTCTCCTTTGATTTTTAGGATAACTATTTTGGTATTTAATTGGGGATTTTTAATTTATTCTTTTTCTAGTTGTATGCATAATTTATGGATCTGTAATTTATCTCTTTTATTGATATAAACCTTTACAGATATAAATTTTTCCCTAATGCTTTCATTACACCCCACAAATTTTGGTATGCTGTCTCATTGTTGTTTGAATTCCTTGTTTCCAAATCAGCTCAAGCACCATCTTTTACATGAAGCCTTTCTGAATTCCCCCATGGCTAATGCTTTTAGCCTTCTCTCCTCCATCCCCTGACCCTACAAAAAAAATTACTTTACATTTATTTTTCATGCATTTTACATATACATCTATAAGCTTGTCTCCTTTCCCTGATGGAATGAGTACAGGGACTGGCTCACTTTTGTCTTTGTATCTCTAGTACCCAGCACCATGCTTGGCATAGAGAAGGTACTTAAATGGTTCTTGATTGATGAATGGATAAATGATTAATTCCAATCTCTGGGGGAAGAAGAATTTTAAATTTTAAATAAAGTACTAGCAAGGTAGCTATAATATCATAAAGATCATATATTATGACCAGGTGGGATTTATACCAGAAATTCAAGGCTTATTCAAAATTAGGAAAATTGTAAGCATAATTGACCATATCAATAATAAAAACAAAAAAACTATTATTCTTTGCAGATAATATGATGGCATATTTAGAGAACTCAAGAATATACTAAAAATAGTCAAAATAATAAACAATTTTAGCCAAGTTGTAGGATATAAAATAAACCTACATAAATCATCAGCATTTCTTTACACTACCAACAAAACTCAGCATGAAGAGATTGAAAGAGAAATTCCATTTAAAATAAATACAGACAATAAAAATACTTGGGGGCCTTCCTACCAGGACACACACAGGAACTATATGAACACAATTACAAAACATTTTTTTTACAAAAGAAAACATAGCTCTAAACAATTGGAGAAACATTCATTGTTCATGACCTAGAAAACAGATAAACAAGATATAATCAAAGAATAAATGGATTACCTGAAAATCATGACCAAAAAAAAAGTTTGCATATTATATTTCAAGAAATCGTAAATGAAAACTGGCCAGATCTCTTAGGACCTGGGAGCAAAATGAAAGCAGAAAGAAATCACCAATCATCCAAAGTGGCAAGCAATCACAATCAAGATCACACAAGACTTGGTTATTAGTCGCTCAGATTTCTTCCTCCAAAAATTGTTAAATTGGCATTTTTTAAAGGAAGAAAATCCAACAAACATGAAAAAAGTGCTTCAAATAACAACCAATTAGAGAAAGCAAATTAAAGTAACTCAGAGATTCTACCTTACATACATCAGATTGACAAAGATGACAAAAAAAATTAGAATTGTTAGAGATAAACAGGCACACTAATACACTGAGAATAGAGCTATAAAATGGTACAGCCACTATAGAAAGCAACTTAGAACTATATACAAAAAGGCATCAAACCGTGCCAAACCCTTTTGAGCAAGAGATATCAATACCAGGTCTATTACCTCCAAAGACATCAAAGAAATAGTAAATGTATCCGTATGTACAAAAAATATTTATAGCATCTCTTGTTGTAACAGCAATATACTCCAAACTAAGGGGGTTCCCATCTATTGGGGAAACAGCTAAACAAATTAGAGTACTTAAATGCAATGGAATGGAATACCGCAAGAAATGACGAAATGGATGATTTCAGGGAAAATCCAAAAGACCTGTATGAAATGATGTAGACAGAAGTGAGCACCCATTGCCTAACCCAAAAAAAAAAAAGAATCGAGCAGAACCAGAAAAAACTAGTTGTACAGTAACATTGTAAAAAAAAAAAAACTTTTGAAGACTTAATCTGAACAATTCAACATGCTACTCATCTCCTAATGGAGAGGTAATGAACTCGAGATGCATAATGAGATACATTTTCAGACAGACAATATGGGATTTTGTTTTGCTTGTTATAATTATTACAAGGGATTTGTTTGTTTGTTTTTGTTTTTGTTTTTTTCCAATGGGAGAACAGGTGAGAAGGCAAAGGGAGACAAGGATAAAGTAGCAAAAGAAAAGAGTCATTGAGGCAGAGGCATCTTTTTTTTTTTTTTAATGGAGAGACAAAAACAAATGGAAGGCTACAAATAAGGCCAGGCAAGCAGGATATCTTTGAAAGTTACAGACTGACCTTATTACATACTTTAAAAAAACATGAAGTATAAGTATTTCATGTGCCATCCTCTTGTTCTGTTATACCATGAATATGCAAATGTCTATTCCATTTGGTGTTTGTTATGTTCAAGAAAATTAATTTTTTTATAAAGAAAAATAACCCTGAAAGACTTGAGGCTTCTGATCAATGCAATGACAAATCACAATTCCAGAGGACCAAAGATGAACCAAGGTAGGTGATGGATGAAACACACAGGATAGGCATGTTTAGAATAGGCACTCTGGCACAATTCAAGAGTATGCTTTGACCATAAATATTTGTTATGAGTGTTTTATTTTTCTTTTTTGTCATAGTGCAACTGGGAACTAGAGAATGTGGGAGAGAAATTAAATGGTTGCTAATTAAAAAAAAAAAAAAGAGAAAAACCCTTACTTGACTGTACCATTAACTCAAGTAATACTCTGATATTTCTTCTACTTTTCTCTGCCAAGTACCTTTAAAAAGCAGTCTACATTCCTTGTCACATTCTCTTTTCATTCACTTCTCTCAGTCCTTTGCAGTCTGGTTTCCAACCTTACTACTCAATTGAAACTATTCTTTCCAAAGTTACTCATGATCTTTTGGCAAAAATAATGCCCTTTTTGGTCAAGAATATCAAGGGGATTAATGGAAAAAGTACAAAGGAAAGTGGCCTAGCCATATCAGATCTAAAACTGTATTATAAAGTAACAATCATCAAAAACTATTTGGTACTGGTTAAGAAATAGAATGGTGTATCAGTGGAATAGATTAGGTACACAGGATAGTAGTAAATGACTATAGTAATCTACTATTTGATAAACCCCAAAGACTCCAGCTTCTGAGATAGGAACTCACTATCTGAAAAAAAAAAAAACTGCTGGGAAAACTGGAAAATAGCATGGCAGAAACTAAGCATAGACCAACATCTCACATTGTATACCAAGATAAGGTCAAAATGAGTAAATGATTTAGACATAAAGGATGATACTATAAGCAAATTAGGAGAGCAAGGAATAGTTTACCTGTCAGATCTATGGGGAAGGGGAGAATTTAAGACCAAACAAGAGATAGAGAACATTATGAAATGCAAAATGGATAATTTTGGTTACATTAAATTAAAAAGGTTTTGCACAAACAAAACCAAAACAACCAAGATTAGAAGGAAAACATAAAGATGGGAAACAATTTTTGCAGCAAGTGTTTCTGATAAAGGCCTCATTTCTCACATATATAGAGAACTGAGTCAAATTTATAAGAATACAAGTCATTCCCCAATTGATAAATGGTCAAAGGATATGAACAGGCAGTTTTCAGATGAAGAAATTAAAGCTATCTATAGTCATATGAAAAAATGCTCTAAAACACTATTGACTAGAGAAATGCAAATTAAAACAACTCTGAGGTACCAACTCATACTTATCAGATCGACTAATATGCCAAAAAAGGAAAATGATAAATGTTGGAGAAGATGTGCACTAATGTATTGTTGGTGGATCCAACCATTCTGGATTGCAATTTGGAACTATGTCCAAAGAGCTATAAAACTGTGCATACCCTTTGATTCAGCAATACCCACTATGAGGGCTGCATCCTAAAGAGATCATAAAAAAGGGAAAAGGATTCACACGTACAAAAATATTTACAGCAGCTATTTTAGTGGTAGCAAAAAAATTGGAAATGAGGGGATGTCCATCAATTGGGGAATGGCTGAACAAGTTGTGGTATATGAATGTAATGGAATACTATTGTGCTATGAGAAATGACAAGCAGGACAGTTCAGAAAAACCCTGGGAAGGTCTATAGGAACTTATGCAGAGTGAAGAACACAGTAACAGCAATATTGTAAGGAGGATCAACTGTGAAAGACTTAGTTATTTTGATCAAGACAATGATCCAAGACAATTTCAAAAGACTTATGACAGGAAAATGCTATCCACCTCCAGAGAAAGAACTGCAGAGTCTGAATGCAGATCGAAGCACACTATTTTCTCTTTTTTGTTGTTTTTTTGTTTTTGTGGCTTTTCCCTTCTGTTCTGTTTCTTTTTTCACCACATGACTAATGTGGAAATATGTTTACGTGATTGTACATATATAACCTATATCAGATTGCTTGCCATCTTGAGGAGGGGGGAGTACAAGGGGGGGAGAGAGGAAAAAATGGAACTCAAAATCTCATTTTAAAAATGAATATTGAAAACTATCTTTACATGTAATCGGAAAAAATAAAATACTATTTACAAAAAAATGCCCTTTTCTCAACCAGTATTTGATAATGTTGATTATTATCTCCTCCACCTGGATACCATCTCCTCTCTAGATTTTCATTGACCCTGTGCTTTCTTGATTCTCCTCCTACCAATCTGATCACTACTATCAGTCTCCTTTGGGGGCTCCTTCTCCGTAACATACACCCTTACTGTGGACGTATCCTAAGGCTCTATCCTGGTCCATCACATGGACTTAATTATCAGCTCTATGCAGATGACTCCCAAATCTATACATGAAGCACAAGTGTTTTCCCTGAGCTCCTATTGTGAATGTCCAAATGCTTATGGGACACTTGATACAGAATGTCCCATAAGCATCTCAAACTTAACATTTCCAAAATAACCCTCCTTGTCATTTCCCCCCCCATCTACCCATAACTGTGCCCATTACATACCCCTCTTCCTAAAATGTCTTATTTCTCTTAGAGCACCATCATCCTCCTAATCATTCGTTTTAACCTCATTGGTTTTGTCCCTGATTCTTCACTCTCTCTCTTTCACTCCACATATCTAATTGGTTGCCAAATATTCTCTTTTCCACCTACACATCACCTTGCCTATCAGTCCCATTCTCTCTACTCACACAGCCACATTTCACCTGGACTACTGCAATGGCCTTGTAGCTGGTCTCCCTACTTTATCTGTCTCCTATCTCTAATCCATCTTCCACACATCCACCAGTGATTTTCTTAAAGTACAGGTTGGGCCATCTCACTCACCTGCTCAATAAACTCCAGTTACCCCTAGGATAAAATATAAATTCTTTTAATAGACATTTAAAGTCCTTCAGAAGTCAGCCCTAACCTTTAATTTCCAGCAGTATTACATTACTCCCCTTTCCACATTCTATAGGCCAGCCAAACTGTCTTTCTTGCTGTTGTTCATACATGACATTCTATCTCCCACCTTTGTATTGGCTGTCCTCGGTGCCTGGAATGCACCCCCTCCTTACCTCTGACTCTTTGAATTCCTTGTTTCCGAATCAGCTCAAGCACCACCTTCTACATGAAGCCTTTCTGAATTCCCCAGTGGCTAATGTCTTTAGCCTTCACTCCTCCATCCCCTGCCCCTACAAAAAAAATTACTTTATATTTATTTTGCATGCATTTTACATATATATCCATAAGCTTGTCTCCTTTCCCTGATGGAATGAGTACAGGGACTGGCTCACTTTTGTCTTTGCACCATGCTTGGCATAGAGAAGGTACTTAAATGGTTCTTGATTGATGGATGGATGGATGATTAATTCTAATCTCTAGGGGAAGAAGAAAGCTAAAAGCTTTCATATTAGACAATGAAATGTCCTTCAGTACTGGTAGTGTGTGTGTGTGTGTGTGTGTGTGTGTGTGTGTGTGTGTGTGTGCACTTTAAGCCAATTGCAAATGGAAAAAATGAAACTCACCATCGTGATTTTTGTCCAGACTAGTAAATGCCAACTTCATCTTTTTCTCATGGTTTTTAAGGTACTGCATAAACTCTTCAAAATCTAGCTGGTTATCCTTGTTAGTATCACCAGCACTTAAGAGATCCTACAAGCAAGAAGAAAACCATTAGAGAGAAATTCTTCAGCACTATTGTATAGCTGGACTGATCCTATTAAGTGAATCAGTTTTGTCAGTCCATGGCTAAATCAAGGAAAGACATGAAAATTACAGACTTCCAGTACAGTGGTATCAAACTCAAATAGGAACAGGGGCTGCTAAATCCCACATGAGAATCTCTTCAGGCTGCATAATGACATAGAAATCTACATGTTAATAATATCCCTGTTTTATTGTCTTTTTGTTTATTTGTTAAAGTTTTCCCAATTATATTTTCACTACATTTCACCTTGGGCACTCAAGAGTGTTATGGGTCATACCATACACCCCATGTTTGACACTTCTGTTTTAGAATGAAAAGGGACCTTAAAGATCACCTAAGACCTACCTCTCACTTGACGTTCCATAGTTTCTGAATTTTATAAAACACTGGAAAAATCACCATTATACCAGATGCAAACAAATCCAGGTTTCAGGAAGAATTCTTTATTGAAACAATGAAGCAAAGACTTCCATAATAAAAGGCATGTTTTCAAATGTTATTATAGTGATAGCTTCTCTGATATGTACATTAAAAGTCCTCAAACTAGAGAAATTTCTAACTGATGCCCAAGCATGTCACTGTTCTCATTCTGCTGGCTATGGCCCTCTTTGCAAAATATAGATACCATCCCAAAATCATCCTATTTATTTTACAGAATTAAGAGAGAAGGCAGTATGGTACAGTGGAAAAAGCACTGACCTTGGAGTACTCATATATCTGTTTACATGTCTAATTACCCACTACTTATATATCCTTTTAAGGAACATAAGCCCCTTGAGCACAGGGCCTATATTGGGTTTTTTGTCCTTACACCCTGAGAAATTAACACAATGTCTTCCACATAGTTGATGTAATAAATCCTTGTTGAATGTAATTTAAGTCATCCAGATAAGAATGAAAAGGAAACTTATTAAGGTCATTTTGAATTCTATGAACTTCTTTTGCTTTTCAACTACGTATCATGGTCCTTCTACACATAGATTGGCAGCATAGACTTGGAATACGCTTAGCACAAACAATAAACTAGACAAAGCATCCAAAAGTATGACTATCCCACTTTACCTTGAGCTGCCTTAATACCATATTAATTAGCAAAAGTAGTTCTCTGAAGCAAAGTCACAAGTCTCTGCTTCCTAGAGAAAACTTGAAGCCTCATTCTGCCTGCTTCTACTTCCACAAATCTGTATAGGTCATCCCTAATGACTAGAATAAGAGTGGCCAGGTGGTGAGGTGGATAGAGGGCCAGGCCTAGAGTCACCGCTTCCTGAGTTCAAATCTGGCCTCAGATACTTACTGGCTATGTGACCCAGGGCAAGTCATTTAGCCCTGTTTGCCTCTGTTTCCTCATCTATAAAATGGGCTAGAGAAGGAAATGGCAAACCGCACCAGTGTCTTCACCAAGAAAACCCCAGATGGAGTCATAAAGAGTTGAACATAACCAAAACAATGGCCAAACAAAAACATGACTAGAATGGACTCCCCCAATAAATTCAAATTTTGTTGAAATTTTTCTCTTTCTTCAAACCAGCTGTCATCATTAAAGCCTTCCTTGATCCTCCTCTCTTCAAATATTTCATAGTCTCCTCTGCGAATTTAATATATTCTAATCTAATTAAGTTACATATATAAATATATATGTCTTTTCTCCTCTTACTAGATTAAAACTCCCCGAGACTGAAGACCACATCATCATTTATCTTTGAATCACCAATGCCTAGCAGAATAATTTTCAATAGAAGGCACACTTAAAAAATATTATTGAATTGAAATGACAAAGCAAGTCAAAATGACTTGCTCTTTCTATCCTTGCTTGGTTCACCTTTATCAAGACCAAGTTTTAACTAATTTGCTTTATTAGAACCATTCCTGGCTGTCTACATTATCTTTGAACCCTTTATCTAATGCCTTTCCTTATAATCAGACACACACTCTTCACCTGTTTCCTCTTCTCTATCTATATATAAACCTACTCTTCAGAATTAGATCAATTTCCTTTTACAAACTCACATACATGTGATTTTACATGAAAAAAAGCGTTGTGGAGATAGGATCCTTGTTTTTTACCCTCTTTCTAGAGGCAGCTAGTGATGCAGTGAATAGGGTGCTAGGCCTGGAGTTAGGAGTAGTTCAAATCTAGCCTCAGACAATTACTAACTGTGTGACTCTGGGCAAGTCACTTAACCTCATTTGGCTCAGTTTCCTCAACTGTAAATTCCTTAACTGTAAACTCTAAAATAATAACACCTACCTCCCAGAGTTGTCGAGGGGATCAAATGAAATATTTGTTAAAGTACTTAGCACAGTGCCTGGCGTATAATAAGTGCTATATAAATTCTTTTTCCCTCCCCTTCCTACCAACTTATTGTGTGGACATACAAATTAAGGTCGCAGGTGAGTAATTGCTAAGAACATTCCTTTAAAAATGCATACACAAAAAAAAATGCATACACTCAGCTTGGAATAAGGAAGACTCATCCTCATGAGTTCAAATTCAGCCTCAGACACTTACTAGCTGCGTGACTCTGGGCAAGTCATTTAACCCTGTTTGCCTCAGTTCCTTATCTGGAGAGGGAAATAGCAAACCACTCCAGTTTCTTTGCCAAGGAAAACTCCAAATGGAGTCATGAAGAATGTGAAATGACATAACAACAACAACAAACATTCCAGAGGGCTTGAGAGATCAAATTCATTATCTTTTGGAAACACATATCTCTCCACCTTCAAGATTTAGCTCAAGTACCACCTTCTACACCCCGCCCCCCCAAAAAATGCATACACAGTCCCTACCTTGGTATTTACCATCTTCAACCTAAGAAAGTTAAAAAGGCATAAATTCTCAAAACTTTGAGTGATTCTGATGATTTTGACCAAATTTATTTTTAATATTCTAAAGATAAAAACCATCAGTTTTTATGGTTTCAAGCACATGTAGTTTAAGTAGTCTGTGTCAATAATCTGTTTCCTGATGAAATCATTGCCCTCCAAACTTCAATGTTACTCAATGCCATTTTCAGACCACATCTGCATTATCTTTATTGCAAGGATCGATGAGGAGGAAACGGAATTAAAAAGCTTCTGCCTTTTTCAGCCCATTTGTCATTTGTGTTTCCCCCATAAGAGAGGAACTTTTTTCTTTTTATCCTTCTCTTATGCCTTATTCGTTTAAGGAACATTTTTCTATTTCCCTTGAAAGCTGCAAAATGGGGCTTGTTGTAGAGGAAGTGGGAAGAAAAGATGAATTATGGCAAAAAGATAGGCAGCTAGGTGTCACAGTGGATAGAGCTTGGAATCAGGAAGACTTATCCTCATGAGTTCAAATTCATCCTCAAACACTTACTAGCTGTGTGACCCTGGGCAAGTCACTTAACCCTTGTTTGCCTCAGTTCCTCATCTGCAGAAGGAAATGCAAACCACTCCAGTTTCTTTGCCGAGGAAAACTCTAAATGGGTCATGAAGAATGTGAAATGACATAACAACAAAAACAAATATTCCAGAGGGCTTGAGAGATCAAATTCATTATCTTTTGGAAACAAATATCTCTCCAACTTCAAGATTCAGCTCAAGTATCACCTTCTACACAAAGCTTTCCCCTACCTCCCTTAACTACCTTGAATTTATTCTGAATAATACAGACATGTTGCCTCTACCACAGAATGGAAGCTCCCTGAGGATAGGGATTGTTGCCTCTAACCACAGAATGGAAGCTCCTTGAGAATGGACTGATTGAATAGAGGTCTCTGATTAGGTTTCGTGTTAACAAATGCCCAATGTCCACCGCTAGGCACCTATGTTCTTTAGGGAACAGGAAATCAGAAGTGATTCAGACAAGCAAATGCTAACCCAGATCTGACCACGTGTTTCAGCACTATATATCCTTCGAATCTGATGCATTCTATGCGTTTGAACAGAATGAAACCATAACCCCAAAATGACAGACAGCCATGAACATTCCCACATGTAGGCAGAATGAGTCTTCTTTATAAGGTACAGCTTCAACCAGTCTTTCCCCTGCATGTACCCTTAACATCACTGACCCTCTCTGCAAATACTCTTACCACCAAGTATAGGCCAGTTTATATCAAGAGATATACTAACAGCCTCCCTATTTTCTGGCTCCAATGAATGCCCTAAAAGAAATACTATTGCAAACTATTAGAGATCTCTCTAGCTGAACTCCACAGCCCTGGCCAGCATGGAATGGAGATCAATCAAAAAGCATTTATTTAATTCCTACTGTATACCAGACCTTGTGCTGGGAATAGAAAGACAAAAAACAAAATCCCCCTTCCCTAAGGAGCTTGTAGTCCAGTGGGGGAGGGTAATAAGTGCATATGCATAGGAATATACAAAATATATACATACATAGGAAATAGCCAGCACAAAGGAATGAAGGCAAGAGGCGTAATATCATGTTTGAGAACTAGTAAAAAGTCTTGTTTTCCTGAACTACAGTGTGCTTTGAGGGAATAATGTACAATAAGACTGGAAAGCTAGGTGGCACAATGGATAGAGTAACAGATCTGACATCAGAAAGACTCATCTTCCTGAGTTAAAGTCTGGCCTTGGATACTTACTAGCTGTGTGACCCTGGGCAAATCACTTAACCCTGTTTGCCTCAGTTTCCTTATCTGCAAAATGAGCTGGAGAAGGAAATGGCAAACCACTCCAGTATCTTTGCCAAGAAAATCCCAAATGGGGTCAGGAAAAATTGGGCATACTGAAACGATTCAACAACAACAATAAGGCTGGAAAGGTAGGATATAGACAAGTTGTGAGCTAACAACTTTTGAGAGCCTTATCAGCCATTCAAAGAGAGGGAAGACATGAAGAGTGAAATGAGCAGAACCAAGAGAACATTTTATATATATGTATGTATATATATATATATATATATAGTAACAGCAATATTGTTCAAAGAATAAGTATGAAAGAAAGAGTTATTCTAAGTATTAGAAATACTGAAATCGACTACAATGCATCTATGAAGGAAGAAGCTATCCACCTCCAGAGAAAGAACTAATAAATAGGAGTATGCATAGCATGGTTTTATGTGTGTGTGTGTATGTACATCAAATGGTGACCTTCTCTAGTGTGGGGTGGGGAAAGAGGGAGGGAGACAGTTCAAAACAAAATGTAGCCAAAAAATAAATTAATTAAATTAAACAAAAAAAAGAAAGAGAGAGAGGGAAGACAGGAGGACAAACTTCCACCTCCTACATTGTTTCCTTGCCCCCATTAATTAAGGCCCCAAGCCCCTAAAAAAGGGGTCTGAGACAGATAACTCTTGCCATTAATCCATTCATTACCCAAGGAAGGTGTAAAGGACGACAGGAGCTGGTTTTCTGTTTTGGTAAATGGCCAAGAGAATTGGTGGAAGGCAATTAAGCTGAACCTTCCACAGTCTCTCTTAACAGATGTTTTATTCATTTTCTTGGTATAATAAAATTGTGTGTGGCTACAGTGCAAATCAAGTGTGGAATGGTATGAAATGTAGAAAGTTGGTCAGATTAAAGGGAATCTGCCCAGTGAGGGGAAGGGACAAACCAAATGAAGATTTCCATAATTTTACTATTTCAAAGTGATGTTCTAGTATCATAGAAAATGTAAAACACTGAAGCATATCTATTAAAAAGAGAAGTTTTCACTTGCCATTTGTATTTATTATAGTTTTAGAAGTCTTATCAATAAGGCATGAAGAGAAATTTTAAAAATTAATTATTATCAAAGAAGTCAAAATATCTGTTTTTCATACAACATGATCATATATCTAAAAAATGGAGTCAACAACAACAAAAATTAATGGTGACCAATGATTTTACTAAAGAAATTAGACATAATTCCCCTCTCCAATTATCTGTACCATATTCCAGCATTAAAAATAACAAGAAATTAATAGCAAGAAAAAGAGCCTTTACAATATTAAAAAAAAATGCACTAAATATTGACTTGAAGCATACATACAAGAAACCTGTAGAAAAACAACTTCCTTAACAGAAATCAAGGAAAAACTGACTAAATAGCAAGATATTCTCAGTGCAAGTCAGGTAAAAACTGCAAAAAACAGTAAATGTATCCCAAACCAACTTACAGATTTAATGCAATACTATGCAAAATACCAATATGTGATTTCACTGAATTAGATAAAATCATAAAAAATGTCATATGGTAAAATAGTGACAAAGACTCAATCTGTGATTTTCATAAGGATAGAAGAGTAAAAAAGAAAAACAGCAAAGTGGGGCTAACAATACTAGATATGAAAACATTACAAAGCAATAATTATTTTTAAAATGTCTCTTACTGGGGAAAGAGTAGAAAGTCAAGGAAACATAATAGGACCCAGGAATAGAACCCAGTGAATATAAAAAAAAGTGATGCTTGATAAGCCCACATTTTAAAAACATTAGGAATAGAATCACCATTAAAAAAAAAAAAACTTTTTGAAAAAAATGGATGGCAATACAGCCAAAAAACAAATGAGTTTAGATACACATCTTATGCCATATACCATAATAAATTAACTGGATCCACAATTTAAATTTTTTAATTTATTAAAAAATGGAAGAAAAAAAAATTTTCTTACCTAGTTAAAGGAGGGACAATTTTATCAAACAGAACTTATTCAACACAAAATAAAAGGGTTTGGTTATATGAGAATAGAAAGACTTTGTAAAACAAAGAACAATTTCTCTAAAGTTAAAAGAAAAGAAATAGATTGAGAAAATATTTGCTTTCACAATATAAAAATATGTATTAAATGCTTAAGATTCTAAAAGGAACTGATGTAAATATACATTCTCCAATGGAACAAGAGTCAAATGATACAAATGGGCAATTTAGGAACAAGAAAATGCAAATTGTTGCTAAAAGAACATCAACTTCCTCAATAATCCAAGAAATGCATGTAAAGACAACCTGAGGATATGTTCTTATAGAAAAATACAAAAAATTTATGAAAATCTAATATCGGTAGAACCGTGGGGAAACAGGCATCCTATTACAACGAGACTAGTGCAGACGTTTTGGAGGGCAACATAGCAATATATGGTGACTAATACAACTTTTCATGCCTTTCAATCCAGCAAATCCATTGTGATGACTTTATCCTAACAATATTTTTTTTTATTTTAAACACATCTCTACAAAAACATTCATAGTTTAATACGAAAGAAGTTTAAAGCAAACGTATGAAGAGGACAGCAAAAAAATAAGTTGGAAAATATGGTTCATGCATGTAATAAATAGAAATAATACAGCATTTACTATATGTCAAGCACTGTGCTAAATGCTTTACAATTATTATCTCATTTAATTCTCACAACAATTCCGGGAGGTTACAGTTTTGGTAGTTGTATCCCCACCATCTAGCACAGTACCTTGTTCATAGTAAGCACTTAATAAATGATTATTGAATTTAATTAAATAAATGCCAAGAGGCATTTGAAGAAGAAAGGGGGAAAAGAGTCATAAGGATAGAAGAAGAGTAGAATGTGAGAAATATAATGGATTCAGATGCCATGGGAACTATACACACACATCTTTTACCATCCCCTTTAGCCAGTGCTATGTAAGCTCTATTAAGAGGTTTCCACTAGGCCACATACCTCCCCCAGTCTCCAGTCCTCTCAAATGACACCTCCTCCAAGAAACCTTAACCTATCACCATACCTTTCCACCCACACTCCCCATATATCACTTTGCTGGCACATCTATGTGCTCACCATATGTCGCTTTGTATTATAGTTATTTGTCCTATGTGTCTTTTCCCCTACCTATAAATTCCATGAGAGCAGGAACCTCTTACCATTTTTTTGTCTTTCACCCAGCAAACAGCATAAACTCTTCATAGAATAGTTGCTTAACAAATGTTTGTTAAATTGCACAAAACTCTTGATGGTATTTGTACACCAGAGCCTTAAAAGCTCAATTATTTTCCAAAATTAAATCATAGGCTCATAGTTTTAGATTTGGACCTTTCATCTCTTCCAACCCTCTCACATTTACAGAAAAGGAAAAGGAGGCCCAGAGAGAGGCTGTCACTTATCCAAGATCACCCAGGTAATAATAAGTGGTAATACAAGGATTCAAACTCAGATCCTCCAACTCCAAACCCAGCACTTTCTCCATTAGAAAGCCATTTATCTAGGGCTTCAATTCTACATCTAAGAGTTCTCAGCAAGCAGCAGCCATGAAGACACATTTAGGCCACTAGGTGTCTAGAGAGGTTTCCTAAAAGCAATGGTCAGTACTTTGAAAGGGCCCCTCTCCCAGAGCCTCACAATTTCTGAAACACATTCAGAGGTTACAATCTGTCATCACTGTCAACCGTAGGGGACACTCTTAGGGGATTCTCAGAATGAAATCTTTCCACTTTTGCTCACTCAATCATAAGATCATGGATTAAGTTGGAAAGGAGGTCAAGATAGGTGAGATTTTCGTTATTTTTCATTCATCAAATTAATACAAGAATGAGGATGGGGAAAAGGTGTTTTTCTTAATTAAATTAATTAAAGAAATTCAATTTAGCTATGTGTCTTTCGCTAGATATTGGAGGAAAGGGTTTGGTTTTGCCCACGTCTGGCCCGTCCCCTTTAAAACCTGTTCGGGGCTGCCCACATTTTGCTCATCTTTGCCTAGAGAGAAGTGCAACTTCCCGAGACCCTCTTGAAGCTCGACAATGTCCACCTTCCCGTCCCCGTCGCGGTCCAGCTGCCAGAAGAGGTACTCATAGCGGCAGTTGGACTCTTTGTCTTTCTCGTCGCTACTGGAGGTTAGCACGAAGCCACGCACCCAGCGGAGCATGGTGTCCAGAGGCAGTGGGGGGACACCCTGGGGGACGTGGGAAAAGCCTCCTCTGGACACCAGCCGGGTTCCCAGCTTGCCCTCCTCGGCCCTGTCCAGGCCTTGGCCCCCGCCCGGCCCAGCCGAGGACGGCGGTGGCGGCGGCTCGGGCTGCAGATCGAGACGGGCCCGAGCCGTCTGTCCGCGTAGAGGCAGCTGCACCAGCACCCGGCATAGCGGACAGCAGGCAGCGGCGCTCATTTAGCTGCTGTGCACGGAGGTGAGCGTCCTGGATGGGAAGCTCTGCCCGTCTGCCTATGGCTCAGGGTTGGCCGGGACCAGGAGGGCCCTGCAGGGGCACATTTTCGGGGCGCAGTTAGAACGCAGAGAGGAAGAGGAGCCTAAAGTCCTGCGCCCGTTTCTCCGCGGAGGGCAGTTCCTGCAGTGCAGCTCCCAAGAGTGGGGCAGGACGAAACTGGGAGACTAGCACTGATATTGTGTCGGGGCGCAGGGCGCTGGACTGGCAGGGAGCTGCAAGTCCCCAAGCTCGTGTCTTTCCTGAGCATCCTGACTCAAGCCACCTATGGTCTGTTTAGCTGTGTCCCTTTCTGGGTCCCTGCCAGCCTACAGGACAACACACATTCCGGTGCCTGGCTCAGTGCATTAAACGCAGTAGGAGCTTCAGAAATGTAAAATGAAGCGTTAAGGCAGCTACGGAGATTTCCTCCAGGGATTAATTTTGACTTTGACTTTGGGGTGGGGTCAGTCTTTCTGTAGGAAACGAGACACCTAAGGAAGGGCAAAGAAGGTGAAATGAAATATAGGTAGCGATAGTTTACCTTCGGTTCTTCGCTGCTTTGATTGGTTCTTGTGATAATACTTTTGGGGTTGGGATCCTGAAGGATTGATATAGAGAAAGCAGAGGAATTGCGTAGAAACCTGTCCACACCCTGAATTTTGTGTTAAGAAGCTAATGATCTGATCTACAGTCAGCTCCATGTCTTGTTTTAACTGACTATATAGAGCTTCTTCACCTTTGGCTGCAAAGTATATAATCAATCTTTATTGACCATTTGGTGATATCTGTGTGTAGAATTGCCTTTCGGGTTGCTGACAAAAGAGTGTTTGTTGTGACCATTGAGTTATCTTGACAAAACTCTATTAGTCTCTGCCCTGCTTCATTTTGAACTCCTGCTTCATTTTGAACTCCAAGGCCAAACTTGCCTATTATTCCAGTTATCTTTTCACTTCCTTCTTTAGCATTCCAATCTCCTATGATGAATGTGACATCTTTTTTGGTATTATTTCTAGATGTTGCAGGTTTTCACAGAACTGATCAACTTTGGCCTCTTGGGCATCAGTGGTTGGAGCACAGACTTGTATTACTTCTATAGAATTATGATGTTGAAGGGTTTGCCTTGGATTTGAGCAGATATCATTTGGTTATTTTTGAGATTATACCTCAGTACTGTTCTTTTTACCTTTCTGTTGACTATGAGGGCTATTCCACTTCTCCTAAGGGAGTCTTGACCAGTTGCATATGGAGTGACATCTAAATTAAATTCTCCCATTCCTGTCCACTTCAGTTCACTGACACCCAAGATGTTTAATCTTTCCATCTCCACCATCTCCACCACATCCAGCTTACCTTGGTTCATTGATGTTACATTCCAGTGTTCCATGCCACATTGACCTTTACAGCATCAGACTTTCCTTTTGTCACCAGGTACATCCACAGCTGAGCTTCCTTTCAGCTTTGGCCCACTTTATTAGTACTGGAGCTACTTGTAGTTATCCTCCGCTCTTCCCCAGGAGTATGTTGGACACATTCTGACCTGAGGGGTTCATCTTCCAATGTCATCTCTTTCATCATTTCAGTACTGTCCATGGTATTTTCTTGGCAAATAGACTGGTGCAGTTTGACATTTCCTTCTCTAATGGATCACCTTTTGTCAGAACTTTCCACTATGACCTATCTGTCTTGGGTAATCTTGCACAGCACAGCTCATAGTTACATTGAGCTATGAAAGCCCCTCTGCCATGACAAGGCAGCGGACTATGGATCAGATCATGAGCTTCTTATTGCAAAATTCAGACCTAAATTGAAGAAAGTAGGGGAAATCATCAGTCTATATAAGTAAAACCTAAATAACATCCCTTATGAATATGAAGTGGAGGTGATGAATAGACTTAAGGGATTAGATCTGGTAGATAGAGTGTCTGAAGAACTATGGACAGAGGTTCATAATATTGTACAGGAGGCAACAACAAAAAACATTCCAAAGAAAAAGAAGAGTAAGAAAGCAAAATGGCTGTCTGATGAGCTTTACAAATAGCTGAGGAAAGAAGAAAAGGGAAAGGGAAAGATATACCCAACTGAAGGCAAAATTCCAGAGAACAGCAAGGAGAAAATGTTTTCTTAAGTGAGCAATGCAAAGAAATAGAAGAAAACAGTAGAATAGAAAGGACAAAAAGATCTCTTCAAGAAAATTAAAGATGTCAAGGGAACATTTCTTACAAAAATGGACATGATAAAAGACAAAAATGGTAGGAATTTAACAGAAGCAGAAGAGATTAAGAAGTTGCAAGAATAACACAGGAGAACTACACAAGAAAGATCTTAGCATCATAGATAACCAAGATGGTGTGGTTATTGATCTAGAGTCAGACATCCTGACTGGAAGTCAAGTGTACCTTAGGAAGCATTGCCAACAATAAGGCTAATGGAGGTGATGGAATTCCAGCTGAGCTATTTAAAATCCTAAAAGATGATGCTGTTGAAGTGTTGCACTTAATATGCCAGCAACTTGGAAAGCACAACAGTGGCCTCTAGATAGGAAAAGATAAGTTTATATCCCAATCCTAAAGAAAGGCAATAACAAGGAATGTTCAGATTACCAAAAAATTGTGCTTGCTTTACACACTTGTAAGGTTATACTTAAGATTCTGTAAGCTAGGCTTCAGCACTATGTGAACTGAGAATTACCAGAAGAGCCGGCTGGTTTTCAAAGAGTCAGAGGAACGAGAGACCAAATTGTCAACATTCATTGGATTATGGAGAAAGCAAGGGAGTTCCAGAAAAACATCTACTTCTGCTTCATTGACTACATCAAAGCCTTTGACTATGTGGATCACAACAAAATGTGGCAAGTCCTCAAAGAGACTGGAGTACCAGATCATCTTACTTATCTCCTGAGGAACCTGTATATAGGTCAAGAAGTGACAGTTAGAACCAAACATGGAACAACTGATTGGTTTAAAAATGGAAAAGGAGTACAAGGTTGAATATTGTCCCCTTATTTATTTAATTTATATGTAGAGTACATCATGTAAAATGCCAGGCTGGATAAATCAAAAGCTAGAATTAAGGTTGCCAGGAGAAATATCCACAATCTCAGATATGTAGACAATATCACTCTGATGGCAGAAAGTGAAGAAGAATTCACCCTCTTGATGAGGGTGAAAGAAGAGAGTGTTAAAGCTGGCTTGAAGCTTAACATCAAAAAAAACTAAGATATTGGCAAATGGTCCTATCACATGTTGGCAAAAAGGAAGAAGAACGGGAAGTAATGTCAGATTTTATATTATTGGGCTCAGAGATTACCGCAGACCGCAACTGCAGACATGAAATTAAAAGACATTTGCTCCTTGGAAAGAAAGCTATGGCAAATCTGGACAGCAGACTAAAAAGTATAGATGACACCTTGCTGACAAAGGTCCATATAATCAAAATGTTGTTTTCTCCAGTAGCAATGTATGGATGTGAGAGTTGGACTATAAGGAAAGGTGAGCACTGCAGAATAGCCACTTTCAAATTGTGGTGTTGGAGAAGACTTTTGCAGGAAGATCAACTCAATCAATACTAAAGAAATTAATTCAGGTTCTTCACTGGAAGGTCAACTACTGAGGCTGAAGCTTAAATACTTTGGCCACATAATGAAAAGACAGGACTCATTGGAAAAGACACTTATGTTGGGAAAGATTGAAGGCAAAAAGAAAAGAGGATGGCAGAGTATAAGATGAATAGATAATGTTATAGAAACACAAGAACTTTGTTAGACTTCAAGAGATAGTGGAGGATAGTATGGTCCATGGAGTCACAACAGACAGAAGAGGAGCAACCACACCCTACCCACCAGCTGTGTCTATCCAGTTCCTGGTTAAGTTAAAGCTTTGGAACATGGGATGCCACTCCAACTACCTGGGATAGGAATTCTATCTACCACCAAAGAAAACATCTGGAAATAGGGTTCAGTGCTGGTGTTCAGTTCATTAAGTTGTAAAAAGTCATAATGGAAGAGTGGGAAAGAAGAAGAAAAGGAAGATAGTAAGGAACCATCCCCACTCCCATCCACCATTTCCATTAATCCTGCCAAGAATATGTGCATTTTACCAGAGGATTTTTTTAAGGGAAAAAAGATAGGCAGAAACTGTCTTCCCAAATTACCTTGGGACTGCCACACAAAAAAAAAAATCTGTGGGATGCATTTAAAACCTCAAAAGTGCTAGGATGGCTGCCAGTCTCTTGATTTTTTAACTCAAGATTTGTCCAAACACTTAGCTGTGTCATCTTCTGCATACCCTGGGGGTAAAAAAGATTGTACCACTAGAAACAAGCCAGGATCAGGATCAGGGTTGGGTTTTGTTCGTTTGTTTGCTTGCTTGCTTGCTTTTGGGGTTGTTTTGTTTTGTTTTTTTAAAACTGATACTATCAAATCCCCACTCTGTTGCTGCCTGTGTGACCTTGGCTAAGTTACTTAACCTTTCTTTGCCTCAGTTTTCTCATCTGTAAAATGAGGTTACAATATGGCCTCCAAGGTCCCTTCCAGCTCTAAATCCACGATTCTATCTGGACTGAAGTTTCTTATTATTTCAAGATATTAATACATTTATTGCTTTGATGGCTTGTTGTTAAGGTCTGAGAGGTTTAGAGACCCCTCAAAAACTGGACAGGGTCATCTGAAGTCATTCATAGACTTAAGCATTCTTTAAGTCAAGGTAGCAAAGATTTATTGTTACAC